GAGTGTCGTGAACTGTACGCTTTATTTGTGACAAATAGCGCATTGGTTCTGTCTGTTTATTGGACAAATTGGAAATTGAAACATAAAAACAAAAAGAAAATGTTTTTTCTTGTCTAGACAATACTGGGGTCATCTTATGCCGGTCACTCACAGGGCCGTCATACATTCATTCGCAAACTTAGCGGCTGTGCAAATGGGTTCGGCACTCAATTTGCGAACCCGTTTGCGCTTCCGCCTACACTTGTTTACGAATGTCTCACGAATTTCTCCTCCTTTTTAATTCGTCAATAGAACATTGAAGAGAAAAAAGTTTTGAATTGACTTCCACGGTGAAGGAATAACATCGTGTAATAAAAATCAAACCCGCAAAATTATAATTTGCGTAATCACTGGTAGTAGGACCTCTTGGGAGTCCGCACGGGTAGGTACCACCACCCCGCCTATTTCCGCCGTGAAGCAGTAATGCGTTTCGGTTCGAAGGGTGGGGTAGCCGTTGTCACTATACTGAGACCTTAGAACTTATATCTCAAGGTGGGTGGCGCATTTACGTTGTAGATGTCTATGGGCTCCAGTAACCACTTAACACCAGGTGGGCTGTGAGCTCGTCCACCCATCTAAGCAAAAAAAAAAAAAAAAAAAAATTCTTTCCCAGACATCATTAACAGCCATGCTGTTTTTATGGGATTTCTTTTGATGAAGATGCGCTATACAGTAGACGTCACGATCTATGAAAATAGCGAAACGTCCGTTGCCTTCGCAATCCTGGGCGCAACTGGTCAGTGGTCACACGAATGTGTGGGAGACTACGCGAAGGATCGCGGTTCGCGCGCTTTGATGTCTGTTAAAAAACCGACGCAGCTTGGAAAACCACGAATGCAGCGAAAACTTTGCATAATCATTTGCAAATATCGTCCTACACTTGCGGGTTTGCGTATTCGTGCGAATGTGAGTGACCGGTATTACGCACACGACACATCCTACTTCGTCGCGTTTAAACTGACAATTGATTCAGTAACTGAATTTAGAACAGTGTAATCAGGAGCTTCTAAATTTGCTTCTGAATTCAGTCGACTAAATTTAATCAAGTGTAAGCCTTTTAAATGAATCCATATTTGACTATTCAGAAAATTGCCTTGATTACTTTAGAATGGTTACTTTTTAGGTCTTTTAGGATATTAAATTAATCCGCATAATTAATTTTCTGTGGAATTACGAAGGACGTCTATATCAATCAGTGGGGTTTTAAAAATACCAGCCAAAGAAATTTCTCTTGAAATTTCAAAACAGCGCTATTAAGAATAAATATATATATTTTGTAGGTAACTATGTAATTAGCCTAATACTGTATAATTAAATTATGAATAAGTGCGCTGCGAGCCCCTATGCTCGTGAAAAAAAGTTTTTTTACTAGATCTAATTTGGAAATAGTGTATGATGTACATAAAGCTTAATATTACCAGTTGGAGGTTTAGAAATTTACACATACTTTTGATATTACTTTGCCCATTTTTAATAAAATTGCTTTTATACTTTCTTAATAGACTAACTTTAATTTTGAGTGTCATTTCTCATCGCTACCAATAAATGAAATAAAACACACGTTATGAAAGCAAAATTCATATTTTTTTTCTCACATATCAGACTTTTGTCTAAATCGATAGAATTTTTAAACTTTTAGGTACATTTTCTTACAGGATATTATTGCGTTACGTAAATTATTTCTATGAAACTATTCGCTAAGTAAACATGCGAAGTAACAATAGTATAGAGCAAAAGCAGTAATAATTATTTTAGTATTAAAATGAGGAAAATAGATATGAAACCATGGTAAAGTCGAACGATTAAGAGCTATGAAGTACCATGTATCCATGTTGAGAAGTCTTAAGACTGGAAAAAATATGCTCTTAATTTGAATCGTTTTTTTTATTGCTTAAATGGGTGGACGAGCTCACAGCCCGCCTGGTATTAAGCGGCTACTGGAGCCTATAGAAATCTACAACGTAAATGCGCCACCCACCTTAAGCAAAGGTCTCAGTATAGTTACAACGGCTGCCCCACCCTTCAAACCGAAACGCATTACAGCTTCACGGCAGAATAGGCGAGGTGGTGGTAACTACGCGTGCGGACTCACAAGAAGTCCTACCACCAGTGCAAATTATAATTTTGCGGGCTTAATTTATTAGCGATTGTAGTTAACAAAACTCACAGGTCACCTTATTTTAAGATGGGGGTTGTAACTTGTAATGATACCTGTAACTCATGTGCTAATCTTAGACATTATTTTGAAAATTAAATCAGATTAATGAAGTTCACTCGGATAATATGAACCGAAAAGTAAATATGTTTTAAAATGGATTTTATATCACGTTTATGATATGATTTTCGAACAATTTACATCAGTTATCATAGTACCTTACCATGGCTTCCGAATATAAGAAAAATCTCGAGGTACACAAGAATAAGAATAAATAAATGCATAACTTTGCGCTGTTCTTATTACATTCATACACGCCATGTCTCTATGTAAATAGATAAAATACTAATAAAATTTTGCTAAATGGCAGCATTTGAAATTTTGAGCCTTGAGAATAAAACCCCATCACAATTTATTATTTAACCTAATTCTATTTAAATATTTGATTTGGTATGTGCCTGTAACAATATGTAATATTTTGAAAATTTTAACGTCTTCGATAAAATTCAGAAGTTTAGAAATTACTCCACTGGGCAAAGGGACGAGGTTTCTATCTTAAATAGCCTATGTAGGAAATACTCTTTTATATCCGATTTGGACAATAGTTATCGTTGACGATATATATAAACTATTGGAACTTGATTCACAACTTTATCCTAAATAATTGATTTACAGGATTACAATTTAAAACATCCATTTAAATTGGGATCTATTTTCAACGCAACGATTAACTAACTTTTTTCAAATTTAAAATTTTCCACGTAATTTTAACATTCACTTTCCCGCCAAAACTTTTGATGTTGTCATTTGGATTGTAATTAGAGTTCCGAGAAAAATTACTAGTAGAATTAATATTCTCAGACAAGCTGCGTTATAATGAGTAAAAGCATTCCGATTTAACATTTAATACAGAAATTTTATCGAAATCGCCATGTATTGCCAGTTATTAATGTCACTAAAAATCATTGATAAAAAATTGTATTTTACTGAATCTTTTTCATTGCATTCAATATAGCTTATTTATGGGTATGCATCAGGGGACTTAGACAACGCTACATTTTACTAATTTTAATGCTTGTACTGTAAATTAGTGGGATTGACCATAAAACAACGAAAAATTACTTCGAGGGTTGAAAGAGTATTTGGTTCAAGCGACATTTGTCTACGCTACATTTATCTTTGTAATCAAAGGTGCGTTTTATTTGGTATTACCATCGGTTCGCTGGTGTTAACCGAACTTCAATTATGTTTACTCCATTCAAATAGATGAAACAGTTTTTTTGTTATGGCAATTTTTTCCAAATTTTAAACTTCAAATGGCTCTCCTGTAAAGTTGCAAAAATGTCGCTTAAAGCCAAATACGCTTTCACCCCCAGATTTGGTATACCTTACGTCATCCAAAACAGCTGTGTACATTGTAAAAGTTTTACCACTATTAGAATGTATGTGTAGGCTCTTGGTGACGTGCAGGGTTTAGTTTTGTTTAACACGGATGGCGCCAGTGTGCTTAGTTCGAGTTTTTAACGTTCTCGATAACGTAAAAGTTAACTCAAATTTGTATGGAGTTGGAACGTTTGCCTACGTTTGCCGCTAGGTTAAAAAACTCGCACTAAGCGCACTGAGCGCTACTTACGTTTTTATTTGTGCTTTACGGGTTCGCCATTTCGGAATTTAATAAAAACAATTTAGATTCAGCAAATAGTTATTGTTTTCAATTACGGCTCCGGGAGCGGGCCTTTTCACCATGCACGTCAAAGGATTTTGTGATAAATATAGCGTATACGATTTCTTGTTGTGAAGTTTGCGTAAATTTTATAATATCGTCAGATGCAGTATTCAACATATTGTACAGGTATTGAACGATCGAAACTATGAAAGTCTATGGAAGTGGTAATTTCTAACAATAATCAATACGCTTTCAATTCTTTAACGTGACTACCTAAACATCACAAAAATATTGGTTAATTTGAAACTAAGTATAAAGGTACGCGTCCATTGGCCCGCGCTGGATGCACCGCGCGCACGTGACGCAACAGATTTTATTTTGGTTTGTATTTTTAGATTTAGATTTTAGAATTTATTTTGCTCATAAATGCCGGCATTGCGTGCGGGCGGCACGGATAGTAGTGGACGCAGCATTATGTGATATCATCAGCTTTGTATGATTAATGTTTTTAAATAAAACTTTGTAAATTAAAATCCGTTGCGTGCGGTGCGGGCCAATGGACGCCTGCCTTAAGGTACATAAACAGTTACGCACTTCCGACACACTAAAACATTAGAAGAAAAAAAAAACTGAGAAATATAAAGTAAATACAATTTAAATAGGCAGAAAAAAAATGTTATTTCGTTTTTGACTTTTTTTGTCTTTTTTAGTTCATTAAAACATGGATTTGAGATGAACATTACCAATGTACTTTTAAGTTTTATAGAGTCTATTTAAGTAGGTAGTAGTTTAGCTGTTCCGGGCAATATCAATGTCAGAGCGATAGTTCCTTGCATGAGACTAAAAAGAAACAATATTAAGGTGAAATATTAAAAAAATAAATATCACAATATAGATAAGGAACACTGCAAGGCAGTTTTTTTGACTGTGTACCTACCTATAACATTTTTTTTACTTTACAAAACTGAATACAATAAAATTACGTTCATTCATAAAACGCACCTAACTCGGATACATTAAACATTAGAAAATGCAAAAATCCAACGCTGGCTAATAGGAGAGAGTTAGTTATAAACGATGCTATAAATAGGTATATCTAATGAACCGGGTAAATTTACATCTCAAAAATGATAACATCTCTTACGAGTCAATAGAGAGTATAATTTATAAAACATTCAATATACTTTTTTGGTGCATAGGAATGCGCTGTGTTTTCATGAGCGTTCGACATCCGATCAGTGGCCGAGCATGTTGGCCGACATGTGTGAATGCGCGCCGCGTTTGCGTCGTCATTGCCGTATAGATCCCGATGGAGTCTCCTGTTGATTACAGTTATATTAACCTCAAGAAATTTTGTTAGTATAATAATGATATTGACTAAAGAACTACATTTGGATTGAATTGGATCTGTGTGCTTAGTGCGAGTTTTGTAACGTTATCGATAGCGAGAAAGTTAGCTCAAATTTGTATGCAGTTCGAACAGCGCCCCTAGCGGCAAATGTAAGCAATCGTTCCGACTCCATACAAATTTGAGCTAACTTTCTCGCTATCGATAACGTTACAAAACTCGCACTAAGCACACAGATCAATGCATCGAGCAGGAACTCAAAAGTTTTTTTTTTTGCTTAGGTGGGTGGACGAGCACACAGCCCACCGGTGTTAACTTGTTACTGGAGCCCATAGACATTACAACGTAAATGCCGCCACCCGCCTTGAGATATGAGTTCTAAGGTCTCGGTATAGTAACAACGGCTGCCCCGCCCTTCGAACCGAAACGCATTACTGCTTGACGGCAGAAATAGGCGAGGTGGTGGTACCTAGCCGTGCGGATTCACAAGAGGTCCTACCACCAGTTTGCAGTGATTTTTGAGACACATACATCCCGATCTGCTAGGAAAAAGAAACTTATGTCTATCAATTCAGCTTGCCGTAAATTTTGAGAACATGCATTTGTAGATATTTTACAGATTTATAATAGTTAAATAATAATTTAATGTATATTTTTTTCACTAATATTCCCAAAATTTCTCTACAATACCATATTTTTTCGCATTTATTCCCATTTTATGGTTTGTTTAATTATTTTCTACTGACTCTTTGTTTTTTGTTTAATCATTAGTACATAATACCTACGCAAAAGGAACTCCAATCTAACTGGATGCACATAAGACGACAATTCTATTTTATTATTATTATAATTCCGACCTTTTGAAGACTTCACAGTTTTCGTGGTCGCAAAGAACGTGGTCGAACGTGGTACGAATCGTCAAAAACCGATGAAAACGGTTTATTATGAAATAATTTAAGTAAGAAACTTACTCTATTTAAGATTTGCTCACGATGCAAGTCCAGAACAACGTCGAAAGGCGCCATCTGGAGACTCAGCCCCACCTGCGCCTCGTGGTCTACCGGGGAGGTACTGAAACATTTATACGTATTTTGGTGTTTGGTGGTTATTTTCGACTTCGTCTGTTTGTGTATGAAAGTTGGTCATCATGGAGTTCGATTACGGAAGCTATTTGATTTTACTGTTCGGTGAACGAGCTCACGGGTCGCCTGATGTTAAATGTTTACTGCAGTCCACAGAAATAGAACACAGCGTAAATGGCAACACCTCCTTGGAGACGCGAGTGCAATGTTACGATCGCATTTTGTATATACCCCTTCCCTGACTGCCCCACACTGCAAAACGGAACACAGGATTGCTGTGCGACAGAAAAAACTCAGGCCAGTGTTATCTACTCATTAGTTATCGACGGTAGATCGTATTTACATCACGCATTTGTTTACTTTTTACATTTTTACTGGTGGTAGGGACCTCTTGTGAGACCGCACGGGTAGGTACCACCACCCTGCCTATTTCAGCCGTGAAGCAGTATTGCGTTTCGGTTTGAAGGGCGGGGCAGCCGTTGTAACTATACTTGGGACCTTAGAACTGATATCTCAGGTGGGTGGCGCATTTACGTTGTAGATGTCTATGGGCTCCAGTAACCATTTAACAGCAGGTGGGCTGTGAGCTCGTCCACACAGCTAAGCAATAAAAAAAAAATTGTGAGTCCACACGGGTAGGTATCANCACAGCCCACCTGATGTTAAGTGGTTACTGGAGCCCATAGACATCTACAACGTAGACGCGCCACCCACCTTGAGATACAAGTTCTAAAGTCTCAGTATAGTTACAACGGCTACCCCACCCTTCAAACCGAAACGCATTACTGCTTCACGGCAGAAATAAGCAGGGCGGTGGTACCTATCCGCGCGGACTCACAAGAGGTCCTACCTACCATCTAAGCAATAGAAAAAAAAAACGCATTACGCATTTTTATAATTGGTGCGGATTTCATTAAATATCTGTAATAATTCAGTCGGTACTCAAAAATAGCATGCGATTGCTGCGATCGAACAATCTACGAATAGCGCTTTCTCAGCAGCTACTTAAGCCAAATCGTGAGAAGTGGAGACGAATGCTTGAAGAGGTTCTTTAAGAAGCTTGAGTCGTTGGAAATTCAAAAGGCAAAAGCTCGAGTGGCCGAGATCAGATCAGCGCAAAGGCGAAAAAACATCTTAAAAATTCCATGCCTCAAAGATTTACCGTAAACGGACACGGAAGAAGAAATATTCAAATCTACACAATATTGGTACTTCATGCTGAAGGCCGAGTATTTACTTGGAAAAATGTACAAGCTAGCGGCATATGACAGATCAATAGTCTAATGGTCTCTGAATGAGCCTACAGAATCGTATGTCACGAATTCAAATCCTCTCGGGGACTTTAATGAGTTTGTGTTTTTTAACCTACAGACACAGCCTGCTGAGTTTCTCGCTAGGTCTTTTCAGTGGGTCGCGTTTCCGGTCCGGCGGTAGATTCTGCGAAGCACTGCACTTGCTAGGGCTAGTGTTAGTAACGTCTCAAGTTATCAAATCAAATCAAATCAAAACAAATCAAATCAAAAAAATTTTATTCAACATAAATGAAAGTACATACTTGTTGAACGTCAAAATAACTATCGCCAATTCACAAGAACTAGCCTCCGTCCTGAGAAGAATTGGCAAGAAACTCAGCGGGCATGTCTCTTTTTTTTTTAATAAGAAATTATTATTTATTAATTTTTTAATATTAGTTTTTTTTTTTAATATGAATTTTTTACAATGAGTATTATAACGTAACAATTACTACAATATTAAAATGCCCGGAGCGAGCAACTCATTCCCACTTTGTGCAATCTTCTAGATAATCATTCACTTTATAGTAAGTTTTATTGCACAGATGTTCTTTAATAGTTTTCTGAACATCTTGTGGGATTTTGTTGTACAGGCGCACAGACAGTTAGAGCCCCGTGAGCTCACCTATTCGCTCGGTGACGCTAGGATAACCCTCTAAGATTACCAGCTTAGGTAGCAAAAAAAAGCGGTATTTGAACACTAACATAGTCGCATCGGTTGATACGAGCTTAACTAGCGCCTTATCTTTAAGGCCACGTTTTTAGTGTCCTGTGTGCTCAGTGTGAGTTTTTTTTTTATTTTTTTTTTATTGCCCTTGTAGGCAGACGAGCATACGGCCCACCTGATGATGAGTGGTTACCGTCGCCCATGGACTTCAGCAATGCCAGGGGCAGAGCCAAGCCACTGCCTAAATTTAAAAAAATTTCTTAACGTTCTCGATAGCGTAAAAGTTAAGCTAATTTTGTATGCAGTTGGAACAGCGCCCGTAGCGGCAAACGTACGCAAAGGATCCCATTCCATACAAATCGCACCTTTAGAATTGGAGTGGCTTAACTAAAATTTATAAGGAAATGAGTTTTATACTTTGAACGACTAATAAACATGTCTTCTATCAGTTTATAAAATTAAACAGTCTCTTTTAGTCTAGAAAAAGACAAAGTACTCTTAAAGTATTAAAATCGAAACACAAAAAAAATACAATTATTTAATTAGATTTTTAGCGTTTACCACAAAGCGAGAATTTTAGATTTAGTCACTAGTCAATTCTAAAGATGCGAAATATAAGTTAACTTTTACGCTATCGAGAATGTTAAAAAAACACGTGAGGCACTCGGAGACTGCCGCGGTAAAGCTATTGCATAGCATTTTTTTCAACTTATGCAATTATAAATCGTCAATAATAATTTAATATTAAAATAAGAATAAAATAAGACGCTATATTTATAAACATTAACAAAAGCAAAACGTGAATTGTCCCCTTCACACTCATAACTTAGACCGCGCGAGGGAGAGATGGGCAGACTTTTCATGATGTTCATGCGGCAGTGCGACGTCACGCCGCGCACTTATTCACAAACAATACACAAGCGCAACGTGTGAATGTGTTTAACGCGAGCTACATAGTAGGCGTAGTGGGGGTGTCAGGTTATTTTCGTTACGGAATTTCTTGATTCAGTCGCCGCGCTCAAGGCCCGCGATAGAAGCTATGCAATAGCTGAAAAACTCGCACTAAACACACTGAATATATACAATTGTTGATTTCTGCTCACCTAATTTCAGTTGTCTGCTGTTGGTCATGCAACAAAGGTAGTTGGTCATCGGCGCGCGCGTGTCCGTGGCACTCACAGCGGCAGTGCTCGGGCTCCACGTAGCTGAAGACGAGACCGCCCGTGGAGCCCGGCGTCTCCTCCGAAGGCGTCGTGGCCACCGCCCCGGCGGGCAGGGTCTGTATACGCTTCGGCTGCTTCCGTCGCTCGGGAACGTCCTCGAAGTCAATCCATTCTTTTGGACGTAAATCTGTTCCTATTCCATATTTATAATCGTTTATAATCGATGTGTTAGTATTGCTCCGATAGAGCAAGCATCTCGAAGCGTTCGTGACTTAACGTTTTTTTTATTATTGCTTAGATTGGTGGACGAGCTCACAGCCCACCTGGTGTTAAGTGGTTACAGGAGCTCAGAGATATCAATCCTACCTTTTAAACCGAAACGCATTACTGCTTCACGGCAGAAATAGGTAGATTGCTGGTACCTACCCGTACCCAACTTACCTTGAAAAGCCTTTCCGCTAGCAAGGACGATGTTTTTAATATGCGTAAGTAACGGAATCTTTGAACGTCACATCGTCACGGGATAGCTTCCAATTGACTTGAGAATTTGCACAGGCGACAAGGACTGATGATAATACAATCTTTATAAACTTCGCTCTAATATCGTGACTACGGTTAAGCAAAATGTGAAATTAATTGTTAGTTCGGTTTGCTATTAAAGCACGTTTTTGTTTTTGTTTTTGAACTACTATTATTTTGAAGATGGCTCACATAATACGAACACGCTAAACCTTCTTATTGATGTTTTCGTTTTTAGTTTTCCGTTTATGTTCAGGTAGTTAATTATCGTTGTTTCCCTTACTAATGATATGTCAGATTAAAATTAACTAGACGATAACGATGAGCTTTGCTCGGTTTTTTTTTATAACGCCATCTTGTTGTGTCTTTAAAGTTTAGTATTATTATTCGCCAATAGATGTCGGGAAGAGTTGATTATTGAAAACAGGAATAAAACAACATTTTCTGAAAATAAATCGTAGCTAGATCGATTTATCGCCCCCGAAATCCCCTGTATACTAAATTTTATGAAAATCGTTGAAGCCGTTTCCGAGATTCAGATTATATAGATATATATTAATATACAAGAATTGCTCGTTTAAAGGTATAAGATAATTACTCACCATCTCCTCCACTACGAGTTCTCGGTCGTGAAATTCTCGCGGTTGGGGCGGCTGAAACTGTTCTAGAACGACGCGGGAGTCTAATTCGTAGCTTGTCGGCCGGCGGTGGGTCGCGGGCCGGAACCGGCGGAGGAGGCGGCATCCGCGGGCGCGGGGTCGGTGGGGGCGCCGCCCGCGGTCGCTCTACTGCCGACACGTGCACTCCAGCGCGTTCCCGCACCGGTATCATGGGTAACGCGACCGGCCGCTCCATCGGTAGCGTCGTCGGTACGTAAGGCAGTTCCTCTTCAAATGACTCTTGCACTACAAGTCCGCGCCGCTCCACCTCACTGCCGCCTTGTGGAGGAGCTGTTTCAGAGCTCGGCTCTGACTCTGAAGAATCGCGGGGTGCGTCAACTGCGTCATGTGGGGTCGTCACACTAGACCCGCTCGGCTTAGGTATCTCGTCACAATTTCCGTTTTCCGTCACAGGTGCAACGTCTTTCACGGTCGGCAGTCGAATATCTTCAACGTCGTGGAAGCTCGGAAATGAGCCGGATATTTCACTCGTTACGCTCGGCGTCTTTGTTATGCTGAATTGCGTACTAAAAACTTGTTCTCGGCTACCGACATGAGTTGTGAATACGATTCGCTCTTTCCTTTTTCGGTGGCCCTCATCTATCACGTGTTTCGGATCAACCGGTGTGCTGATTTGCATTTTTTCAACGCTTTGCTCTTTTGTTAAGCTTGCTTCGGATCTGTCGGCTGCGTCTCTGTCCTCTGTGAATGATATTCCGTTCGATGTAGATACAGGAGTATCGTGTTGAGCAACGGCATCCTGAGTAAGTTCAATAGAAATGGGAGTTGAATAATCAATTTCGTAACTTTTTTCGGTGGGCGAATGTAGGGGTATTATGATACTTCCGTCGGGTAGAACTTGTCTATGAATTGGTTTGGACGGAGTCCGCGCTGGCCCCGGAACAGAATCTGGTAAGGTACGAGCGACGGGTGCTGAAGCAGGTCTCACAGGCTCTCTGTGTACCGTTGCCTCTATTGCTTTCGGTTCAACATCCGAATTGCAGCGAGCGGCACTTGAACTCGGTCTTTCGTCCGGCGGTGTTCGCAATGGAATGTGAATAATTCCGTCTCTTGTGTCTTCGTAATATTTAAGACGTTCGACAGGACGCGTGCGCTCCATTTGTAAAGAAGTAGCAAGGGGCCGCTGTTGATGTACGACCGGCGATCCCTCTCGAGAGCTAGGAGATGGAGATGCAGCGCTTCGTCTTGGGGTCCGAAATAGGGAGAGCACTGATCCACGAATCTTGCTCGCAGAGGTCGGTGTTGCTGAACGATCGCGACTTTTACTGCGTGATCGGCCGTCTGTTAAGCTTCGTTTACGTCTCAAAGCATCCGACGGAGAGTCAGGTGATGCTATTGTCTCTCGAGATTTAAAAAGTGAACAAAAAGATGATTTCCGTGATACGGGTGGTCCCACTGGTGAAGGCGTGCGGCTTTCGCGATGTGAACGACGCTGATGGGGTGCCGGGCTTGGCGGAGCCCGGCCCACCAACTCGGTCGGTCGAATAGCTCGTGAAGAACCAGCATCGACTTCTAAAATCGCCGGTTTGTAATCACCTGAAGATTTATCCGGTTCGTAACTTAGTGTCGGTTCCGTTCCAGGTTCTTCTTCATATTCATCGTCCGGTTTTAATTTTATTCTAATGATATTCTTTGATCTATTTTTACTTTTGTAAACCTCGGGTTCGGAGGGCTCGCGCCGCAGCCTGGGTCTAGCGCGCCGCTCTTCAGCTCTAGCTCTATTATTCGTTTCCTTCCGACGTTTTTCTTCCTCCGTCGGTAGAGGTGAGGTAACTGAAGCAGGTTCAGTGGATTCTGTAGGTGGCTTTTCTTCAGGTACAATCACTTTAGGTGTCGTGGTGTGTGTAGCTGTGACTGCGGAAACAGACACGGTGATTGTCACTGGGGTGGAAGCTAATGAAACTGTTGCCGATGATGGTGAAGACCGAATCACTGTCTTTTCTACTGTAGCTTCGGTGCGGATTTCTCTATGGTCTCGGGCATCTACTGGTGTCGGAGGAGGAACCGTCATTTTGGCGATTTCAAGGAGATGCTCTTCGACTACAGCTGCACAGATTTCTGGATCGTTTTCAATTGGGCGAGGCCCGCAGAATGATGTTTCTAACAACATTCTGTGAGGTGAAGGTGAACGTGAAACTCCAGACACTACCGATAAGCGCGACGTGCGACTCAAGCCGGATAGGGCTGAGTGGGCTGAGCATTGAGAGCCGATGCTAGATAATCGACTGGTGCGTCCAGAAACGGCCAAGAGCGCAGCTTCCGAGCTCTGGCTGTCTTTGCGGGAGTGTCGGCGCTCAACGGCAGGAGGTGGTGCACGGGGCTCTCCAGGAGCACCCTCTAGAAAAGCAAGCTCCTCAGTTGAAGACCGAAGATCTAGAGCGCCGTCTTCCCGAAAACCTAATTCAAGTTTGGCTCTTCCGTCTTCACTCCCGCCGTTTCCCGCGAACAAAGCTAATTCAGGTGAACTATCTCGCGAATCGTGGTGGCTCGAGCTAGAAGCACGAGATATATCGATACGCGGTGTCGCCGGCGTAATCAGCCCCCCTGCTGCTGGCGTGGAATGTGAACGGGCACGCTGTTCTGGAGGTGCGAGAGATTCGACACCAGTGACTCGTGGGGAGCCTGCGGGGTCCTCTCTGATCTCGGGCAGGCGAAATGATTGCTTTGTTTCTGGACTTGACTGTAAGCGAAACGAAAATATCGATAGAAAATAAATAAGTATTCTCGTCTACGATCTAAACACAACAAAGAGACGTAAGCAATCTATCTATCTATATATATAAAAATGAATTGCTGTTCGTTAGTCTCGCTAAAACTTGAGAGCGGCTGGACCGATTTGGCTAATTTTGGTCTTGAATTATTTGGGGAGGTCCAGAGAAGGTTCAAAAGGTTAGATAAATATGAAAATTCTCGGAATGAAATAAAAATAACAATTTCGTTTTTCCTTTGATGTGTCCCCCGTCGGACGTATTCCTTTTGTTTGTTTTAAGTATATTTTATACAAAAGTTTAGGTCTTTTATTTATCGATTCAGGCACTACGAAGTCTACCGGGTCAGCTAGTTTAAAATAATAATAATTCGAGTACTCATAGCAAATATAATGTTAAATACTGATTAGTATAATTCATGAAACGAAAATAAATAAAGCTAGAAAGAGACAGTGAAAGATACATACTGGCGGTCTCACCTCGTCAGAGACGTCGTGGTCGAAGGAGGCGATGGGCGCTGGACCGCGGCGCGGCTGGCGCACCGGGGCGCCGCTCGCCGCCATGGGCCGCCCCTACTGCCGCATTCTGCCTCGCGCCTCTGCAACCACCACGAGTAAACCTCCACCTCACGGCCCATTCACTAGCCACATCAATCTCTAGAAATCTCCTACTCTGATACTCAATAAACCGGCCTTCTGTTATGTAATTCTACACAAAACTCAAGATTAACAGCACTTACGTTGGCGATGTCACGAAGCGGTACTATCGTCCAATCTCGGGACTGAATAATAACGATGAGCCACTAACATTTATCGGGCCACAATACGGGCAAGAACATCTTAGAATACATTTCGATTTAGCGATCCACGTAGCTTGAGACGAAACTTTCGGCGCCCTTATAAACACACCATTTTGACACGACGCATCGCAATCACCGAATCGAATTTCGATACACTTTTATAAAGTAACCATTATGTTATTCCGTTGCAAACGCAATTTTCTAAAGTATTCGCGTGGCTTAACTGTTAATGCTTATGCTTGGCTGACTTCGGCCAGGAACGTACCTGGTCTTCAAGGGTTCATCGCGCGTGATGTCAGATACCATCGATAACCTACGGGGCGCATGCGCTATCGGCGCGCAAGCGTGCAGGCCGCGCCCTAATTCTCACAGCTCGGGTACAAGGCAATCGAATGGTCAACTAGAACTTACAATAATTTCTATTCCAATTATTATTGGTATTTTTTTAATCATGATTTACGACCATGAATTAAAAATTATTATTATTTATAATTATGCGAAACGTGCAGAGTAACGCTCCAAGAAGTATCAAAAGGGACTTCGTAATTGGAATAGAATATAAGTTTGTAGTTTCGTATAATAGTCGCGCTGTTTGCTTGAAACATAATAAGATTTGTTTAATTAATTACGCTGATTCTGTATTGACTAAATCGCGCCATACAATTTGTACAAATAGCTCAAATGTCAAAGTTAAATTATAATACATATGTATTAATACGTATGTACCTATAGGATATGGCTCTCATAACGTCAAGATCATCTCTCGACGAGCGCATGGTCGTTTTGTAGTTAGTAATTGAGTGGTCCCGGAAGTCTAAAGACTATGATGCCCACTTTCAATGGCATTTAACTAACGGATTTTCTATCTATTTTCTATCATTAGGCCCTTGCAAGCTAATCTCAGCACGGACAACGCTAACTAGAAATGACACGACCTCCAGTCTCGGAGGGGAGTGATGTGGCGGGTAGCCATCATAAAACGCAAGATAATTGACAGATGCCTGAATCTCGCTTACGACATTTTCAAGATAAAGCGCATATATACAAGTTCCGAACAACAACATTCGGACCGTCGGTCTACCGAGCAATATCACCCGCTCGGTGGAAGATCTTCCTTTCGTCGTAAACTTCCCAAACAACTTTTATCTAAGCTGACGAATAATAATATATTAAGTAAAAATTACTGTGAATTGAAATTGGGTAAAAAGGTTTTTAAGAAATAAATAGAACTGAACTTTTAACTGGAATAAATTATAGTTTAAAAAAACTAATAAAATACGCTTTTATAGAAAATCCAACTAAACAATAGAAAATAAATTTTAATAAATTTGAATTAAAAATAGTGTAAGAAAAAAGGATTTTATTGTAAAAAAGGATTTTATTGTAAAAAAGCGTGGACCTAAGGGCCTAAGGACGCGGGATTACAAGATTTGCAGGGACTATACACATATGGGTGAGGGTCGTGTGTGCAATAACCATACTCCCATAAATTATAATGGCACATGCAAGTTTTGTAGTGCCAAGTAATTTTGAGGGGACAGTTTTCTACGCTTCGAGGTCACGATTGAAGACTGAGTTTGTGTGAGATCTGAATGTCGTGTGGTTCTGGTTCTCTCACTCCGGCTTATTGTTGTAGCTCTTTAAGATCAGTTTGTTCATAGCCCATTCTGCTACCTAAGCCTAGAAACTAAGCTTACTATCACTTAAGAGTATTTAGAGCCTCTGGTATCTGGCATTTGGAGCCTCTGGGTCTGCGGAGGGACTTCGGTTCCCTTTGTATTTTGTACCGCATGTTCCATGGGGAGTTCTCTGAGGAATTGTTCGAGATGATACCAACGTCTCGTTTTTACCATTGCACCGCCCGCCACCGGAGTAGAGTTCATCCATACTACCTGGAGCCACTGCGGTCATCCACAGTGCGTTTCCAGATATCTTTTTTGCCACGTACCATCCGGCTATGGAATGAGCTCCCCTCCACGGTGTTTCCCGAGCGCTATGACATGTCCTTCTTCAAACGAGGCTTGTGGAGAGTATTAAGCGGTAGGCAGCGGCTTGGCTCTGCCCTTGGCATTGCTGAAGTCCATGGGCGACGGTAACCACTCACCATCAGGTGGGCCGTATGCTCGTCTGCCTACAAAGGCAATAAAAAAAATATATATTGTGCAACCAAAAAGGTCACTATCACATCTAAGGAAGAAAGACTAACTTGTTTGGAGGAAATCGAAAAAGAAAAGGAATAATAACAGACGACAGTGACCAAATTAGGGGAGAAGAAAAAACCTCTGGAAAAACCTCTAACCTCCAAATATGTCGTCTAGTTCATTATTTTTCCCTTTCTACACAACTAAAAATTCTATTTCATATTTTTATATCGTCGGTATTGTTCCATCTCAGAATTATTGCGGGATCGTCCAAGATACTTTTAAACTTACTCATAAGTTATTTTTAAGAAAACCAATAGCTGCTTCTTGATTCGACCCTCGGTATACTTATAACAAGCGTCGTATAACATGAATCAGGTGTCCAGCCCGTGTGCTCTCAAAATTTATCGTCATACATCCATACTTTGTATAACTTTATTTTCATATAATATTTTTGTAAGAGTGTTCGTTTATTTATCCTTCTTTTATCGTAACGAAGCAACGTATTGACATTATTCTTTTAAAACTGAAAGTAGACCTAAGTCTGTGGCACACTACTGACATGGGCTACCGTTTATCCCGAAAAAACATTTAATTTCCACGGGAAACTACACTGACACTTTCCATTGACCACATTTTGTAGTCGTCGTGGCCTAACGGATAAGACGTCCGGTGCATTCGTGTTGAGCGATGCACCGGTGTTCGAATCCCGCAGGCGGGTACCAATTTTTCTAATGAAATACGTACTTAACAAACGTTCATGATTGACTTCCACGGTGAAGGAATAACATCGTGTAATAAAAATGAAACCCGCAAAATTATAATTTGCGTAATTACTAGTGGTAGGACCTCTTGTGAGTCCGCGCGGGTGGGTACCACCACCCTGCCTAGTTCTGCCGTGAAGCAGTAATGCGTTTCGGTTTGAAGGGTGGGGCAGCCGTTGTAACTATACTTGAGACCTTAGAACTTGTATCTCAAGGTGGGTGGCGCATTTACGTTGTGGATGTCTATGGGCTCCAGTAACCACTTAACACTAGGTGGGCTATGAGCTCGTCCACCCATCTAAGCAATAAAATAAAAAAACACTGGGGTAGCCGCGGTAATATCTACATACTTTAATGCGTATATTAATGCAATCGTGCAGTATTGTGTAATGCAGTAGTGTGTAAGTATAATTTAAATGCTAAAAATGTATTAATGTTAATACCTTGGATGTGACAATAAAATCTGATGCGGTGGCGGGTCGAAATGTGCCCCCAACGAAATGTCCACCAGAGCGTGGCAGGTCATTTTCGACCCACCAACATTAGGGTGGATTAAAATGCTAAAACATTGCGAAAATATCCTGTATACAATTTATTTATATATTAATACGTAAAGCAAAAACTTGGTACCCTATTTTACGAAAATTGCGCGTATGAAATTTTTCATACTTATAGAGAACTAGCTGTACCCACCCGTCCGCTTCGCTGGGCATTTAAAATTAACATTATTATTTCTCACCCCCACAAAGGTGTGGTGTAGGGAGTCCAACACTCACATAAATATTATCCTATCCATTAAGTACATGTATTTTCTACATGGATGCCAAGTTTCAAGTTAATCGGATGCATGGTTCAGTAGTTATCCGATCCGGTGGTAGATTCTGCGAAGCACGGCTCTTGCTAGGGTTCGTGTTAGCAACGTCGTCAGGTTTGAGCCCCGTGAGCTCACCTACTAAAGTTAGGGTTACGCTGAAATAGCCACTAGGGCTATCAGCTTAGGTAGGAAAAAAAAAAAAAAAAAGCGTATATTTTGTTTATTATTAAAGTCTGTGGTCAAATTAAGAATAGATTAATATTGTTTGTCTTGAATATTATTTGTCGATAGTGTAGCCTTGGTGCAATCTGTGATTGTAGTCTTGACAAGAGACCCATAATAATGTTCAAACTTATAATTTTAATTATGGTCCAATTTCGACCGCTGGCGGACCACTGGTAGTTTTTTTTTTTTTGCTTATATGGCTGAACGAGCGCACAGCCCACCTGGTGTTAAGTGGTTATTAGAGCCCATAGACATCTACAACGTAAATGCGCCACCCACCTTAAGATATAAGTTCTAAGATCTCAGTATAGTTACAACGGCCGCCCTACCCTTCAAACCGAAACGCATTGCTGCTTCACGGTAGAAATCAGAAATAGGCAGGGCGGTGGTATCTACCCGCGCGGACTCACGAGAGGTCCTACCACCAGTAATAAGAGGTCCCTACTGTCACTGTCGAATTTATACAAACACCTGAAATAATCGGTCCGTACCAGCGAGGGGGACATAGTTTTCTTCGTCCGCACCGTAAGTACCGCGAGGAGCCGATATGGTCCAGTTCTGCAATGAAGGTGTTCATCATCATCATTCTTTCCTATTACCCTCTGCTGGGGTGTAGGGCTCGAATCAAATCCTTCCATTTACATCGGTCTTGGGCAGTATGTTCTAGCTCCTCCCGCGTCATGCCCAAGACCCCTAACTCCTGCTCCACCGAGCGACGCCAAGTTGTGAATGAAGTTGCGATGAATGACAATTGCATCGTAATTTTACCAGTTTTATTTGACGAAATAAAAGACTTATACGCGAACATAATTAACTTTATTTCACAACAAAATGTAGGTTCCATATACGGAATACATTGGTAGTATCGCTACCAGGTACTTTACGATGTAACAGGTTTCAAACGAGATCTAGTATCTGTTTAAATATACTTATATATATTTTTTCCTAAGCGCGTAAAACATATTCTTTGAAATGTTTTTTTTTTTTAAATCAGCCACTGATCAATGCGTATAGCCTTGATGTTCGTATTTTACAAATGCTCTACTGTGTATATGATGATATTTACTACGCCAATTTGAGTATCATACTTATTCTACTTAACTCTTCGTAACAATAATACTATCAAATGTAATATTATACTGAACATGTGTTAAGTTATGGGAATACACATTGATTTTCAACGCTAAAAAGCCCTTCAACACTAATAGCGCATTTTATTAACCGTAAACACATTAACTATGCACGATTTTGTGCTATTTAAATATATATGAGATGGTACTTTCATAGCTATATCTAAATATTGCTTAGGATTCTAAGTATACAATAACTAAACGTGTAATATATCACAAACATATCAATCGCTTGGCCAAAGATGCCTTTAGAACCTTCCTACAACAGATCAAACAAATAATACTTTTGATTAAATTTCATAGATAAATGGATCACCAAATTACTATTATGAATAGAATTAAAATTATACACATCGGTTAAAATATGTGATTGAATAGCATTTTGTTAATTAAATTAAATCTACAGAGTGATGTTCAATATCTCAATTTTGCGTTTACCCTCCACTTAAAGTTTTATAGAACTTTAATGAGCTTTCATTAACAAGTAGGAAAAAATACATAAGAAGATCAATTATATAATTCTTATTATAGTCAGAATATAATATTAAAAGGTATAGCTTGGACAGAATTATGTTTGTTGATATGAATTTGATTGTTTGTTGATTGAATGTACATTAAATTAATATTAAAGGCCGAATATCTGCAATTCATAGTGTGGTGTGTTTTTAATATTAGGTACATATACTAGGTAGGATATATTAGGTAGTATTTATTTTAATCCAATTACGGCTTTATGCGGCATAACAACGTGCGTTCATACATTTGCATTTCAATTTATCTAATACAACAACGTATGTACAGAATTTCTCTTATATTTATACCAAATGACTAGAAATCGGTGGGTATATGTCCGAAGATTAAAAATATAATGACGCACTTATTAAGTGTACATATTTTGATTATAAATTTACATATTATTTTTATTTAATTAATACTGAATATGGATATTTGTTTGACGATTTTTTATATATAAAGCATTTATTTCTTTTGCATCCCATACATAGTATTGCTGCATAATATTATGTGATATTTGATTATCATTTTCCTTACATTTATGGTAGCCATATTATTTATTAAAATGTCGAATACTGAATTTTCAATATTTATAATATGTTTAATGGTATCGTGATATTTTCAATATTTGACATTTTACGTGCCGAATAAGTAATTGATTTTTGAAATACATCTTTCAATCAATAGAGAGATATTTATAGTTACATAGCCCGTGGATACGAAAGATATGTATATACAAGAAGCTATATAAACGCACTGTTTGTGCAAAACTAGCAATTTTTTTTGGTAAAGTATTTCATCTTTAAAACCAGTGATTAATACTAGGTATTGATATATACTATACTGTTATCCTATTAAATAAATATTTAAATTATACTATGAAAATACGTATGGTGTATTGTCTATTCATAAGAAACCAAAGTTATTACAATGTACAAAAGGAACTTAGAATTAATAGTTTTTATTATCTTCACGCACATAAATAATATGCATACCAATATAATAAGTGTATAATCTATGATACCAATTGTTACTCGTCATTGAAATATGCAAATCTATGATAAAACCACAGATAATATAATATATAAATATATAGTAATACGCTAAAACCTAAAGGTATTTTAAGCTCGAGGAAGGGAGAAAGATACTTTTCTATTATCATTAATTAATATGTGTAGAAAATCTATGAATACGTCTTAGATTACTGCATTTTTTTGCATTCATTCGGAAAATAAAGATAAAATGAGTTTTTCTCTTATTTTTAATATCCTATTTGGAATATTCAGAGACACATAGGTACATAGCTTTGTTAGTATATACCTGTTTTAATTATCTGAAGCCTTGAACGAATTCAAATGATGATTTTTAGTGTTATATACGCAATTGTGTACGTATGAACGAAATTTTACTATAGGTCTTTTTTTGTTACTTAGATGGGTGGACGAGCTCACAGCCCATCTGATGTTAAGCGGTTACTGGAGCCCATAGACATCTGCAACGTAAATACGCCACCCACCTTGAGATAGAAATTCTAAGGTCTCAGTAGGTATAGTTACAACGGCTGCCCCACCCTTCAAACCGATACGCATTACTGCTTCACGGCAGAAATAGGCAGAGCGATGGTACCTACCCGTGCGGACTCATAAGAGATCCTACCGCCAGTAATTAAGGTCTATATGATTATGTAAAAAGAGATTGGAGCTATTGTGAGATTGCGTATTAGATATTGTGGAGTAGGCTAAGAGTTCGCTCATTGTATTGATACTATTTCTGTTATCAGTGGCTAGCTCCTGTGCTACTTAATGTAGAGATATTAAAGGTTATTTTTTGTCACCGGAGTCGGTTTTTTTGCTGTCCTTGAGACAAAAGATCGAAGTTCAATCGTAAAATCAAATCAGAATCGGGAAATCCCGTGCTGACCGACAAACATCTCCGTGAAATGTGCGAACGCTTGAAGTGATATTTTTTTTTTGTCAACAAACCAAACTGATTATGAACCATATGACCGATTCGAGGTTTATTATTATTTTCCGGTCATGTTTTTTTTTAAACATTTACTTATAGTTAAATTCTGCTTAAGATCACCGTTAATAAGACATGCGATTTTCAACTTTACGCTAAGGGGTCGTGGTCCGAGATTCATTGCTAATTACACAGTGCCTTAAGTCAAATTTCAATCTGAGTCGGAGTCTGAAGAGGGCGGTTGCGGCTGGGCTACGGGCGCGGGAGGCTCCGGTTCGGTTCGTTCAACGGTCGTCGCCAAGGAGTACGCCGGTGCGGCCTGACCGCTAGTACGTTCGATGCCCACTCTGTACAATTAAAAAAAAACAACTGTAATGTCTGATGTGTCAAATTGTATCTGCTCGGCCATAAATTAATTTATATAAAAGATTAGGCTGTATGGTATGATACCTTCGCCTTTCCAGCTGGAAAAATGGAACTACTACTACTGTCAAATTGTCAAATCATAATGAGCTTTTTGGCGGGAACAGTGAGTTGTCTGAATTGCTATAATCTGTTATTTTGTTCATCACCTTCAGTTTTATAACGGTGGATTATTAATTGTTGTAAAATTTAACTCCACTGAAGTGCCAGTAACGTGTGTAAATAAAAAAAATGACTTAATTTCTTTCTTATCTTCTATAAAGTATTGCTTCGTCATTTATAAATGCATTTTCATGTTATATCCATCTCTCTCATTGACACACGACTGAACTCTTGACTATATTAGTATATCCTACTCTTACGAATATCCTACTCTTCAATTGAGTAGACTACTTGTGTGAGGTTATAATAGGCTGTACTACCAGATAAAAAAAATATATTTCGCAAGGTGAAAGGCTAGGTATATCGTTTAAGCGACTTTTTTGCAACTGTACTGGAGAACCATTTAGAGTTTAAAATCTGTAAAAATATCATAATGAAAAAAACTTCTTCAGCTATTTGATTGGTGTAAACTTAATTGAAGTTCAATTAAAACATCGAATTGTTTATGCGAATACCAAATGACTAGGACCATTAATTACAAAGATTGCGTATTAAGCGAAATGTCGCTTAAGCCAAATGGGCCTTTCTCCCCTTGATTTCATTATTTAAATAGAAAAAAAATGTCCGGACGTGAACCGGTCTGGTATAAGCGTACAATATGCGTTCGAGTTAAACTGTAAAACTGTCTTCCACCAAAGAAACAAGTAATGGAGAAATACTCACGTGTACTCATGCCTTGCCAGGTACCGAACGTATTTTTCTGGTGGGTCTCCGTCGTGCTCCTGAAGCGAGACGGACCTCACGGTCACGTGGCTGACCTGCGTGGCCGGCATGGTGAACTCCACGTAGGCGAACTTGGCGAGCTCCGCGGGTATTTGGTCGTATGACGTCAGAGCCATGCGACAAACGAGATTGTGGGTTGTGTATGCACCTGTGAATATTTAAAATATTAATGCTACAAATCGTGAGCACACGTGAGTGCCCATGAGCACGCATGAACATTCGTGAGTACCCGTGAGCATAAGCGCAACATGACATTCAGAAGAGGAAACATAGTGGTGCTCAGTATTAAATCTCTAATTTCTCCAATTCCATATTTTACACTCTTTTAGCTGAATTTTATCCGTTTTTAACTCAATTGATTATTACGCAATTTAAGTTATAAAGTGCGCTTAGCAGCAGGATTACGATTTGAATTCGTTTTTATGGCATCCATTTTAAAATTTCCGAAAACTTAGTGTCTGTATTAAAAAAACGCATTGATAAATGATAAATTTCAAAATCAGATATAAAATGAATGTGTCGTCGTGGCCTAAAGGATAAGACGTCCGGTGCATTCGTATGTAGCGATGCACCGGTGTTCGAATCCCGCAAGCGGGCACCAATTTTTCTATAGAAATACGTACTTAACAAATGATCACGATTGACTTCCCCGGTGAAGGAATAGCATCGTGTAATAAAAATCAAACCCGCAAAATTATAATTTGCGTAATCACTGGTGGTAGGACCTCTTGTGAGTCCGCACGGGTAGGTACCACCTTAGAACTCATATCCCAAAGTAAGTGGCGGCAAGCACGTTCCAGTTATATATGGGCTCCGGTAACCAATTAACACCATGTGGGCCGTAAGTTCGTCCAACCACTCTAAGCAAAAAAAAAACAAAAAGAAAAAGTCCTTTTACTGCTGACGTCGAGGATTACGGTATTATTATCGCGAGTCTTTCAATTAATTATCATCAAGCCGAAGCAGCTGCCCATGAGCTCTCACATCTAATCCCATTTCTCCTGGCTGAGCCCTTGCTCGCCCACCTGTCCTGGTGAAACCGGAAAAAAAACAACTATCGTTACTCGAACCTTGTCCTTCTTTGGGGAGTCTCGGCATCCTCCACACGATGGCGCGATGCTGATGTTCGTACTTGGCTTGTCCTGACGTCACTTCTATCAGCGACTCCTGGAGGGTGTCCACGGCGCCAAGGAAACGCTCTATTCCTTTGATTTTACCAGTGCGCCTGCTCAAACATAATCCGACGGCATTAACAAGAGTACCTTATGACATAAATGCAATGACGTAATAGTTCCTAGAGAATGTAGCAACGAAAAAATAAACCATCAAACACAATCGAACAATTTTATTGGGAATATTTATCAAGCTACCAACAACAATAGTACAAATTTTCAACTCAATCGGGTAAAAGACACGCGAACGCACCCTTCTCGAACGAGAAACCCCTCATTTTATATCAGATAGGTGTAAAATAGGGGACCAAGTTCATGGCGTGGCCAGCGCTAAAACAGTACCCGGCGATAAATATTGCACATCGACTTTTGGAATGAGACAATCGGCTAATTTCGGCTTCGGCAAAACTTCCAAAATGAAAAAGATAATTTTATTTTAAACAATAAGACTAATACATAACTCGACATTATCCAAAATCAACAAATGGTAAAGATAATTTTAAACAATAAGACTAATACATAACTCGACATTAGGATCATAAAGTTGGTGTAAATGCTCAAATTAACGTTTAGGGAAGTTTCAAATTTCAATTACTTTGAATAGCATCTATGGCCATAGTTATCATAAAACAAAAAAGATATTTGACATATACCCTAATGCCCTAATATACAAGTACCGAACAATAACATTCGGACCGTCGGTGCGCCGAGCAATTTTACCCATTTGGTGGAAGATCTTCCTTTCATCATATATAGGTACTTCAAAAAGTTAATTTTGTGATAAATTGTGCTGTCTTTATGATTCTGTTGTAGAGATATATGTATGTACGTCCACATTGAATACCTGTGAGCAGATTTAACGGATCCATATCGAAAATGTTTCTCAACGCGGAACAGATAAATCCAGCATTCCGGTATCGGGAATCGTATGGCGACGTCTTCGCAAGGCACCTGCCCCAGCTTCCGAGACGCGAATCCTGGCACCAACACGTCAGCGCGGAGTTCCACCTGTTACCAAACATTCCTTATGAACTTTTTATTTATTTATTGCTTACATGGGTGGACGAGCTCACAGCTCACCTGGTGTTAACTGGTTACTGGAGCCCATCTACAACGTATATGCGCCACCCACCTTGAAATATACGTTCTAAGGTCTCAATTATAGTTACAACGGCTGCCCCCCACCCTTCAAACCGAAACGCATTACTGCTTCACGGCAGAAATAGGCAGGTTGGTAGAACCTACCCGCGCGGACTCACAAGAGGTCCTACCACCAGTAATTACGCAAATTATAATTTTGCGGTTTTGATATTTATTACACGATGTTATTCTTTCACCGTGGAAGTCAATCGTGATCATTTGTTAAGTTCGTATTTCTATAGAAAAATTGGTACCCGCTTGGGATTCGAACATCGGTGCATCGCTCAACACGAATGCACCGGACGTCTTATCCTTTAGACCACGACGACTCATAACTCCCCTGTTCATTAGTATAGGACGGGCAGACGAGGTGCTCACACCTCGGAGAACGGTTACCGTCGTTAATAGGCATTGACTGCCTTCTATCGATTCTAAACAGGGTTTGGGAAGCTAATCGATAACATATAAGATCTGAATGCATGTAATATAATTATTTGTAACCAGCAGTCTATAGTGTAGATGTGACGTAAGCCGTATCCTAAGCGATCGTTGACCCGCGCGATTAGCTGACTTACATTGCGTAGTATAATAAGCCTTAGTTAATTGTAATGTTCATGAGAACAATTCCTTTTCGTTCTTCGTATTCTTTTATAGAAACATTTAATAACTAAATCGCAGAATTACTTTACGTTTGTTTGTCTCTAAACGCCACAATAGCTGGATCGATTTCTACGTAGTTTTCAGGGACAAATAGAAAGTTTGAACTAAGTTTAATCGTTGATCTTATTTAGGCTGACCTCAAATGTTATTCCCGAAGCACGCATGTAACAACTCTTCGTACATTTAATAAAAAAAACTTAATAAATAAATATTAGTACGGTAAAAATAGTATTAGACAAAAAACATTACATCCTGATCAAACAGAATAGAAAAAAGTAATTAACCCTTAGAAGTGCTTCTGTTACTACTTATTTATACAGACATTAATATTATTTACATAAATTATATTAAGTAAATAAATAAATATTTACTAAAAATCACGCCACGTTAACTGATCCCGTGCTAAGTTATTAAAAAACTTGTGTTACAGGTACCAAATGTAAGATTTTTATTATACATATACATATATTTAATATACACCCATAACCCTGAGAAAGACATTTTATATTTATCATACACGTATCTTCCCTTGTCGGGATTCGAACTCGCGACCCCCTTGTGTAGTGACCACGTCACTTACCACTACACCAGACGGCCGTATATTTAAGTGAATATTCACCCACCTTGTTACCGGTGACGCACCAAACCGCTTTCAGCTGTAGAGGCAGCTCGCGGTTCTTGGGGGGGCGCACTCTGAACCTCATCAGCTCGATGTAGCAAGCGTCCGGTGGCTTGAACCTGGTTTTGTTTATAACTCAGCGATGTTAGACACCGGCCAGTCGATCAGATGTCATTTGGTTCAACGACAGTGGACAGAATCAAGTGAAGGGCAATTCAATGAATGCCTCGCAATTCGGAATTCAGTTTTTATTTCTTTTTTTTTGACTAAATAGATTTCTATAGTTACATTGGTCAAGGTTGTGACGGATTGCCGTCTACACGTAAGCATCAGACGCGCAGCCAGATCAGAGGAGTAGGGCCCAGGTAATCCGTCTACCACCGACAGCGACGCTACAAGTCGTTTTCCGTAATAAAGAATTAGAGGAAGAAAAGTATGAATTTTTTTTTTATTGCTTAGATGGGTGGACGAGCTCACAGCCCGCCTCGTTTTAAGTGGCTACTGAAGCCCATTGACATCTACAACGTAAATGCGCCACCCACTTTGAGTTATAAGTTCTAAGGTCTCAGTATAGTTACAGCGGCCGCCCCACCCTTCAAACCGAAACGCATTACTGCTTCACGGCAGAAATAGGCGGAATACAAATAATCACTGTCGTAATATTTATGGAGGGCGTGATGTCTCCCGAAAGGACAGTATCTAAGGGCGACTTTTAACGTACAAAAAGTTACACTGCTTAAACTCATCACAACTCACTTGATGATTTGGCACTTGGTAAACTCCTCGGCCTGGACGCACGCATGGAACTCAGTGTCCTCCACACGGATCCACTCCTCGGTGACGACCGGTATGATGTCGTGTCTGCCGACAACCTCCTTGCCCTGACGTCGCAGATCGTTCACTCCCAGCTCAACATCAGGCATTCCTTGTGAAAGTTAAAGAAAATCGAAAAAAAAAATTTAACGCTATCTAGAATCCAAACTAGAACAGTCTCGAAAAAGATTCGAGAGAGCCAAAAGATCGGGTTAAGTCCGTGTTTTTTTTTTTGTAAAGAGGGATTAGGTACTTGTATCCCGGAAGACTTGACAGTTTCACCAGGAGGGGTGGCATTTGCTAATAGCTGCCCGAGCACATCCGAAGTAGAATAAACAGTTAAGGGCAGCTGCTTCGCGAAATAATCTACTACTGGATCGGAATCGCGACCCACTGCAAAGATCCGATGAACTGTGGGCTCCGAATCCGAACTCAGTGGCTGATGGATGGTGGGTTAGGTTTCTCAGTCGAACTCTTTGGCGAGTTCGACGAGTACGGTTACAAGGGTCCCTAAGCCTGCTCCTAGTTGCAGGCGCCTAATGACATGAGAATGGATCCGTAAGGGCAAGTCCGTGTAGATAAGTCGCCCGTCGTAGTTATGAGTGCGCCTTGATGTCCTAATACCATCCCGGGTAAGCATGCTCTAAATAATTATGTACCCAGCATTACCGGTGGTGGGACTACTCGCCTGTACGACTGCGTCCCGCCCGTTACCACCACGAAGTTATATGCTCCTAAAGGTGGAACCACCATTGTGGGACAAAATCGAGACTCCGAACTAATGTAGTAGAATGGATGACGTCATTCACGCTATTATGTCCATGTCCTGATGCCCAAAACCAAACGGGCTTTAATTGTACCAACGGCATTTCTGCGCAAAATTCTCAGGCGCTATTCTGATTATATATAGACAGTCGTTCCGTAAACGAAGTACACGTAAGGGCGTTTTTTGTAAATTATATATTCGATACGTATTAGATGACGATAGCTATTAAACTCACCACTCAGAAATCCCAGGAAAAACAGTCTCACCCGAGCGATTTGCTTGAGGACCGAACCTTCGGCGTCTTGCTCCACGTACAGTTCGTCTACAGCGGTTATTTGCACCTGAGTCGATTGAAAACGACGCTCGTGAATTACGAAATTACTGTTGATGTGGGGATCACACTTGACTTTTCGGTAAATGAGGTATGCATTGTACCGTTGGGAGTTGGTAAGTGAAATTGCGGATGGGCTCACGGCCCACCGTTTAAATCTTCTTTGTCGTATCACTCTTGTCAGAGCGGTCGTGGTCGTCATCCAGTGTCATTGCTGTGGGCAGATATTATGTGCCTCACGAGCAATCGCCACTTCTCCCGGTTTGTGGTGAGCTTGGTACACTCATGTAAAGCGCCAACTGCCGACTTGACTTCGTCGGTCCCAGTGGCGGATTAAAGGTCCAGAGCGCCCTAGGCAATCACTTTATCGGCGCCCCTGTACCGCCCATAAATGGCCATCATAATACTATAAATTTTAAGTAGTTGTTTTTGCAATTATGATAACGTTGTATCATCAAACCCTAGACCTTAGTTCAGGAATTTAGTTCTTAACCGTCGATATGTTATTTTCTTTATTTATTTAAAAATTCTGAGCTCGCGCGCCCCTTGTAACTACACGCTCCTAAGCACGTGCCTAGTCTGCCTTACGGATAATCCGCCTCTGGTCGGTCCATCGCATGGGCAGCCTTCCAACAACACTAACACAGTACTGCTTCTCGGCTGACTCGAGTACACAAGACTGGCAGTTTGGTACATATAATGTTATGAAAGCCCATTGTGATCAAATACATACCTCTTCCATTTTGTATGTAAGCGCTCGATCTCTGTGCGCGTGTAGCCTGAACAGATTCTCCTCGATACAGCACGAGAACTGCTTCACATCCTCGTACGACAGTGACCCGATTTTGAAGAGTTGTGACACCTACGGAAACGTCAACAAAGATCATTTTGCACTGTCCATGTTTCGAACTTCCGAATTTAAGTAACTTTACCTAATTGTACATTAGTCATATGGGAGGGCTGGTTGTGCACTGAATTAGTTTGTGTTCATTGCTTTATGCGCCGAGGACTCCTCTCAAATATTGCCAGTAAGGGATCTGTAAGCTGGTAGTTCATTCAAAGTCCGGATGCTACGTGTCAAGAAAGATGAGAACTAGTTGAGCACAATGTTTCGAGTGTCTGCTCCAGAGACAGATATCAGTTTCAATGTTTTTTCATTTTGTTTTACAGATTATCTTAAAATAGAATATTCTAGAATCCTACAGTAAGAGAACCGTTTCCAAGGTCGAAGGTAGGTAGGTAAGTATTAAACTTTGTTAACATTTTTTACGACACGCAATGGAACACAACCAAAAACCAATTGACATTAGGGGTCATCGCTCCCGATCGCGTATGATACCCTAATTTTCATCGCTTTAAAGATACATGAAACAAAAACTAGGTACTTATGTTGAGCTTAGCTAAGCGAGTATTATTTTTTATCGAGATAGCATATCAATCAGGGCTTAGGATCGATTACTTAACACCCTGTATATATCTCATACCACGTTTAAGTACACGATGTTATTCATAAGGACGTATATTGAGCGTATACCTGTGGCGCGTGTTCCACCGGCAGACCAAGCTTACGTAGATCGCTGCCAAACTCCTTAACTCCTTGATAATCGCCTTGTATAGCGTAGGCCGCGAACTGAGACAGCTTGTTGGTGATCCTCTCGGCCTTTGTGACTTGTCCGGGCCTGTGACGACAAAAGAAAAATATGATACGATTTATACTAACTAGACCTAGTTGACCCGGCAAACGTTGTTTTGGTATGTTTGTCGATGTTTGTTCCCGGTGCCATTTTTTTTATTGCTTTGATGGGTGGACGCTCACAGCCCACCTGGTGTTAAGTGGTTACTGGAGCCCATAGACATCTACAACGTAAATGCGCCACCCACCTTGAAACATAAGTTCTAAGGTCTTAGGTATAGTTACAACGGCTGCCCCACCCTTCAAACCGAAACGCATTAATGCTTCCCGGCAGAAATAAGGAGGGAGGGTGGGTACCTACCCGCGCGGACTCTCAAAAAGTCCTACCACCATTAAATCGAGTTTATCGCGAGACACATTTTGTCTTTCTGAACAATAATTTTTTTTTGGGACAAACGTGGATATGATTTCTCTTAGAACAGCTCATACTGAAAGAAAAACGATTAATGCGACAAAAATAATGTTCCATTCATTACCTGACCCCTGGCCGTTCCTTGTAGAACACGTACTGCAGTTTCACGGTGAAGATCTTCCCGTACTGGTCGTATTGTTGGGCGCCAATCTCCGAGACCGAGTAGCAAGCTTGGAGGGGTAGCTCTTGGAACGGTTCCTTGTCTCCGGCCGAGTTGAACAACTGTACTACAGGATTGTCCCCTTGGAGCGCTAGTTTCACGAAGATTTTTTTCCAGAACCTTTTGAATTGCACATAAAACTAGTTATTATAAATATTTGGAAAGTCCGTCCCTTAATGTAGCTAAAACTAAAGGCTAGGCAGGTAAAAGGTGGGCAGCGGCTTGGCTCCGCCCCTGACATTGCTGAAGTCCATGGGCGACGGTTACCACAATCAGTATTGCCTATGATCGTCTCCTTAAAAGGAGACGATTTGCTTTCTTAAAATTTACAGTTTTTGTTATTTATAAAGGAAATAATATAATGATAATAATAAAAAAGTGAAAAAGTGAAAAGTAATTCTTAATTATGTTTTCGACCCGCGAAAAACCGACCAAATACTATAGTCGTTTATTTTTATGAAACGTTGCCTACCCTACGCTCTGTTATGACCCCTGACAATTTTTATGCAAAATTTCACAATAACCTGTCGAGCAGTTAGGTTAATAACATAACATCTATTTAAAATGTTACTACAAAGACTTTTCTTTTTTTCTTTAACCAGAGTGCTTATTGCGAGTTTTTTAACATTCTCGATAGCGTAAAAATTAACTCAAACTTGTATACAGTTGGAACGTTCGCCTACGTTTGCCGCTAGGGGCGCTGTTCCAACTGCATACAAATTTGAGTTAACTTTTACGTGAACGAGAACGTTAAAAAACTCGCACTGAACACACAGCTACCTTTGTCCGGTTATCTTCTTCTTGTTCGGTTGCCGTAGTTGCATTTCCCACCCGGGTCCAGTATACTTTGTACGAGGGAAGTCCTCGAGCGGCATAGACACGTCGTCGTCAAAGAGCGGAGTCGGTGGTCCCTCGCCATCACTGCCGGAGTCTCGACGTTGTTCGTCCGCTGAACACAAGTTACAAAGAACGTTTAAATGGGTATTAAAAAAAAAATCGGTAGTCTGTAAAGTCGGTTTACTGACGATAGTTGAACGTGACGACGTCATAAGAAAATACTGATGGAATGGTTTCATTTTTCAATTATCGCAATTATCGTTGCTATAAACAATTGACACCACATTCACTTTTCACTGAACTTCATACTTGACGAAAACATGTAAATGTATTATTGTATAGCAGCTGTCCACGCGGATGCATCGCTCACTCAAGTAGGAGGAGAGACAGATTTCGAACGCTGCCGAACGCGGAGGCCGATTGTGCCTCTTTGTCGCTCGTTGCGCGCTCTCGCTTGCACTTCAAGCCTTAAATGGAACGCCTCAATGAGTCATGTTTTTTCGTGCGTGCAGCCGGCTCCATCGAATTATAAGACGTTGNATTATTGTAGAGCAGCTGTCCACGCGGATGCATCGCTCACTCAAGTAGGAGGAGAGACAGATTTCGAACGCTGCCGAACGCGGAGGCCGATTGTGCCTCTTTGTCGCTCGTTGCGCGCTCTCGCTTGCACTTCAAGCCTTAAATGGAACGCCTCAATGAGTCATGTTTTTTCGTGCGTGCAGCCGGCTCCATCGAATTATAAGACGTTGTCACGTCAATAACGGTTTTTTAAATCGTATTCATGAATAAACTAACCTTGTTGAGGTTCAAATCGTTGCACTTCAAACTCGCCTTTGTCGAATGGATTCGTTCGTGGTGATTCGGGAAGAACTTGGGGTCGTGGTGGTGGAGCCAACACGGGAACCGCAGCCTCCTCAGTGCCATTGTCTGTTTCCTTCGGCCTAGTATAATAAATTACCGATATCTTAGTAGACTATGATGGATTATTAATATAACTCATCATAGAGAAATAGAAGTTAATTAGATAAGAGATCGCGGTATTGAAGCTAAGGTAATACAACCACTGGGTTTAAAATAGCAGAACTGTGATTGTCATATTATGTGTCGTGAAAGCTGACTAGACATTCACCGCTATCATGTCCATTTCTGCAGCTAAGCAGTCTTGTGTTTGATCTTTGAAGGGTGGACAATTGTTGTAAAGTACAACCGAGAGTTCGACGTCATATCTTTGTGGGTGGCGGCATTCACGTTGCGACATCAATGGGCCCCGCTAACGACTTTAAGCCAGGTAAGGTAAGTTCATACATTCACCTGTGCAATAAAAAGGGTTTTCTCTATTTATAGGTACTTATATTATGACATAATCACATACCTTATGAAGACAGTGAAAGTATCATCTGTAGAATCCCGTGAACCTTGGTGGTCGAGTCGTGGGGTAGCAGCAGGAGGTGGTGGTGCGCCCATGCTTAAGAACGGATCGAAAGCTTCAGCCTCAAACCCTGCAGGACCAACATCTGCGGGGACTTCATCCCCCCACACATCTAAGGAACATATAATACACATTCAATATAATTGCTTGTTTTTTAAGAATCAATTCAAATCTCGGTACCTGCCACTCACCCGTGGTTTCTCGATTCGAGGCAGTAGAGTCAAATTTGGCTGAAAAAGCGTCAAAAGCATCTGAAGTAACTGGAACGGATTCCTGCATTACAGTATCTGATGTATTTCCCCAGGGCGAATCAGGTGTCTGTTGCATTTGTGAATCGAAAGCGTCCATTGCATTACCACCAAATAAATCGGCTTTGTCATTTGCGGTAGTGACTTCAGTTGTTCCGAATACGTCCGATGTTGCGACGTCCATGTCCGTTGGAATTGTTCCACCAAATGTGTCATCTTGGATAGCCTCGCCAAATATGTTATCGCAAGCTACCGGTGTAACTGATGATTCTTCCACTTTAGCATCGAACACATTTTGGGCTGTATTCGAAAACATAACATCGGAGGCCCCAAAGCTTTCGAATGGATTCATCTCGATTTCTTTTGTTGGCGCCTCTTGGAAGTCCTCATTTATCATGTCTGTGAATGGTGAAGTATTCGCAGTGGCGGAGGTAGAGTTTGGTGCTGGTTCAGAACAGTCCATTGGTACGGAAGTTTCGAGTGTTGTTGAGAATATGTTAGATTCAACAGGCTCAGCCAAAGTAATGCTTTCTTTTACTTCCTCAGTCGCGAATGGTCCCGTTTCGTTTGTTGGTGCTGTAAATTCTGCTGCAGTTGGTTGCGGCATATCTACCGGAACTTCTTCGAGTATATCATCGCTCAGGAAGTCTATTTGTTTTTCTTCTTTCTTCGGTGCCGAATATAAACTAAGTATATCCTCTTTTGTTGGTTTCACAATTGGCGCTGGTATTGGCGCATCGAATAGATTAATATCATCTGTCGTCTGTGGTGGTGGGGGACGCGTAATAGGTGGTTGTGCGGGAGGTGCTGGACGCGGAGGTGGTGGACGCGCAACTGGTGGTGGTCGAGCTGGTGGTGGCCGTGATGGTTTGCTACGGCTTACATCGAATATATCCGTATTCCGAGATTCTTCCTGAAGTTCTGGCTCAGGTGTAGGACTTGGTGAGTGTATATCACGAACTGAAACGGGGCTTGGTGTTCGAGTTGGTGGAATTCTGTCTAGTAGATGAGAACTTGTAAATTCCATTTGTCCAGTGACTGTCAGAATTAGATTTTGTGTTTCAGGTGGTAAAGGATGGGAAGGGATCGTTACATCGTCATCCGGTGCTTGCATAATGTCAGTGGTCGTGGAGCCCAGATCAAGATCTGTTGGCTTAACGAGCTTATCGTGGGCGGAATGTTGATTTGGAAATATATCATCCGTGAAGTCATCAAAATGTTTGGCCTCAACGCCTGAGGGATCTGCACCAAAAATATCAACAGGGACTGTGTCACCCACTGGAGGCTCGTAGCCATCCCCGAAGTCTGAAAATGGGTTGCTAGTAGCAAATGGATTGTCTCCTGAGAATGTTGTACTCTCATTTGAATCTCCTGACATCATGAACGGATTCAGTACTTCAGTAGTGACAGGTGCGACGGGCTCGCCCATACTTAAGAAGGGGTTGTACGCCATTGTTATTGTCTGTTATCAGTTTATTTTAAAAATTCAGACTCAAGTAATTTTAGCTCTGTTTTTCCTGGGTTTAAATCTCCCGCAAAAGATGTATCGAACGGATCAAAATCCTCTTGACTTTGTCTTGTTTCTGATGGCTCGGGAGTGAGAGCTTTGACCTGAAATATATCGTCTGAAGGTTCCAGTAAATCTAACTCGCCCTTTTTTTCTTCTTCTTCACATGAAAACTCTTTGGCCAACAACTTCAACTCAGTTTTACTGGGAGCTATTACTGCAAATGAAGTATCAAACGGATCTACCTCTACTGTCTCGAGATTGCTAGAATCTCCAGGACCCGAAGGCGTTAAAACTTTAGTTTCGATTCTGCTTGAACGAGTCTTAAGTTCTTCCTTTGTTTTTACGTTTATCTTAGACTGGTATGTTTGAGAAAACTCCGAATATCGTCGCTTTGCCTCGTAGTTAATTTTTGGTGCTAAGTCTTCATCCGAGCGAGTTCTAGTGAGTGTTTCAGAGAATGTGTCTGCTGCCTCTGCTTCTAGGTCTTCGGTAATAGAGACTTCACGAGTATAATAGGGAGTTAAAGGCTTAATTAGCTTTGGTTTTGAGTCTAAGCTTAACGGTTCCTGATCATCAACATTAAAAATGACACTTTTACTAACTGTCAAATTCTCAGGTCGAGATGCACGTCTTTCTCCTATTTTGGGTTCGTCAGCACGTGGATCAAAGTCTGGATCACTTGGGACACGATACAACGTTGCAGAGTTTGTGCCGATAAGTTCCTGTTCGAGGATCTTTAATTCAATTTTCCCCGGTGTTGAAATTTTATCAACTATCGTCGTATCGAATGGGTCTATTTCAGCTTCATTTACGTCAACTGGGTCTAAAGGCGAATCACCTAACTGAGTTAAGTCTGTTGTACTTCCTCCTAATAAATCCCGAGAAAACCTTTCATCTTTCTCTCCAATATCATCAGAGGTAATCGATTCGCGGACACCGGAAGGATCAGTCAAGTGTATACGAACTGAGGATTTTCTCCTATTATTTAATTTAACTCTGATTTCTTCAGCTCGCGGATCGAAGTCGTCGTCGTCTTCTAAGATCGGCTCTTTTTCGATGTCTCGAAGAGAAGTCGATGGTATGACTGCATCGGCAAAGCTTGTATCAAACGGATCGTTTTGGTCACCGTACGGATCTGCGACGTCGAGCTGATCTTCGACAATACTCTCAGCAAAAACAGATTTATTTTTGTCGGCTTCGAATGCAGACCATGATTCTTGGACGACTGGCTCTAATTTAATTTGTTTTTCTTGTAGTTTTGTTACTTCAGTACTCGCTTCTAACGACTCTGCCGCTAGTAAAGTAAATTCGTCAATTTCGTCCGTGTGAGTATCTTCAGCATTTAGTTTTTCACTGTTAAGCGGGCTTTCTTGTTTCTTTTGCTGTATGAATGATGTATGTAGAGAGACACTCAGATCAATGGGAGTCGTTACTGGTATGTCTGCATCAAGATCTAAGATACTTTTCTCAACTGGGTCACTTGCGGTTACTTTGCTGATAGCAGGGGTTTCATCTGCAGTATTTTCTAAGAGTAAGTCGCCAGGTATTACTCTCTTTGGTCGTTTTGTGGTAATAGTCAGGTTATCGATACGCCCGGTTAGAACTTCAACAGCAACGCCAATGTCTAACGTTTTCTTTCCTTTAGAAGCTTTTACTTCGTGGCCTTTGATTAAAGCGTCTACGTGTGACGTATCAAATATATCATCATCTTGAAAGTCTTCTGGTGAATCAGGAACATAAGCAAGTTTTACTTCACCTCGTTCAACTGCATCTACGTATGAAGTATCAAAAATGTCGTCTTGATCCTCTTCTTCAGATTCGTCGTCAGTAACTCCGTATTCACTTTTATCTGCTTCTTCTTCTGCGACTGCTTGAACTAATTTAGGAAAATCAGCTTCCGTCACCTCAACTACAGGTCTGCTTGGTGCTGCTTTCGGTGCAGGCTGCTCTTTGGCCTTCGCTGGAACTCTTTGAAAGAAAGATGTGGATTTTATACGATCTAAATCTCCTTGAGTTTTCTTAAGTACTGAGTCGACCCCTGTAGTTAAATCTTTGAATTTGGACCATTCTTCATTTTCTTTGGTTGATCCCTCACCAGTTTCGGAGTTTTGATGTTCTCTTCTGTACTTTTCAAGTTCTTCTTCGGTAAAAAGCTCCTCTTCTCCTTTGCGCTTTGACTTTTTTCCCTTTTTCTTCTTCTTAAGGCCTTTTGGTAGTTTTAGCATTATACGTTTTTTCGTCTAGATTTTTGAGTTGCTGAAACAATGTTTCGGTAATAAATAAAAATGACACGTATTATGTATTTGCGTTGTCTTAAATAGAGAGACATCAGGCGTTAACTAGTAAGCTGGAGCCCATAGTGATCATAAAGTGATTGCAAGCTCATCTTGAGTCACGAGGCGGAAGTCTAAGGTTAAAATAGAAAAAAATGGACTGTCTTAGACAATGGGAACACGTGTACATATTTATAAGGGGTGTGAGTTGGTATATTATCGCACATGAGTCGGGCCCAAAGCATAACTGCTCGCTTTGAGACACTAGACCTAACTCTCAATTCCACTAGGATAATTGTGCTGCTACTCTTCGTACCGGAATAAAGGCATGACGGTATCAATGTATGTATACGAGCTTACCAACTCAAGTTAACGAATTAATTATAACCCTTGGGGATCTTAAGTTGTAAAATGGTTGAGGATGCTCACTACTACGAATGGATGATAGACAAGTAGTAGTAGCTAAAAGAAATTTAAATCACGGATATCCTTATTTATTTCCGTACATATGGTTACCGTGTAAGATTTTTTCACGTCAAAGAGAAAAATAGCATAAGGTTAAATCAAGTATTTAACAAATATCATTTCTGAGTAAAATACTTACCGTTTCCATGATATAATAAACTAGAATTCGGTTCAAAACAAGTAACTAACTACCAAACGTACACGTTTGAAATCTAAGAAGCTCTGAACTTTATTACAGGTTTACACGTCGATAGCAGAATATAATATCATAATGAACATTTTTAGGCAGATGGGGGCGCTTTTCATTGTATTGATCGTGTTATGCGACGGGAATTGATGTAGGTTACGGCGTCTTCCTGGTAACAGGTTGCTCGAAAAGTTGCAGGACACACTCACAATAAATACTATAATAGATTACAATTACCAATCATTTATATAGTCTTTAAATTTAAATATCAACATATTTGCATAAATTTGATTACGAATAAAAATTAAGGGAAGAGAAAAAACTATAGTTTTGTACACACCAAATAAGAACGAAGGGTACACATTGAGAAAATGAGATACACAAAAGCAAGAATGAGGAAGAAATTCGAGATATTGTCGAATGGAAATGACAGTGCAAATGGGTGAGACACAAAGTGAAGGTCGGTGGTGGAGATGAGAAACGAGGCCGCGTCGTGGGCCGCGGCGGCACGGAGACACACAGCGGCTAGCTACGGGCACGTACCGGGACTCCAGCCGCCGTTACCTACAGCTAAGGGCATAGGCTACCGCGCTACGGACAAAGGGTCTCTATACCTTCATCGCAACGCGGAGACGAGGGGACAGTACGCGAGGCGAGCACTCTGCTGAAGGCGCCTGCCGGACACTGGCGGCGCGGCTCGCTCCAGAACCCACTTCCCTGATATCGATCTGCGAACAGTTCGCGCATGCTCCGACCACCCGCCTACGAGCGTCACCGCTCAATCCTCCTCAGGACATCGTGTTATGCAATACTTGAGCGGTGCGTGGGCTTAAGTATGCGCCCTTTTCCAGATATAATCGAATAATTACATGGCGTAATCGAAAATCGAAATTGAAAAATATATTTCTCAGATTTTTTTCATTTTTCTTACTGATAACTTTTTTTTTGCATTGATGAGTAACCGAGCTAATATTAAATGTTTTTTTTTGAGCCCATAGATATGATAACGATGGAGATATCCTCAGAGTTTACCCCTGCCCACTCACTGATGAATCCTTTAGTCGTCTTTTACGACACCCACGAAAAGAAAAGGGATGATGCTATTTTAGTCCGACACGCCATATTCGAAGCTGAGCTTAAAGTGTTAGTAAGCGGTTATTGGAGCAATTAGACACGACGACGCTGTCCACCTTAAGCCGCGATTTCGGACTCTCAAGTTATAATAAAATGGAGTACGTTGGAAGAAACCTACACTCAACAGTAGGTGAACACGTGTTGAAGGAAGAATTCATAATTACGGTCTTCGTGCATAAGTGCTTTGTGCTTCTAGGCAAAAGCAGAAACTCTGCATTTTCTTGTTGTAAAGCTTTACGCTAATCGGTGTGAAGGGCAGGATCGTTATTTTGTCAAAAATACCTAATTTAACAGTTGACGTATGGAGGTATATATTAGAGGTATACCTATATTATTTATAGAGGTATATTATACTAAAAATTCAACTTCTTTTAACGAAATAAAAATATGAATAATACAATTTCCTGATTACGAAACAGAATATATTTTAAAACTTTTTGTTTGTCAGTACCTACTGAAACCGTTATGTGAGAATAATTTTATGATAATGAAGTTTGATGTTTAATTAAAGTTTTTATTTTTTAGGTTATATATCCTACTTTTTAATTTCATAATATGATAAACCTTTAGCACTTATACGCTAACGTCAATCTAAGAGGAGCTTTATCCAAGAAAAACTATCTTTTGAAGAAAGAAACTATCTTTTATTTCTCTACCTAATAGTTGGTAGCTTACGGGTATATGCAAAACTACGCGCGGACCGGTAGATGAGCTTACGGACTCAACCTGAGAGAAATGCTAACTCTAGCCCTAGCGAGGGCAGTNATGATAAACCTTTAGCACTTATACGCTAACGTCAATCTAAGAGGAGCTTTATCCAAGAAAAACTATCTTTTGAAGAAAGAAACTATCTTTTATTTCTCTACCTAATAGTTGGTAGCTTACGGGTATATGCAAAACTACGCGCGGACCGGTAGATGAGCTTACGGACTCAACCTGAGAGAAATGCTAACTCTAGCCCTAGCGAGGGCAGTACTTCGCTGAATCTACCACCGTATCGAAATCGCGACCCACTGAGAAGATCCGGCAAGAAAATCAGTGACTATAACTGTCGTTAAGTAGCTACTATTTTCTAGGAACAATACATTTTTTACAAACTCTACAAACAAACTTATGCTAGTATTTTAAGTAGGTTTTAAGATTTATGTAATACCTTATATTTCTTTTTTTTTACTTTGGATTATATTCAATGAAGCCCTCAAAATTTATAATGCAAACGCACTATAGCCACAAGCGATATTTAATTTAAATGAGAGGCCGGTTAATGTGTATAGTATTTATTATCTATGGTGCATAATTTCTTTGAAATGTTTCGTCACCAGTGTGCTCAGTGCGAGTTGGAACAACGCCCCTAGCGGCAAATGCAAGGGCGCTGTTCCAACTCCCCATACAAATTTGAGTTAGTTTTTTTTATTTATTGCTTAGATGGTGGACGAGCTCACAGCCCATCTGGTGTTAAGTGGTTACTGGAGCCCATATACATCTAAATCGTAAATGCGCCACCCACCTTGAGATATATGTTCTAAGGTCTCAGTATAGTTAAAAAACTCGCACTAAGCACTAGGCAAAAGACTTAAAAAAAAACTTTGAAATCGCGATTAGACGGTGCCGTACTAATATTGGCAGCTACTTTTAAAACTATAACTGTTTTCTTTTATCTACTTTGGTAGGCAAAGGGAACGTTCAAATTTTTATTCAAGTTGAATGTACAAGCCATAATGTATTTTAAGTGAACTGGAAGCCCAGAAGAGCAATAAATTCATGCTTGTCTTGCACGGCTCCCAAGATGTATTGCTAACAGCTGATTTTACCCCCTTTTTTTTCTTGTGTCTGTTGCCCTTCTCCTACGAGGTCCCCGCGCTTAGGGAGCGCTCGGGGCATGTAGGACTGGTCCGCGACTGCGGACCGCGGGACTAATGATGTTTTCAGGACCCACCTACAAACGACTCCCTTGCAGTCTTCGCCCAAGCGTCCTATCCCCTCCGAGGTCAGAACCCGGATGAGGAAAGGGGGTTATCGCGGTCAACACTACAACCAGACGGTGCGGCTCACCCCAAGGACATCCGGTCGACGGAGCTTTCGAAGCGAATCGAAGGTTCCGAAACGTCAGCCGTCTCGGTACGGCATGGGCAGCTCGTCAGGCCGCCCAGACGGTGCCGCCGATGCCCCGGGATACTCCGCTGGATCAGAACCAGCCTGCTAGGTCGGGATGCAATACACCGTCAACCGGTTGCTCTTTTACCTCGAAGATATTCCTGTTTGGCAGCGCGCTAGAGTGCTGGTAATGCGCCACGCTGCCTCGACCGCCTCATGTTGCCCCGTGACCTTCACCGAGGGGGCTGAACTTTCCCATGGATTTGTTTTTTTTGTTTCCAACAAACGTGATTACGTGGACAAACAAGATTACGTGGATACAAGGCCTTTTCAGTTTTACAGGACAAGAAGACATTCATAGAGTGTGTATTGCATGGTTTCACTTCTTACATGAAAAATGTACAGGTACAGTGCTCCAAAGAGGTATGCATACATATGCGAAAATTTATGTCAGAAAATAAAATTGGGAAGTCTAATTTGCTTTGTCTGGATTAGTTTCACATAGAAACTGTTTTGCTTATGTGTGTCTGATACTCCACAATTCCAGTGCACCTACACTATCCTTACTGGCACTCTTATCCAATCCAATCCCATTTTTGGCATTTATTCATCTCTAGCGTCAACTCGGATTATATCTTATAGCCCATTAGTGCTTTAAGAACAACATGGATCTCGCTGAGTATGTAAGTATTTATATTAAACGGCCGTCTGGTGTAGTGGTAAGTGACATGGTCACTGCACAAGGGGGTCGCGGGTTCGAATCCCGCCAAGGGAAGATATTTGTATGATAAATATAAATGTCTTTCCAGGGTTATGGGTCTATATTAAATATATGTATGTGTATAATAAAAATATTATATTTATTTCCGTTATCTGGTACTTGTAACACAAGTTCTTTACGAACTTAGCACGGGACCAGTTAACGTGGCGTGATTGTTAGTAAATATTTATTTATATTTATATTTATTTATATCTTCGTGTTGCCTTACTATCTCAGCAGCGCATTTTTGACCGGGAGCCGAACGTCCTACGAGGTCCCCGTGCCTGGGGGGCGCGCGGGGTATGTGGACTGGACGGTCCGCAGATGCTAGGAGTAGCCCGCGGGCTCAAGGGATAGAATTTATGCCCCTACCCACTAAATGACTCCCCTGCACTTTCGCACAATGGTCCGATACCTCGAGATCAAAACCCGGGTGGGGTAAGGGGGTTACCACGATTAACATTGTAACCAGACGCGCAGCTCACCCCAGGGACGCCCGGCCGACGGAGGGATCGGAGGCTCTGGACGTTGGCAGTCTGTGCGCAGGTGTGCCCCTGGTGTTCCAGAATATCCTACTGACAGAACGAAGCTGTCAAGTCAAGATGCGATACACCACCAACCGGTCGCTCTTATGATGTTACTCGAACATACATACGTATGCCCAATTTTTTTGTAACTGAACTGAGACCTTTAAGTCATGTCTTATTTATAAAATTATATTATGGAGTGAAATGAAATGAAGATGATTAATTTGAGACATTAATCAACTGGGATGAAATGAAATGAGATAATATGAGATGAAATATTATTATAATCTCAGTTAAATGGTGGTCATTTATTAAGATTTTTTCAGTGGACTTTTTGGAGCATCCCAAGTTCCCAAGAAGTTACGTCCAGTGGCTTTGTTTCATTTTCCCATATTTGTGCATTTTCACAGATATTAAACAGTTAATAAGCCACCATTATTACACATTTAAACCCGAAGAAACACTAAATAGACAAAAGAAAACAACTTCACTCCACGCGTTCCCGCCAAAAAGTCCCGCGTATGCCCAATTTATTTAAGAGATTTTATGACCTGGTATCTGAGACCTTTAAGTCATGTCTTATTTTAATTTATATTCATATTTTTATGAAAAATGATATTATGGAGTGAAATGAAATGAGGATGATTAATTTGAGACATTAATCAGCTGGGATGGAATTAAATGAAATTAAATGAGATGATATGGGATGAAATGGGATGAAATACAATCTCAGTAAAATGGTGGTCATTTACTAAGATTTTTTCAGTGGACTTTTTGGAGGATCCCGAGAAGTTACGTCCAGCGGCTTTGTTTCATTTTCCCACATTTGTGCACTTTCACAGATATTAAACAGTTAATAAACCACCATTATTACACATTTAAACCCGAAGAAACACTAAATAGACAAAATAAAACAAATCACACAACTTCACTCCTCGCGTTCCCGCCAAAAAAGAGTTATCAGTTTTTTTTTTTAAGGGATTTTATGACCTGGTAACTGAGACCTTTAAGTCATGTCTTATTTTAATTTATATTCATATTTTTATGAAAAATGATATTATGGAGTGAAATGAAATGAGGATGATTAATTTGAGACATTAATCAGCTGGGATGGAATTAAATGAAATTAAATGAGATGATATGGGATGAAATGGGATGAAATACAATCTCAGTAAAATGGTGGTCATTTACTAAGATTTTTTCAGTGGACTTTTTGGAGGATCCCGAGAAGTTACGTCCAGCGGCTTTGTTTCATTTTCCCACATTTGTGCACTTTCACAGATATTAAACAGTTAATAAACCACCATTATTACACATTTAAACCTGAAGAAACACTAAATAGACAAAATAAAACAAATCACACAACTTCACTCCTCGCGTTCCCGCCAAAAAGTCCGCGTATGCCCAAAATATTTTTTTCAAGTAGATTACAAAAAACGTATAAAGTGACAGCTGCACGATTCTATGATTAATTTGTTTTCCGTTTTCGTCGCCTTTGAACTTTGAAGTGTGAAATAGAATTGAAACTTTTTGAAGTAAAGTTTCTACCATATCTCTAAGTTTATCTCTTTAACTAATATCTTTAATGTGCTATTTTTTTTATATAAAGACTTCGATTCAGTGCTGTTATTTAGATTGTTAGTCTGTGGCAAAGCTTGAGAGCAATTGTTAAAGACTCACCACATATGTGAGTGTCCTTTTGGTAAAGCAAAATATACATTATAGGGAGTATCAACCTATCAACATTTGAGCAATTTATTTTTGTACGAGATTAAGATTAATGCTTGTCCTACCTATTTTTGTACCTATTTTTTTGTACTTTAGCTGGGACTTATTTGTGCCGCATCAAATTTGTGTGTGTGCACACGATAGTAAACCGGTTTGTAAAACTAAAGTCGGTGATGGATTTATTTGCTCAATAGTATTGAAAAAATCAGAAAAAATTACTATCAAGTTTCTCATAAGCTGTTGATTTCGATTTGAAAATTCATAAATACTACGTTGTGGATTATTTGCATATTGCTAATATATGACTGAAATGTCTTAGTTTTTTTTTTAATACGATATTATTAAAAATAATTTGCAGCATTATTAAATGTGTGTGTTTGGTCTTTTACATTGAATTCGCATTTAAAGAGATAGCTTTAAATAAAATTATGAAAAACTTTAAGTCGCAGAAGTGTTGAAAATAACATCCTCTTTAGCTTTATATGAAGCTGTAAATATAGATCATGTTACTGTAAATGTGAAATAAAAAAAATTAAATAAAAAAAAATCATAAGCACAACAGAGCGCACCCCCCTAGCGGTAAACATAATGAACTAATTTGTCAAAATAGGTTATTAACCAACTAAACATAAAATGTCGTTTTGGCAATTCACGTCAGTCGGACCTCTTTTTCTTTCGCACGCTTTATACGTAAGTCAATACTCGTCCATTGACTCTTGACTAGGCTACGTCATTTATTACCTCACTATTCCGCGAGGCTACGTACCTACGTCGTAACGTCGCTTACCTACGTTTATGTTTTCTGCAAGGAAAAACCAAATTTTTTCGCATTAAGTGATTTGCATTCAAGAAAATGTTTTATATTGGTGCTCTGCGTGCGAACCAGTATAGGTGAAAATTGCGCGGCGGCACGGAGCAAACAAACGTGCGGGCCTCACGGGCAGCAGTTTGTTATCAAACAGCTAGTGGCGAGGCGCGAGGGCCATGGCGATGGCGGCGCCCGGGATCATCGTGAAGGAAGGATGGCTGCAGAAACGTGGTGAACACATCCGGAATTGGCGAGATCGGTACTTCATATTGTTCGACACGGGGGACCTGGTGGGCTTCAAGACCCAGCCGGAGCGGAACAACTACAGGGACCCTCTCAACAAGTTCACCGTACGCGACTGCCAGATCATGGCTGTGGACAAACCTCGCCCCTACACTTTTACCATACGTGGCCTGCAGTGGACCACTGTTATTGAAAGGAACTTCTCAGTTGACAACGAAAAAGAAAGGTAAGCACATGTTTAAAATTATAAACTAAATCGTATAATTGGAAATATATTATCCTTAAATTTAATAAATGCAAGAACAAAACATAAATACATTATCCTGAAGGATTGTTATGTTTTGACATTGCTCCTGTTGCTGATGTGGACTTAATAGTTTAAAAATTCAATAAATATTTATTCCACATGTGCTATTTTTGTAGCGAAATGTGACAACAAAACAATTACTTCAGAACTGATCTTAAATTTTTAAACATAGAACAAATACCAAAAGTTAAATGTAAATTACAAATGTCACAAACCAGTAAAAAAATACAGAGGATTGTGCATTTACAAAGAACTACTTACTCGATTCTCAGTGTTGTTTACTAACTGCTCATTATTTGTGTAGGTCAAGGTTGTATGAAGGTTGCACCTTTCTATAATTGTAATCATCTACTAGGGCTTGATTACCCCTCAAAATGTTTCAGAAGACAAGCAAACAAAATCAACCAGTCAAGGTTATGAGATTACTCATGATCGGACTAATAATTCCAAATTTGAAATTAGATTACTGTGAATAGCCTGTTAAAGTAAAATATAAATTCAAAATTACCACTGTTAAACAATAGCCATTGAAAAGTTTAGAATTATACTGGTGGTAGGACCTCTTGAGAGTCCATGCGGGTAGGTACCACCACCCTGCCTATTTCTGCCATGAAGCAGTAATGCGTTTCGGCTTGAATGGTGGGGCAGCCGTTGTAACTATACTTGAGACCTTAGAACTTATATTCAAGGTGGGTGGCGTATTTACGTTGTAGATGTCTATGAGCTACAGTAACCACTTAACACCAGGTGGGCTGTGAGCTCGTCCACCCAACTAAGCAACAAAAAAAAAAAAAAAAATATATATATATATATATATATGAATTGGCAAGGAAATTAGTTGTAATAAAGGGATTTTTGTATCATCATTTCAATACATGTACATTGAGAGATTTGACAAGTACATAATAAAATATATGACCTCCCTATTAATATTTATCACTAATGTTTGCGTATAATTAATTGCATTTAAAATATTAGTTGTAGTCATGAAAGCTATTAAAATCTGAAACAGCAATTCGAGCAAAACTTGCAATTTAAGTTACTAAAACAAATGTTATTGTAAGCTTATGACTTTTTCTGAACGTTTTGCTGCAGAAATAGGCATCTACATAAAAAAATGCCCTAAAACTAGCATAGTATTGGTTTGANCTAATGTTTGCGTATAATTAATTGCATTTAAAATATTAGTTGTAGTCATGAAAGCTATTAAAATCTGAAACAGCAATTCGAGCAAAACTTGCAATTTAAGTTACTAAAACAAATGTTATTGTAAGCTTATGACTTTTTCTGAACGTTTTGCTGCAGAAATAGGCATCTACATAAAAAAATGCCCTAAAACTAGCATAGTATTGGTTTGACAGGAAATAGGCAGTTTGATAGGAATATAATTGAGTACACTATTGTGGAATGAAAAACGGAAATAGTAGGATTATTTGTAGGCCAGAATTGAAGACCTGCATCTGCAGACAAATATTCAGACGTGCTATTATCATTAACATTCTCTGATATAAATAAATGACCAATTAATTGCATTCATTAAAGAGTAAACCACCAGCAAATTAGGAAGTAATTTATATTCTATAAATAAACGAAGAAAATAAGATTCCAAATAATTGATTATGGGAGCAGAAATTGCTATTTTGTGAAGACAAAAAAGTATGCTTTAAATTGATTATTTATTCAGGAGAATTATCATAATATGTTCTCAATTTATTTAAATTTCTTAAGGAACACATTATAAAAATTAAAATAAAAGTAAAGTAAGAGTAAAAGGCTACAATTTAGTTCTAAATACAGTGTCCTGAAAAACAACCGGAAATCTTTTATTGCTTATAATGTGTTTGTTTATCATTTCATACCTTTGAATGTCATTGTTACAATGATGGTAACATAATTACATTGTTTTTGTGAATTTAGAATAGGAATCAACAAGTCAAATATTATGATTCATTTTAGAATGTTTTTGTATTATTCACCTATATGTTACAGTTTTGTTTGAGTCTGAAGTGAACAAAAGATGAATATCCTGAAAGTATTTTATTTGAATAAATTATATACATAAAATCTGATTCATATCTCCTATACTTTTTAAAGGTTGCGTCTAATACATATTAGCATATAGCCTATCTTATGGTGAGGTATCATCACTATCACAGAATAAACTAATCCGCCTCCTTTAATAACTTTCTCCTGGATTGTCAGCTTTCCGGAGAGGCCAAGTCTCGGCACAGTAATGGAAAATGGAGAATATGAGCGAGGTGATGAGCTGCTTCTTGGTATTCTTCGAAATATTTCTGTCTGTCCATACACAGTCCATTCGGGACATAGCTCTCTTTGCCATACCAATCCAATCATACCAAGAAAATCTCCTATAAAATTATACAGTACGGGTGGTCCAAATTTATACTGTTGCTGTGTAAAATGGTGCTGTTAATAGAATTTTATGATATCATTGATGGGATAAATTTATTGGGAAATTTATTTAATAAAAATAAAAGGTAGAAGACTTCAAATATATGTGATTCAGAGACTACAGCTGCAGAAGACCAAGCAAGAGCCTTTTGATTGATTAACAGTTACTGGAACCATCTCCATCAAAATGATTATTATAAGCACTAAATCTCTACTAAATTAAATAATTCATAAAATAAAATAATTTAAGGGAAGAAATAACTTATTGTGTTAAAAATACCAACTAAATATATAAAAAAATAAACTACATAAATTATCTAATATATTATAATATAAATTCAATGCTTGTAAAGGCCCTGCAGATGGGGATATTTTTATACCACACACAAAAATGTTTATTTCTTTTCTTATCTTTGCAATACCTTCACTATCATTGAAGTTATATTTAAACACTAAAGTACCTTGTTTTTTACTTTTTAATTGGTAATTTAAATGCATCGTTCATTTATTTCTCAGTTTTTAGTTATTTGTGTTGTAAATATTAAAGTTTTACGATGTTCTTTCTAATTTTAATTACTTCTTCTTCTTCTTCTCTGTCGTTTCCTCATTGCTGAGGGTCGTGACCACCTTGGTCCAGTTTTTGCACCAGCTTTCTCCAATGCTGCCTGTATTCGGCCTGCTTAATGGCGCCCGGGACGCTGGTGTTTGTGGCCTCCTTGATAATGTCCGTCCACCTGGTTGGCAATCTTCCTCGACTTCTCTTTCCTTCCACGTGACCTACAACTATTAATTTTTCCAAGTTCTCGGGATTTTGTCGGGCCACGTGTCCGAAGTACTTTAATTTTAATTACAGAGGAAATTAAATATAATTTTTTTAATAATTTTTTTTTGTGGTATTAAGTATATTAATAAAGTATAATTAATAATAGTTCTATGTTGATATCCCTGAAAAGGCTTAAGGTGTGGCAAACGGTTGTACCTACATACAGACTCTAAAATTTTATCCTCCTTTGGAAGGTAACTAAAAAAGAAGCATGATTCATTCAGAAGACTATTATTAAGAGTTACCAATCACAGTAGGCGTTCATAGGTCTATGGAACTGATAGGTGCAGGAATTAGTTTGTTTATAAGTAGAAAACAATGCAAATAGAGCATATATCGTCTTCTCGCATTAAAATTGTATAATCTCAAAACTTACTAATTTTACAGGAGAGTGTTTTAAAGGTTTAACATTTGATGTTTTTAATATTAATCATCTTTGTAACATTTTTTTTTTACCAGTTACATTACCTGTCTTTTAAAGTAAGATAAAATTATGTATTAATTTTGTTAATAGTAGTCAAAACATAGGAAAACTAAAAAAACAAAAATTAAAACTACGCTCTTTTGACAGTATTTATACGAAAAATACTGGTGATACCAAGTGATTCCGTATATTAACTCAATTTCGAATATTTTTGGAAATTTTACACTTTTTTTAATGCGAAAAGACGATATACTGATTAATGTTAACTTTATTATCTCCAGAGAAGAGTGGGTGAAGGCCATCCGAGAAGTTGCCTCGCAACTGAGCACCGGAGGGCCCAGTTCAGCATCGATGTCCGATGCTGACGATCGCGACATGGCACAGCTCGGCACCAGCTTCCGTGACCCCCGCCGCATCGTGAGTACACCATTCGAATCCAGAATTACATGCAGAACTTGTTCAAAATTAGAATAAATGGAGTGCAATTGGTGAGATGTCTAGTGTACTCATCATATACACATATATTCGAATATTAGGATTTGTTTACGAAATACTTCCACAATTAAGGGATAATATTGAGTAAAAAATTGGTGATGTGCAAAATTTGTAAGGTCGCACTAGCACCACTACTCTACCTATTTTTGCTGCGAAGTAGTCGTATGTTCCGGTTAGAAGGATCAGATAGCCGTTAAATTGCAAGTATAAAGTTGACCTGATGGCTTCAGTAACCAATCAGTATCAGATGGCCCGTGACCTATTTTATGTACTCAAAAATGTTATCGAAAAATCTGGCATCTTAGCTGATCTCTGCTCAACATATAATAATAAGTTGATCATAACCAATGTTAGATGACTTATTTGAAGTTCTAATTCCAATACAAGTTTTTTAGTTTTCCGATTTCTTTCTGTAAATTTATTGATGGCATTTAATTTTTATGACTAGAATCTGACAAATAGCGGTGTTCTTACTGGTTTGTGTAGTTTTTAATCCCTGAGTTACGTGCTATGACTCTTGTCTTTTTCTTTTTTCCCGCCGGGGGCCGAACCCCCTACTCGGTCCCCAGACTTAGGGGGCACTCGGGTAAGTGGGATAGATGGTCTGTAGATGTTGGGAGAGGACCAAGGGATGGAATTTAGGACTTTACTCACTAAACGAACAGCTATGCTTCTGTAGGTCCCCTTTTTTCGTATACATTTCCTATGCCCTCTTGCAGGTCGAGATATATACTATACATATAAACCTACTTATCTCAAGTGTTTCCTTATTTCATACACACATAGCGCGGAGTAAATTGACCCTGAAATACGAACCGATGGACTCGTCACAATTTATATAAGCAGGTTTCGTGTTTATTATTTGACGGCTGAACCCCAAAAAGTCGGAATTCGTGACCTTTAAAGATTAGTATGATTCCAAGCAGAAACGGGTCGTATACATAAGAACATAACAAAATCGCGGTAGGTATGCATTCGTGTATTTTTGTTAGAAGGAAAATGCACGGCATGCGTCACGTCTCGGATTCTCGGAATCGTGCGTCGTACATGTAAAAAGGACTCTATTGCGGGCCCCGAGGGCACTGCACTCGCGTACTTTGAGCCCGGAGAGTCCTTTGAACTTGTTTTCACCATGGTTGTTTACATCGCTCAACGTACATACAACTAATGTGTTCAAGGACAATTTCATACGTGCGTTATTTAAGTGGGTACGTGTTTATTTTGAATGTATTTGCTTACTACATTCACTGTGTGTACGTACACAGCAAATAAACGTAAATAAAACAAACATTTTGTTGTTGTTTGTCAATCATTGTGAGACCGCACGGGTAGGTACAACCACCCTGCCTATTTTTGCCGTGAAGCAGTAATGCGTTTCGGTTTGAAGGGTGGGGCAGCCGTTGTAACTACACTGAGACCTTAGAACTTATATCTCAAGGTGGGTGGCGCCTTTATGTTGTAGATGTCTACGGGTCCAGTAACCATCTAACACCAGGTGAACTGTGAGCTCGTCCACCCATCTAAGGTTTATTAAAAATACTTGTACAGCTTAATCTTATACCTTTTAGAGTCGAGCATAATAGTATTTATTGTATACCAATATAAAATCAAAACAAGTGCGAAACATTAAGACAAATAGTACAATAGACGGTCTTACCGCTAAGAGCGATGTCCTCCAGACAACTATCACTGGTGTACAAGAATCATCTAAGGAAAGATATTAACCGTTTATCTTTTATACATAAAATAAAGTTTTTTTCATTAATTTAATATATCCTTTATTTATTTAAATTCATCCTCATAAAGTGAAGGCGGCTGCTAGGTAATNACGAAACATTAAGACAAATAGTACAATAGACGGTCTTACCGCTAAGAGCGATGTCCTCCAGACAACTATCACTGGTGTACAAGAATCATCTAAGGAAAGATATTAACCGTTTATCTTTTATACATAAAATAAAGTTTTTTTCATTAATTTAATATATCCTTTATTTATTTAAATTCATCCTCATAAAGTGAAGGCGGCTGCTAGGTAATAATAAGCCACCGTTTTATTAAGATTACTAGATTGAATTTAATGCTTCTTCGTAATTTCAAATGTTGGCAATTCGTCGGTTACAGTTTGCTCTGGTTTCTGGGTAGTGCAAAATATTCGGGTATTGGTAATATGAAAACGTCAAGTGATTCATTCAGCGTGAAGTCGGATTGCTAAGCAGACATTTTCTGGAATGTTCTTGAACTGGTTCTCCGAAATTGTTTTTTCGTGTTGACCATGCCGACGCGTCTGTCTATTGAACGTTCGATCGTTTGGTTCGGTGGTTAGTGATCTTATCGTATTACGCATACAGGGTTCGATTCCACATCGGTGTTGGTATCTTTATTAAAGACTAGCTGCACTCGTCCGCTTCGCTGGGCATTTAAAATTAACATTATTATTTCTCACCCACACAAAGATTCTCATCATTAATGCCCCCGCAACTGGTGTAGGGAGTCCAACACTCATAAATATTAGCCTATCCATTAAGTACATGGATATCATGTTTCAGTCAATCGGATGCATGGTTCAGTAGTTATAACGGAACATCCGTAAAAACCACTGTAGATTTATATATTAGTATTTATTTAGCTTGTAGTTCTTGGTGTGCTTCTTGTTTCTTATGTGTATAAGACATCACCACCCTGCCTGTATCTGCTGTGAAGCAGTAATGCTTGTCGGTTTGAAGGGGCCGTTGTACTGTAAAAAAAACAAGAGGCTTGAAAGAACTGATCTTAAGCTGGCTGACAGCATTTACGTTGTCGATGTCTATGGGCTACCTTCTACTGGGTAACCACTTAACTCCGGAAAGTGAACCTGTTCATCCGTCTAAGCAGTAGACAAATACCTATCAGCCAATATAGTGTGATAAAAAAAAGCGAACACACTTATAAAAAACACACACACACACACACAAACTGTAGACATTGTGCAAAATGTCGCAGACGAATAATACAAATAAACATTATGTTAATCAGTCAAGTTCATTGAAATGCCAATATCTAAATAGAAGAAAAAAATCGCTGTCCGCCTGTATCTTTCCCCGCTTAACTCTTATAAATCACGCCATCGATTTTTTTTTATGGCATACTAATTAGAAAGTGCAATAAAAGGGAAAGGTTTCTGTGTATCATTTAAAAATATTTTGTAAAAAATTATTAAACTATGAGGGTGATGTCAAGAAAACTGTGTATGCTTATATGGCTAACGCGGAACTAATGTTAAGAGAGAGCGGAAATCACGCGAGAGAAGTCGCGGGCGGAAACCTAGTGTTCGTTATAATTAACCAAAACATATGTTAGGTACACAATAGGTACACGTGTTTGTTTGTGTGATGCTATGCTAAGCTGTGTTTGGTAACAAATGGGTTTTAGTGTTAACATAAATGGTAATTATAATATTATAGGCGGCGATGATATGTATACGTATGCTGTGTTATGTTTTATATACGCATATATGCTTTTTCCCTCGGAATTACTGGTATATTTCTTTTTATTGCTTAGGTGGGTGGACGAGCTCACAGCCCATCTGGTGTTAAGTGGTTACTGAAGCCCATAGACATCTACAACGTAAATGCGCCTCCCACCTTGAGGTATAAGTTCTAAGGTCTCAAGTATAGTTACAACGGCTGCCCCATCGTTCAAACCGAAACGCATTACTGCTTCACGGCAGAGATAGGCGGGGTGGTGGTACCTACCCGCGCGGACTCACAAGTGGCCCTACCACCAGTAAAGTAAAGTAAGTGGAGAACGCCTTAGGCATTAAGTCCGTCCCTGTACTATTATTATTTATTTGTGCATTAAGTTAAAAATAAGTGATAAAAGTAAAGTGTTTATTTCATCGTCCAAAAAAATACGTGCAAAGAAACAAATCATGCTTACGACTACAAAAACAAACATGTCATACATAATTCCGGGAATATTTTATCGCTCGGTTACAATATGTAATAATAATCTTGCGAAAACAGATTAATTTCGTAAAATTTTAGTAATGCGCTTACGTAGAATGTTATTCAATCGAATATTTCAAATCGTACTTACGAAAATGATTGTAGATTTAAGTTTTGTAAGGTGGGCAGAACGAAGGAATAAATCATTTTAAACGAAGTAGACTCTGATGACGTTTTCAAGGTCAGCAGCATTCGCCATGATAGCTCTAGAGTCTCTAACGACTAGATAGAAAACAAAATCATCAGCAAAAATTTTGCGATCTTGGAGTGGGGTAGGAAAAGAGAGGTAGAATTTAAATCACTGAAACTCAATTGTCCTGTTTCCAGCCATAGTTGAGCCAACCCTCCACCACAAATGTACTCACGGCATTTTCATAAATAAGGAGAGATAATATCCGAGAGGTTATTAAAAAAAGCCCCGTTTCATAAACAAGTGGTTATATTTGTTTTAATATAATTCGTCATATGAGTCGACTATTATCAAAGTGACTTTTGGACAATTATTCGTAAATCAGAAAAACGAATTATTGACTTTGTATTCCATTGGCAGTCACAAAACTCTTCTGAACGACGTCTTAGATAAATAACAGGTTAAGTATTAACCTTTATTAATGCAGGTTTTGAAGCGTATTCTTTGAAGGAGACGATTATATTCAAATCAATCTGTATTGACATATCAATAAATTTTTTTTTGTCCAAATTCACAGATTGCCACCTTTGATAATAGACGACTCATATAAGGTTCTGTAGCAAAGAATTTAAAAAAAAACGGAACCTCAGTAATTTCGCCACGTTAGACGCGACTATTTTATTAGTAGATTATTAGCAATATTCATCATGTACAAATGAAATTTGGAATGTGGTGCAATTAATAATTATCAATTCAATCGTTACACAATAGTGATTGAATTTCACAAAAACATAAATAGGGATGCCACTACATAGTTTATAAAAGTATGTGCAGGGACACACGCATACTTTCTCATAACAGTTCAGCTATATTGTGTGGGAAACCTCATAAAGAGATCGTAATTCAGTTTGATTTGAAAGAGAAATATTGAGTAGTTATTTACTTCTGCAATTTGTTTTGTTGGACGTAATTGACAATAAAATTTGATAAAATCAAGTAGGTATTCAGTTTTGGTCCGTAACCGCGAACGTTTATCCTGAATACGGAACCCATCTCGTGTTTTTGACACGCGCTTACCTCTCGTATTTATTTTTTTAACACTTCGTTTGCAATGTTTCTGAATTCGTCTATTGATATTAGAAAATATTCCGTGAAAACGGAGTCGCGGTTTCAACGTAGTGTGTAAGTTTAGATCGATCGATGCTTCACAATGACGAATTCGTACGTTGGCTGTTGAGCCACTTAGCGATGACTCAGATTGTTTGTATCGTTCCGTCGGCGGCTCTTACGAAATCGGACATTCCATATTTTGTCGACTATAATGGTTTTGTCTGTATTCTGACGGGCTGAGTGACGAGCGATAAGCGTTTTTGATATTGACAATGGATTTTAGGAGAAAAAGAACGTAGACTTGTTGTCTACTTAAAGGCTTCGTCAAACAGAACGCGTAATTAGCGCGCGTGAGAGCGCTAAACTAACGCCGCGTTATGACGCCGAGATGTGTTGTACTACTATGGTAACATACCGTCACACAGAGCGCCAGCGCTATAGCGCTTATAGCTCTGACGCGCGCTAATTACGCGTTCTGTTTGACGAAGGCTTAAAGGTTGTATATTTGAGTTTTTCACGGAAATGTTAGTAAAGTTAGTAAAAGTAACCGAAGAACCGGTGACGTTCTTCTTCAAAATGCGTTTCTTAAAATGTACTCGTCAAAACTAAAACATGATAAATCAATGTAAATCTAAGAAGATAACAGCGAATGAGCTATTTTTTTTAAATAACTCGGAATTCACCTTCTACTCTCTTGTAGTAACTGCATTACATCTTGTAGTAATCATAATAAAAAAAAACTCATTGGGACGTAGAATTTATATTGTAATGTAATTTTTTTATAAACTTCAAACTGAAATGCAATATAAGATGTATCTGTGCATTGGAAATAATCACTTAGGGATTGTTAGTACTTTTCGGAGATAATTAAGTAAAATGAAAATGAAAGATTTAAAATTTTATTGTTCATAATAACATAATTTCCGACCGAAAACTGTTCCATTTTTCGTATTCGCCGGAAATCAACGTTAAATCAATGAGAGTATTATTTTATTTGTTTTTCGCAAGTCATAGAAGTAATTAAAACCATATCAACAATTTAATGATGTCAGAGAGATTACATTTTGAAATGTATTATCCATGTGAAATGCATTCTATAATGTACAGCTAATTTGTGGAGTCGCTCTCGCTTATGATTTAAGCGTAAAATTCACTAAAACAAACATAATCAATCAGTTATGTTACGCAAATACATAAATAAACCAATGTACATATTTAGATCTCACAAATGTTAGTTTTTGTATTATTGGCTATATTATTTATATAAAAAAATCGTATTAAACTTTAAATTTTGAAATTAAAGCTTAGCTCTCAAGTCATACTTTAAATTATCTTAAAACAATAAATTAATATTATTTTTAAAAGTTGATTAACTTTTTAAATGTTTTCAGTAACGCGTTGAATGTTATCCTAAAATTGAACTCAATTGACAGAATGCTTGAGAGCGACAAAGGCTGTAGTTCATTTAAATAAATTCTGACGTAGTTCTTCTGATTTCATACACAGCTACATGATTATACTGTGTGCATCATTAATTAGACCAAGAGCACTTCAAATTTTGTGTCCAATAAAGTATTCTTGGCTGTAAGTAGGCAGTGACACACACACACACACACACACACACACACACACACACAAAAACATACACACGTTCTATCCAATCGTTCTACCAGTTTCGATTGCCCGATCATTTATTTACCAATTAAACTAATTGAAGTGTGTTAACCGTCAATCAATTTGGACGTTGTCGTGTCCACAACATATTAATAAAATGTTTGAAACTTTCGCCAAAATATACCCTCGTAATTATGTTATCTTGATTAAAAACACTTAGATTCTGAAAGTGTTTCGAGTTCGTATATATTAGATATCCTAAATAGGCTGTCCCTAAAGTATTCTAATAGATTTACTGTATTAAAAAACAAAATCGGGGCTTTGAAATACGGTTTTCTTCCAAAAAATAACTAATAATCACCGACCTAGGGCTTATAATGCAAAAATAATGATACAGATAGACATTGAATAACTTATATTTAATTTAATTAAGAGAGTAAAGCATATATGTATACATATGGACCGATTTTTTCCCCCTTGCCTATGCTGATAGCCTTGAGAGGCTATCTCAGCTTCGCCCTAACATGTAGGTGAGCTCACGGGGCTAAAATCTGAGTGTTGCTAACACTGGCCCTAGCAAGGGCAGTGCTTCGCAGAATCTACCACCGGATCGGAAACGCGACCCACTGAGAAGATCCGGCGAGAAACTCAGTGGGCTGTGTCTATGGGTTAATTCGCTCGTCGAGCCCTTCGTCGTAAGCGACGGGTTCGACGAGGACGGTGACCGGAAATGGACCGATGATATTCATAAGTTGAATGTCAAATATCATAAGCGAAGATAGATAAACTCCGCCCGGAATTGATCCTGGGTCATACGAAGACGATAATGATCCAAGAGAGTAAAAAATACATTTTTCATTTCTTCCTTTCAGACCTTAGAAAAATTCGAATTCGTGAAGGTGCTAGGCAAGGGTACGTTTGGGAAGGTGGTTCTGAGCCGTGAGAAGGGAACGGGAAAGCTGTACGCTATGAAGATATTGAAGAAACACCTCATTATACAGAAGGATGAGGTCGCGCACACCATCACCGAGAACCGAGTGCTCAAGAAGACCAAGCATCCATTTTTGACGGTAATAATCATTTACACGAACTGTTCGATGAATAAACAACACCCTGTATATGCAAACACACACAGGGTGTAAAGAAAGTATTAAATTTCAAAGAAGTATACCACTAATTGTAGACTAAAACGTGTTCTTTTTTTTTCATTATTATATAAATAGACAAAGACATCTTTAGACTTCACTCACTGTTGGATAATCGATTTTCTTTTCGTAGCTTGTTTAGTAACTCGACTCGATATAAGGCTTATCTAATTATTAGTTAATTAAAAATGGTTTTTATTTTTAATATATACGCAATGCCGAATCCTAACTTATGAGATTACAATCGAAGGAATCATCGATGTTCAAATCTGCAATGAATTCATTTCAATCCCAAAACAGCGGTCTGAGAAAATGACATTTCATAATTCGAATTAGGGTTTTTGAAAGAGTGTTTGGACACTAAATATATATCGTCTTCTCGCATTAAAACTGTATAATCTCAAAACTTACTAATTTTACAGGAGTGTTTTAAAGGTTTAACATGTGATATTTTTAATATTAATCATCTTTGTAACAATTTTTTTACCAGTTACATTATCTGTCTTTTAAAGTAAGATAAAATTATTTATTAATTTTGTTGATAGTAGTCAAAACATAGCTAAACTAAAAAAAAAAGAAGCTAAATCTAAACTACGCTCTCTTTAGACAGTATTTATGAGAAAAGTACTGGTGATACCAAATAATTCCGCATTTCCGAATTTGGAATATTTTTGGAAATTGTACACTTTTAATGCGAAAAGACGATATGTTTCTGTAGCTGTCTACTAATCGCAATTTCTTGCGTTGCATTCATTTAATTAAGGTTCATTTTCGTTTAACAGGCTCTCCGCTATTCCTTCCAAACGGCAGACCGTGTCTGCTTCGTAATGGAATACGCTAATGGCGGTGAATTGTTCTTTCATTTGTCCCGCGAGCGTTCGTTCACCGAGGACCGCACCAGGTTCTACGGAGCCGAGATAGTATCTGCTCTCGGGTACCTGCACTCCGAGGGTATTATATATCGGGATCTGAAACTCGAGAATTTGCTGCTAGACAAAGACGGACACATCAAGATTGCCGACTTCGGACTATGCAAGGTATGTTTCAGCTGATTCGGCCTAGGCGGGAGCGAAAAAAGTGACGTCATTATAGCGATTATCTGGAACCGGCTTCTCAGCCGACTCGGCCTAGGCGGGAGGGACACTAGTGACATTATTGTAGCGATTATCTGTGGAGACGGATACATTACGTGTGTCAAAAGTCTGGATCGCACTAACGACAATGTTAAGGCATCTTGCTTTACTAACAGCAGTGAATCAATAGATCGACTGATGAGGCTTATTAATGAGAAACGACAATAAACCTTCCCTAAAGCCTGTAAAATTCCATATATTTTATTGGATAGATGGCCGAGCTCATGACTCGCCTGGAGTCACCTGATGATAAGAGTCCATAGACATCACGTGACACAACGATTGTGTCATCCTTGAAATCGAAATGTATCACGGTATAAATAGGCGGCGTATTCAGACCCACACAAATTTTATGTGTTTTTATTATTAATTTATATATTTGTGAACACACCCTACGCTTTTCGATTAGCAGTTATGTGCTTAGAATTACTTCTCGTCCCAGCCAAACGTGTATACCGACCACCAATTGTGGGTTATACCGATATTGTGTGTGTTTGAATTGAATGGCTTAAAGTCACTTGGTAGGTGGCGTTGCAATCGGTTTTCAAGTGTTTTTTTTTTGAAGTGAAACTTCTTTAGAATCGTGATTTTAAACTCGATGAAACGAACAAATAAATCCATAGAGACACAAGCACATAAATGTATAGGATTCAGCGAGAGAATGAGATTGAACACATTAGACGTTCTCGGTCTCCTCTTCGTAGCATCCCCACTATCGTCTACTAAACATTGTCCATATGTATGCTCCTGTGTAGTGGGATAGTCAGTATATCTATATCTGTACCTTATATGAGTCGTCTATTATCAAAGGTGGCAATCTGTACATTTGGACAAAAAAATGTTATTGATATGTCAATACAGATTTATTTGAATATAATCGTCTCCTTCAAAGAATACGGTTCAAAACCTGCATTAAATAAAGGTTAATAATTAACCTGTTATTTATCTAAGATGTCGTTCCGAAGAGTTTTGAAACTGCCAATGGAATACAAAGTCAATAATTCGTTTTTCTGATTTACCAATCATTGTCCAAAAGTCAGATTGCCGCCTTTGATAATAGTCGACTCATATATAAGTTTCACTTCTACCGTGTGTGGCTTGCACACACACACACACACACACACACTTTTTTTTATAAACCAAACACGCACTTGAGACTATAACCCCTTTTTTTTTAATAAATTTCAGGACACTAATTTCTGCATGCGGCCCGCTACTGTATTTGTTCGACTGAATTTTAACTTTTTGTCCAGGTGAATATAACGTATGGACGCACGACCAAGACGTTCTGTGGCACCCCCGAGTACCTCGCCCCTGAGGTCATAGAGGACTCCGATTATGGTCCCGCCGTAGATTGGTTAGTTGCTAACTAATTTATTTTTATCGCTTAGATGGGTGGACGAGCTCACAACCCACCTGGTGTTAAGTGGTTACTGGAGCCCATAGACATCTACAACGTAAATGCGCCACCCACCTTGAGATATAAGTTATAAGGTCTCAGTATAGTTACAACGGATGCCCCACCCTTCAAACCGAAACGCATTACTGCTTCACGGCAGAAATAGGCAAGGTGGTGGTACCTACTCGTGCGGATTCACAAGAGGTCCTACGACCAGTAATTACGCTACTTATAATTTTCCTGGTTTGATTTTTATTATACGATGTTATTCCTTCACCAAGAAAGTCAATTGTGAAGATTTCTGAAGTACCTTTTTCATTATACAAATTGGTACCCGCCTGCGGGATTCGAACACCGGTGCGTCGATACGAATGCACCGGACGTGCGCGCGTCCCCCTGCGTACTCCCGCCGGGGTTCGAGGGGGATACAATTTTATTGTCACCATTAAAATGTCTATTGAACGCGATTTTAAAAATATAATCTCATTGAAAAACATTCAATGTAAGCGACACATACACAATTAAAAGTAGGTTTTTTTTGGCATAAATTGACAAAATTTAATCAATTTGTCTATAAAAAATAAAGACTTGTATGATTTATTATTATTTTTATTATCTGTGTTTAGTTAGTTATACAATAATTACATGCCTTCACTTTAACAACATATAAGTTTAGGGGCATCCGCTACAAGACGACTTACAATAGTCAACCAACTACATCAATACTAAGGAGACAGTTAACTTTAACTAATCTTAGTTAACTAAATACTAATGTTGCGTCAATATAATATAATAATATATAATGTTGAATTCTCAGGTGGGGTACCGGTGTAGTGATGTACGAGATGGCGTGCGGCCGGCTGCCCTTCTACAACCGGGACCACGATGTGCTGTTCGGGCTCATCATCAACGAGGAGGTCTGTCCCCCCTACGGTACACACGCAGCGGGGGGCGAGCGTGGGGATAGTGGGGGCAGGGGGACCGCACGCGAGCCTCGCCGCGGGAGATTACTCGCGCCGAGTGCGAAGATCTTCAATATACCCGCAGTCTCGTCGCTGGTCCTCTCACACTCCACTACAATTCACGTCTTGTCGTGTTTCTGCCATACCCGATTCTGTGAATCGAATGGTAAACAGTCGACGTCGCCCTAAGCACGTCATTACGGATCCTCCCAATCCATTAACGCTGATTTTACTACGGTACATTGAGTTTCTCACCGGATCTTCTCAGTGGGTCGTGATTCCGATTCGGTGGTAGTTTCTGCAAAGCACTGCTCTTGCTAGGGCCAGTGTTAGCAAAAATTTCAGTTTGAGCCCCGTGAGCTCACCTACACGTGAAAGAGAAGCTGAAATAGCCTTTTAAGGCTATCAGCATAGGTAGGGAAAAAAAGTATTTCTGTATTTTCATTAAAATTGATAATTGTTTTGTTTTAATATCGTTTATTTGGCGAATGCCGCTTCCCGTGTAATGTACCTACCGGAGCCCATAGACTACGTGAACGTTGGCACCTGCCAAGAGACGTCAGGTTGAAATCTCAATAGTATTGTATAAAAGTCATCGTCTCATCTTTGTTGGCAAGTTGGTGACTTAAATAGGATTTCATAATACACCCCTTCACCAATGAATGTCGCTGCCGGGTTGCCCCCCCCCCCAAGTGTAAAAGTCGAGGCAGACTGACCCCCGTGTGTCGCAGGTCCGGTTCCCCCGCAGCGTGTCGGCCGCGTGTCGCTCGCTGCTGGACGGGCTGCTGACCAAGGACCCTCGCGCGCGGCTGGGCGCCGGGCCGGACGACGCGCACGAGATCATGAACCACCCCTTCTTCGCGTCGATCAACTGGAACGACCTCGTCGCCAAGAAGGTAGACTTAATGTGGATACACCCCGCACTTACTTTTTTATTTTATTTATTGCTTAAATGGGTGGACGAGCTCACAGCCCACCTGGTGTTAAGTGGTCGCTGGAGCGCATAGACATCCAAAACGTAAATGCGCTACCCACCTTGAGATATAAGTTCTAAGGTCTCAGTATAGTTACAACGGCTACAAACCGAATATTTATATATATAGTATAGTTAATAGAATATATATTAGAAGAAGAACTTAAGTAGTAAGTATATATAAGAAGAAGAGCTTAAGAAGTAAGAACTTCCTAACCTAAGACTACAGTTACATTAATTATAGTTTTGAATCTTTATTTTTCGCAATAATGAATTTTTTAAACATATTATATTATCCGCAACACGCTTCCTCAAATTATAGTTGAAACAGTTCAAAAATATCGGTTTGTATTCACGTCTTTATTATAACGATAATGTGTCGGAAGATTATTTATAGTAGCTTTTAGTGTACAGTATTACTGGTCATAGGACCTCTTGTGCTGCCGTGAAGCAGTAATGCGTTTCGGTTCGAAGGGCGGGGCAGCCGTTCTAACTTTACTGAGACCTTAGAACTTATATCTCAAGGTGGGATGGCGTATTTACGTTGTGGATGTCTATGGGCTCCAGTAACCACTTAACACCAGGTGGGCTGTGAGCTCGTCCACCCATCTAAGCCATAAAAGTAAAAGTTATAAAATGTCGAGATATAACAATTTGTGTCTGTTTGTCAGATCCCGCCCCCGTTCAAGCCTCAAGTGGAATCCGACATCGACACCCGGTACTTCGACTCTGAGTTCACCGGGGAGAGCGTCGAGCTCACGCCGCCCGAGAACGAGAACAGCCTCGCCTTTATACAGGAGGAGAGCTTCCCGCAGTTCTCCTATCAGGTCCGTACCCGGTCACTCGTGACCTGCGACCCACTTGGGACAATTTTTTTAAAGGGATTTTTTGACCTGGTAACTCTTTTGAATTTAGATATCTTTGGGACTGAGAAAAGGATAAGTTTTAGGACTCACTCCGTAATTCGTTGATGCACTATTCTATTTTCTCACTGGCGAGAGTTATGTGCTGATTGATCAACAAATCACAATTTTATTGTTTTTGCACCGGCACCATGTTTTAGTTTTTTTTATACACTCTTCGCGCCGTTTATACACGCGTAGCTTTTATTATAGTTTCAACAGATGGCATGGGCATGGATAGGGGTTTGAGGAAGGAATAAGGAAAAGGAAGTCCCAACAGTAACTAAGACCTTTAGGTCAAGTCGTATTTTAATTTTAATGAAAACTTTTTTTTATATGAAAAATGATATTATGAAATGAAATGAGATGATATAGGATGAAATATAATCTCAGTAAAATGGTGGTCATTTATTGAGACTTTGGAGGATTCCAAGAAGTTACGTTCAGCAGCTTTGTTTGATTTTCCCACATTTGTGCACTTTCACAGATACCAAACAATTAATAAATCACCGTTATTAAGCGTTTAAACTTGAAGAAACACTAAATAGACAAAATAAAATGAATCACACAATCACCAATATTTAAAGATAATAGAATTTATTGAATCAAAACTATTGAACTGCATTAAGCATATTCTCCACTGCCGATAGTGGTTCAGTTAATTTTTTAGTAAAGTTTTTAACATAAATATTACAGTATCTTGAAATGCACACCAGCTTGCTTCTACCGTCAAAACACAAACGCATTTATACCCTTTTATTTATTGTTAGTCTGTGGTCCAATCGAGAATAGATTAATATTGTTTGTCCATAGTATTATTTGTCTATAGTGTAAAATTAAAAATTGGTGAAATTTGTGATTATGAAACCTTAATAGTGTTCAACTTATATTTTCCAATTAATTATGGTCGAACTTCGACCACTCGGCGACAACTAGCTATATTTAATACTAGCTGTACCCGCCCGCTTCGCTGGGCATTTAAAATTAACATTATTATTTCTCACCCCCATAAAGATTCTCATCATTAACGCGCCCGCAACTGATGTAGGGAGTCCAATACTCATATAAATATTAGACTATCCATTAAGTACATGTATTTTCTACATGGATGCCAATTTTCAAGTCAATCGGATGCACGGTTCAGTAGTTATAACGGAACATCCGTAAAAACCACTGTAGATTTATATATTAGTATAGATAGAATATACATGAACTATAAGTGTATTTGTTGTTCTACATTCAGTGAACATAGTATAATATATTATGTTGTTTGTGATTTCAGGATATATGTTCATCAGCGCATTCAGCCCTCTCCCACATGTCGCATCACTCCGCGCTGACCGACAAACGGCACTAGCCCCCTCCACACACACACACCGAGCCGACGTAACACGTAATATCGACAGAATTTATAGTACCGTAATAATATCGATAAACTAAATCTTAACTATCGATAAATATATCGACTTTTTGACGTATGCCATATTCGTTTAGAACGGAGTTTGAAAGTCACAATTTATGGAATATAGACAAAATCACCATTACGATTGAAAACAAAAAAAATATGAAAATCAAGTAATATGTGAAATGAAAGTCTACTACTATCGGAAAACGCAGCAAATAATAGAGAAGTATATTAATTACATTAAAAATCGATTTATTCAACTCTGAGTTGTCGTAAAATCTTTTAAGCCATATTGACGATAGCAAGTTATCGATAATATTACGGTTACGCATCGTGAGCCTTAATAATGACGATTACGAGAATGATGTTAATTCGAGAAAAAAGAAATCGATAGACATTTGGTTTTTTTTTTGTAAGTTACCATACCGTCGTCATTGTACCGTCATGTACATTGTAACTATTCGAAATAGTATATTGACTATAATTACGTATTGAAATTACAATCAAATTATTATTTTTATATGTTACATGTTCACTGAACATCAATAAATACATACACAAATACATATAATATAGACGAATCATTAATTCTGTTCTAAAATGAATGACATTATTGATTTGAGTTGATTGATTTGTTCCTCTCATCCGTTTAACATCATTCTCCAGCACTAAAAATGTAAAAACCCTAAAATAAAAATCATCTCGTTTATTTTACTGATCACAGGAATGTATCGAAGGTTATGGAGCAACATGAATTTATCTATACACCCAAATATAATAATCTGAGACTATAGTCAGTTGAATTTCTCTATAAGATCCCTTTGCAAACGTTTAGAAAAAATAACAACTTTAGTAATTCGTATTAATTTAAAACAATAATATCTTTATACTAACACGCATGTGTCATTTGGAATACTTAAGAGTCGACGCTACCGAAGGAACAGTTTTGTGTAATGTAACATAATAAAAATGCACCGTATTCTCAATAGCAGAACGCTCATTTTGTCCCGTACCTATAAAATTGCTATATAATGTACCGGCATCCATAATTTGTGCGCCCGCAGTGTATAGTGTGTTCTATAGTCAGAGGTCAACGACCGAGCTAACTAGTGATGTGGCGGTGTTCACTGCTTTAAATTTAATGAAAATTATTATTTGATTTTTGTTTATCACATCATTAAATAAACGAAAAACACGTAGCACCTTTAATTTCGAACATCCAAAAGAAATAATGATAAATTAATATTGGCTCGAATTTCATACTTCCTTTAATACAAAATCGGTTACAAAGTATGCGATAAGGCGGTGAATCATCGTGTGCCTAAATCATTAGCGGCGTGTTCCCAAACTGTACTATTATGAATTAAAAAAGCTTAATCATGTATCCTCAATAAAAAAATCAAATAAAAACAAACAGACGTGAACATGTTAAATTTTATTTAATTAATTACCAAGAACGAAACGCGTTATTATAGAGTGATAATAATAAACTCAATTTGTAAAATTTGATTATTTATATTTCGATTTTGGGTGAAGATTGAAACGACATTGTTTTTGAGGAAACTTCTGCTATTGAAGTTCTATAGAAACCGCATCGAGGGGTGAAATTATATTTGGTTTAAACCACATTTTTGCAACCTTACAAGAGAGCCATTTAAAGTTTAAAGTTTGGAAAAAATTGTCATTAAAAAAAACTTTTTGAGATAGATGAATAGAGTAAACTTAGTTGAAGTTCAATTAAAAACATCGGACTGTTGATGCGAATACCAAATAAAACGCATCTTTAATTACAAAGATAAATGTCGCGTGTTAAGCGAAATGCGCTTAAACCAAATAGTCTTTCAATCCTCGTTATATTACAATACAATCGACCGTCAATGTGCGATCTGATACAGATTACGAATGTGCATGAATATTTTTCAATTAGCTAAAATAAAAACAGCGTTATTTGATGCCCATAACTATGCTATTTTAAAATACAAATAAACTAAACTAGTGCAAGTCTTCGAGAATATTGAAATTAAAATATTCAAAAAGCTTTCAGTCGATTGTAAAGTCGAAGATTGTAATTAAAACAGTTCTCCATATCTTGAAAGTGTTTAAATGAAATTAAAAATTACTCTTGTTGCTAAGAACGTTTTTGATCCAAAAACAAAAAAAAATGTTACATAAAAAAAAAAACTAATCATTGAAACAATTGTATTCTTAAGACGTTAATCACATTTTGTACATAATTTGTAAGCATTTTATTAAAGTTCGATATAGCGGTATATAATAGAAATAATGTATAAGATTGTATCGAGCGATCCTTACACATATTGTAATTCAAATATATATGTATATATATCTATTATATAATATGTATTTTAGAAAGTGCGATGATATCATTTAACGATAAACAAATATTGTATAATATTTAATTGCCGATCACTGCAAAAAAATACATAATGTTTCAAGGAATTCACGAAATAAATCCATAAATGCATGCAATTATTTATTGTTAATAAATATATTTTAATATTATCGTAAATGTTTATGGATAGTAAAATGTGTAGGTTTAGGGGAAAATGAAAACGGATTATGTTAATAGGCTTAGAAACAATAGGGAAAAGTAGTTTAAGGAATAAAAAGAAATCGCCAACAAGACGAACTAAGTAAAGGTTTTTTTTTTGGCTCATTTTTGGTCCACTTGAAGATGTCAGGGAAAAGTTATAAAATTATTATACTTACATCTATTCCTAATACACTTGCGATTGTTCAAGTTAAACGTCTCAGTGTTGCCAGAAATAAAAAATATATAAAAGCGAGTATAAAAATAGGAAGTGTCATACGATGTAATTTACTAGGGAAGATAAGCATTGAAAAAAGTACTAGCGGCGAACGAACACTGATATTTCAGAAAGTATTTCTTGGGTTAAACGTAACGTGAGGGTAACTCCTCAGTCGTACCACGAGCCGATCCACGTAACCGTAGCTGACGTAAGTTGAAGGTTTTGTAGAACAGGTAACATTGGTCGATTTTATTGTATTGCCAGAGTATACGTAATTTATTTACTGTTTTTTTTAAAAGTAATCCTTGACTTGGATTATAGTCTTTTGGCCGAATTTTTGTTTACTACTTTAGTTTATCAAAAGAGAGTCAAAGACCGGATTGAACGAAGTCTTAGTAACATGGCGGCAATTGAGTAAGATTTTGACTTTGAAGAATTCAAGAAGTCACGTATAGCGATGTTTTGTTTTATTTTCCCACACACACATTGCGCATTTAAACCGGATAAAAGTTATTAAATTAACCAAAACAGAAACGGTAAGACTTTTTCGGTCGCCTTCTGGCCAAAAAGTCCAATAATTGATTCCTTAAAGTTGTCATCGCACCCCGTGTAAGAAGTAGTTTTTTTTTTAATAGTCTTATTTAAGGTATGTAATCATTACACATCAATAATAATCGCCGCGTCGAATACGAACGATTTGTTGGTTTGTAAACAAACAAAAAAAGAAATGATAAATATGGTGTTTTTTAACGAGGCGTGGATGGTTTTTTTTTTACATATTTATAAATGTACTTTTATTATTTTAAATGCGTCGTTTGGTAAGTTGTTTTTTCTCATATCTGCGAACGTTCCACTAAAACACTGCACCGTGAACGTGTACAGAAAATCGAATTAACGAATAATAAATGAAAATGTATCGCTGGAATAATATTTTGCACATTGTAACATAAGAAACTTGCAATGAATACTGACGTCAAAATGGTCGATAGTCTTTTGAATAGACAAAAACATTTGCAAACCTGTCTCATTTAAAAGAGTTTCACACAAAAATGGTCGATAGTCTTTTGAATAGACAAAAACATTTGCAAACCTGTCTCATTTAAAAGAGTTTCACACAAAAATGGACGATAGTCTTTTGAATAGAAAAAAACATTTGCAAACCTAAGTCTTATTTAAAAGAGTTTCAGCCACTGTGTCCTATTGCCCCACTGTTTGCAACATTGATGATTTTTTTTTTCTTTGAATTGGCAACACTGATTGTCCACTCAATACCGCGAATGTTCGTTTCCTTCCTTCCTTTAGATAACTGTAATAAAAATTTCGATTGAATAATCGACCTTAGGCTGATTGGTTTAAATCTTGTAATCGAAGCTCGTTTCGTTGACAATGTGCATGTAATTTTGAATATTAGTGGTTTTATCTACAAGTTTTTGTTCATTCGTTCTAGAACGTTCGCAGCTATGAGTTTCGAACGACGTTTTGTCTTTTAATAATAGACTGGGTTAGTGTCGAAGTGTGACCAGCTTATCGCGGTTTTCAGTTACTAAAATGTAAGCTTTAGGGTGTCTTTATTTTATTTTAAATTTTTTTATTTGCAACGGCGGAATAAAACCTACTTTTTTAATCGTCGAAATTTTAATCAGGATTATTACATGATATGTATTCGAATTTTTTATTGATTGCGCGTGATACATTATGAAATTTAAATTTTATTAAAAGGTTGGTCGAATTTGAAACAAATATATAAGACCAATATTTTTAATCATCTTTATTCGTGAGTTATTCCGCCTGTTTTTAAAGAACAGTTTAATATAAACGGTTTTGTCTAAACGATGAAAAAAAATGTTGGTTTGAAAATAATCTTACAGATAGTAAGAACCAGCAACATGATAAGTATCATCATCTGTAATTTTGAATTAATATTTCCAATAATTTTTATTTCATTTCATTTATATATCATTTTCTACTCAAAAGCCGTAAACTTCGCTCAGACAGAGCGTTCATAATGATTGAATTACTCGTTATGATTCGATATTGAAGCGTTAGTTTTGTATAATTTCAAATTAAATTGTCATAAAAAGTCAGGCTCAGGAGTAGCGACCCATACAGCCTGAGTTCTCTTCATTTTAATAATGATTGCTGTATAATACAAAAATGATTATTGCTAAATGGATTTTGGATGGACAGATTCGATTCGTTTTCGTATTTAAGTGGTTAGTCGCAAGAGTTCATCTAGTGTATTCGCCCCGTTATATTATGTATTTCTTTTTGTATATATTAAAGTTAGGATTAAAAAGATTTTGTGTTTTATTTAGCAAAAATACCTTAGCCCTGGAATTTCCTACTGCTCCCTCCGTACAGAGATGGCGCTGACCTTGCTCGCCGCTTAGTCGACAAAGATATCTAAAAAGTTTTAAGACTGCTGTTGATGTTACAAGATTGATTCATACATAGAAAGGATTTAAAGATCAGAATGTAAGTTCTAAATGGCGGGGCGTGAATGGATTTCGGAGGCGCTCGAGCAGCTATTACTAAATCCCACCCCTTCTGGCTGCGTCCCTGCTTGCCCTCCAGTCCTGCTGAAACTGAAAGGCCAACGGCAATCTCTGCTTCATAAAAAAAGGCGGACATCCTAAAAAAAATTAATTTACGGTAACACCGCTGCTGTATAAAATAAATTTTCTGGTAAGGAAGACATTGCATGAAGATGAAGACATATATTTTGTAGGTAATTTAAAAAAAAAGGTTGTGAAATTGCATCGACACCTTCGGCTTTAGAACGGCTGCACATTAAGGCGTGAGCATCGATTGCCTATCTGTTAAAATCACTGTATATCTAGGTATACTAATATATAAATCTACAGTGGTTTTTACGGATGTTCCGTTATAACTACTGAACCATGCATCTGATTGACTTGAAACTTGGTATCCGTGTTGAAAATACATGTACTTAATGGATAGGCTAATATTTATTATATGAGTGTTGCACTCCCTAATAATAATGACAGTAAATAATAATGTTAATTTGAAATGCCCAGCGAAGCGGGCGAGTACGGCTAGTCAGTATATATACACGGATATCGGTAACAAAATAAAACAAGAAACGGTTTTCATTTCGTTATATTTTCATTTAAAAATTATGAGGAGCTGTGCCGTAGCTGGGAGCACATTGCACCCGAAACGTAAACTACACGATAGCGACCAAAGTAACTACGCGAGAATATCGAATATCTCGAATAAACTTTAAAAACGTTAACAATAAACGTGAATACGTTCGAAAACTGTGAAGCGCGCGACGTTCCGATTCATAATTTGAGGGACAGCGTTTTTAGTGCCAGTTTTTTAACTACTCGATCGCGTAAAAGTTAACTCAAATTTGTATGCAGTTGGACAGCTGCCCTTCGTTTGCCGCTAGGGGCGCTGATCCAACTCCATACAAATTTGAATAGAGTTGGACAGCTTCTCTTCCTTTGCCGCTAGGGGCGCTGATAAAACTCCATAGAAATTTGAATAGAGTTGAACAGCTTCCCTTCCTTTGCCGCTAGGGGCGCTAATCCAACTCCATACAAATTTGAGTTAACTTTTACGCGATCGAGAAGTTAAAAAACTCGCATTACACTGTATTCGTAACTGTTCATGCAACGGTGTGTTCACAAATACGTTTTCGATTTTTGTTTAAATGGAAGCATCCTTATTAGTACCAAATATGTTCGTAAACCTAATCTCGTAGATGCCTCAGCATTTCCGAACGCATTCATAAACTAGGCGCTTCTTCGGACGGTCGTATCTTATGCACGTCCTATTTTAATATAATTAATTACATTAATATTTTATACAATATGTATTGCCATTTATCAATTGTCGAACTGCGCCGTTTTAAACAGATATGTATACACGAATTCCGATAAAACGTTTCTTAATTTCGTAACGTAGGTAATAAACTTTGTATTAATCAAACAACAGATTGCGTCTTGCGATATAGGGTACAGCTAAATTTTGTATAATATAATATATAAAAACTTTCACCTTAAATTTATAGGTATAATCGAGACGCACTTTTGAAGAAGCATACAAAATTAGTAGTTGTTGTTTCATTAATTATTCACTAATTAGAATTTAAGTTATAAAGGCGATTCCAATAGAGGCAGAATGAAGTGAAGTTTGCGTTTGATTCTCTAAATGTGCTTCGCCCAATAATACTAACATTCAAATTTTCTCGTATGCATTACAATCGATCGCACGTTATGTAGGTACACCATGTCTTTAAAAGTAGTCTACAAATATTACATAAGTGCTATAAATCTGGTTGTAGTGTGATGTCAAAAATAAGTTCATAGTTAAAATTCATACAAGTTCAAATCTTGTTAAACAATCTTGATGATTTAATCCTTTGTGACGTCTAGTCTGCCTCTTATTGCTTCAAATCTTAAATATTTCTAATAAATGATTGTCACGAAGACGATTGCAGCCTACGCCAAATAAAGAAACAAAAATTACAAATGTGAATAAAAGTCGTTGTCTGAGTGAATCAATGTTGGAATGGAACTTCGAAGTCTTATAAGACAAATGTTAGCTGATATACTACAGTATTGTAATTAAGGCATATAAAAATACTTGGTCGTTAGTTAACACTGCAGTAGATCAGCGCTTCTCAACCTTAAGGAGCTGCCCTCCGAAAAAGAAATCCGCGGAGCCTTTTTCATGAGATGGAAATAATTTGGCAAATATGATAATATTGAATTAAAAATCTCATAAGTAATGCGTACAAACAAAGCCTCCACTTTAGAGTATAATTGTTATAATCATCGATACGTTATTTTAATATTACACATCCCACTTTAATACTTTAAGAGATTAATCTAATTTAAATTTTTGCTCACAGGCGAAACCGAATAAATTGAGAAGCGCTGGTTAAATAAGTGATTATAATGAGATTATTGCTTTCCAAATGTAAAATTTTAGCTTAATACTTACATTAACAATATCATTTTTACATTTCATCATCGCTTAAATAGTTGTGTCACCGTGAACCGCATTATAATTAGGAACAGAGTTAGTTGTGTGATATTACTGATTTTAAACATTCAAAATCTCATTTAAAAGCAAAATCAAAAATAAGTTAACATGTCTATCAGAAACTTAACCATTCTAAATTACAACGCACATGTAATACAATATCTTATTATGTCTGAGTAATATACAAGTTATCATTTAAATATGTTTATTGGATATCGGTTTTTTTTAAATGAATGAATTTGAAATCTGTTGAATACTTCGGGTCGATATATTATTATTATGTAGTATCAAACCTACAGTTCACGGTATCGATAAGCGTTATGCTGCGTGCCTACTCGTATTGTGAGCAACTACGAGTAATTAACACTAATACTATGTACATACGTTATAACCGAGCGATATCTATCGTTTTAAAAGTGTCACGAACTTTTATGTAAAAACTTTGTTCATATCTGCCTTAATAATATAATCAAATAGTTTAAATAATAGTATAGATGACCGTGCGAAGCGTTTTCTTATTGTACAAAGAAATATTTCAAGTTTTAATTGAATTAAAACTATCGGGCTGATCACGTGACTAAATTTGTTTAGAACGATTCGGGAAGTCACGCGGTTTTTTCTTAACGAAGAATGTATATTGAACTATCACCTCTTAATATCGCGTGACTCAATCAAAATGTATTAGATTTAGTTATTCCAATTTATTCACGAGCTATAGTAAACAATTACAAAACAAATTCTTCAAATGATAGACGCTTAATCAGATTCATTAAGTGAGTTTTACAACGTGCGGTGTTAACAACACAATTCAATTGGTTCATTTTAATACTCATATCACGAATATTCAATATTAATGACCGTCTCCACCATCGGAACTTACATCAAGAAACGAAATGCCAGTTTCAAACATTGAAGTTACTAGTGAACTATCACATAAAATTGACTGGCTTTGATGTTGTTCATAAAATGAAATGTGGTCATAGTGCCGCTACGAAGGACACGATAGAAAAATTGACTTTGTGCATTTGCACTGTTTTAATCACATCAATTCAGCTTTAATAATTTCGATGCTTGTGTCACAGTTTGAGAAGCATTGTCGGTGCCGCCAATCTATACAAAGATAGGTGTGTATGTGTGTAGCCGTGGAAGAATGCGTCAGATATAGTTTTTTTTTTTAACTCGGACGTAACGTCTGATAGCGCTAAGGGGTTTTAGTGGATATAATATCACATCACCCATCGTAGGTTGCTGTTGTCGCTGTTATTTGTTACACTAGCGTCTGGAAGATGGTGTAGGCGTTTGTGTGTGTGGGCGCACAGCGCTAGTCTGGAGGAGCGCCGGGCGCCGCCGCGCGCTACACAAAGTCCCTCCGCCGCTGCGCCGCCCCGCTCGACGCTCCGCTTGACGCGCCGCTCGTGGCCCCCGGACTCGACGGGGTCTCCGTGGGAGTCGTCGGCGTCGGCGCTTGTGGGGCTGCGCCTTTACTGCGAGCCTTTCAAAACAACAGTTAAAGGTTATTAACATTTGTAATTTCTACATATTTCTGCCGCGAAGCTTTTTTGAGATAGAAACATATCAGGATGGGTAGGTGAATTGAAATATTCAACGGTGTCTTAGCAGATTAAGGGCAGCTGCTTTATGTTTGTATCTATTTTAACCGCGAAGGACGATCATGCATGTTTAAGCGGAAGTGTAAGAAAACCTTTGTATTGATATAATTAAGACTTCAATGTTATGTTTTAAGGGCTATCCTTTTTTTTCGAGCCGCGGGCCGAGCCTCCAGCAAGGTCTGTGGGACTTTACAATCTACTGATGTTGGGAGCAGACCACGGGCCCAAGGAGTTTTAGGGCCTTACCGCACTAAAGGACACTCCTGTACCCTTACAACCGACGTCCGATCTCCGTCCGTCAGAACCGAGTCAGAGTAGGGGTTAACACTACAACCAGACTCGCGGCGACACCCGAGGACATTCGATCGACGGGTCGTCGAGGCGATAGTCGACGACCAAGGTGGCTATTCTATCCTATCCTGCAGCCTACAGACGGCCATTGCAGAACATAAGCCTCTCCTCAAGATGGCTACATTATACAGGCCGTTATGACTGTCGGTACTTGAACCACTGTACCATGGTTCATTTGCGGACTAAATAATAATAATAATGGTTGGTTCGAAGTAAGTATCAGTTGAATGAAATATTTTAAATGTATTCAACTGATAATTATTTTTAGTAAATGTATCTGATTTATTTGATTGGTTTTGGTAATTTGAAGTATGTTTCAATGATACTATGTACCAGATTATCCGTAAGGCAAACTAGGCACGTGCCTAGGGGCGTGTCGTTACAAGGGGCGCGCGAGCTCAGAATTTTTAAATAAATAAAGAAAATAACATATCGACGATTAAGAACTAAATGTCCTGGTCTACTAAAGTCTAGTTTGATGATACAACGTCAGCGTAATTGCAAAAACAACTAGTTAAAATTTATAGTATTATGATGGCCATTTATGGGCGGTACAGGGGCGCCAATAAAGTGATTGCCTAGGGCGCTCTGGACCTTTAATCCGCCACTGCTATGTATACATATGGACTTGTTATTGTTGTCTGTAATAAAATAAATCATTTATTCCTTCATTATTGTTATTGTGGCCGTGGGATCCAGTGACTGCTTACACTAAGACGGTATTGATTTCCTCTTCGTATAATTACCTTCGAGCGTCGTTTCCTAGTGAGTGCCGCTAGGTCGGTGGGGGGCGCGCGCGGAGGGTCGGGCTCAGCCCCCGCACCGGCCGCCGCCGTCTCCGCGGGGTCGGCCCCAAGACGGGCGGCTAGCATCGTTAGCAGCTCTTCGACGCGACCCAACTGAGAAATAAATTCATAGCTAAGTTTTCAAGTCGTCGTGGCCTAAAGGATAAGACGTCCGGTGCATTCGTGTGTAGCGATGCACCGGTGTTAGAATCCCGCGGGCAGGTAATAAGTTTTCTAATGAAATACGTACTTAACAATTGTTCACGATTGCCTTCCACGGTGAAGGAATAGCACCGTGTAGTAAAAATCAAACCCGCAAAATTATAATTTGCGTAATTACTGGTGGCAGGACCTCTTGTGAGTTCGCACAAGTAAGTGCTACCACCTATTTACCCGCTACCTATTTCTGCCGTGAAGTAGTAATGCGTTTCGGTTTGAAGGGTAGGGCAGCCACTGTCACTATACTAAGATCTTAGAACTTATATCACAAGGTAGGTGGGGTAGCATTTAAGTTGTAGATGCCTATGGGCTCGAATAACTATTTAACACCAGGTTGTGAGCTCGTCCACCCATCTAAGCAATAAAAAAAACACGTGTGGCACTCGGGGACCGCCGCGGTAAAGGTATTGCATATTATTTTTTATCAACTTATGCCATTATAATTACACAATAATAATTTAATATTAAAACAATAATAAAATAAGACCGCGCTATATTTATAAACATTAACAAAAGCGAAACACTAACTGTCCCCTTCACACTCATAAGCTAAGCCGCGCGAGAGAGAGATGGGCAGACTTTTCATGATGCGCATGCAGTGCGACGTCACGCCGCGCGCATATCACAAACACTACACAAGCGCAACGTGTGAATGTGTTGAACGCGAGCTACATGGTAGGCGGAGTGCGGGGTGTTAGGTTTTATATTTTAGTTATGGAATTTCTTGATACTGTCGCCGCGCTCAAAGCCCGCGATAAAAGCTATGCCATAGCTTAAAAATTGCAATATTAGAAAAATATCGTAAGATATTTTAAGCTTACTTTCTGCTGCAGCCTTTGAACTTCATTGCGTACATCGCGTCGCAGCTCCGCCAAGGCCGCGTCGTGCGACACTGCGGATGGCGCTGCGGGGGACGCCGCAGGAGGTGCCGCAGGGGCACGCTTCTCTTCTAATTCTTCCTCTATAGTGTCCTGCCTTGTCGAACCTCCGCTCCCACCCAATGCACCGGCTGAACGACCTTTCGCGAATGACGCCTTAACAATTGTGAAACGTAGACACAATTAAAAAAATAACTTATACCGTTTAATCTTGTGTTTTCTATTTTTTTTTCGTTTTTGTGGTCGCGGACGATTATTAGCCGCCGTATATCGCACGAGGTTAATGTAATGGTAAATGTGAAAATAACACTTAATACATCTGAGTGTTGCTCGGCTATTTAACCCATAGATACAGTCCACTGAGTTTCTCGCCGAATCATACAAAATACAAAGATAATAAGAGATGCCCCACATAGGCGTCAAATGAATAGACTCCTCCAATGAAGACAGTGGTTGGTCTAAAGAGCAGAGAAAACTACCGTTAAAACAAGCGAACTTCATGATTGAGACATATAAGATACTCAAAGAGTAACAAATTGGAGGTAGGTGTAATTGTTCTTGTAAAAACTATGTAACTACATTTTATAATAAGCATTTACGAGACCATACATTGAAACTGTTGGCTACGTAACTTAACTTTTTTTTATTGCTTAGATGGTTGGACGAGCTTCCAGCCCACCTGGTGTTAAGTGGTTACTGGAGCCCATAGACATCCACAACGTAAATGCGCCACCCACCTTGAGATATAGGTAACTTGTAAGGTCTCAAGTATAGTTACAACGGCTGCCCCCTCCTTCAAATCGAAACGCTTACTGCTTCACGGCAGAAATAGGCAGGGTGGTGGTACCCACCCGCGCGGACTCACAAGAGGTCCTACCACCAGTAATTTTGTGGGTTTCATTTTTATTACACGATATTATTCCCTCACCGTGGAAATTAATCGTGAACATTTGTTGAGTACGTATTTCATTAGAAATAATGGGTACCCACCTGAGATTCGAACGCCGTCTTATCCGTTAGGCCACGACGACTTCTAAAACTCAAGAATAAAACGATATTCGATAAGTAACCTTGATGGATAGGGTGGAGATGGGCGCAGGAGTGGCAGCCGTGGTCTCCGTGATGGCGGGCGGCGTGGGTCGGTCGCGGGTGCTCAGACTGCGAGCGAAGGCGCTCCGCGGCGGCTCCCCGGAGGGCGCGTCCAGCGACCCGCCCGCCAGCAGCCGCCCCCACTTCCCACGAGCGGCCGTTGTCGTTGTGGTCGTCGATGCGGAAGTCGCTTGTGTGGCTTCACCGCGCTCTGCGTCAGTGGGTTGAGCCGCAGTCGTGGCGAGGGCGGGGGTCGCACGAGCGGGGGCGGGAGCGGGTGCGGCCGCGACGCTCCTCTCACGACGGAAGCGAGAGAATATCTTGCGGACGAGGTGATCTTGTGCTTGTTCGAGTTGCGGTTCTCGCTTCCGTCTCTCCATGAGCTCTCGCTCGCGACGGACGTCTGCTACCTAAAATGTTAAATAAATAAATGAACGAAATGCTTCTAACAGCCTCTGTGCCTAATACCTTTTACTGGTGGTAAGACCTCTTGTGAGTCCGCACGGGTAGGTACCACCACTCCGCCTATTTCTGCTGTGAAGCAGTAATGAGTTTCAGCCAGAAGGGTGGGGCAGCCGTTGTAACTATATCTCAAGGTGGGTGGCGCATTTACGTTGTAGATGTCTATGGGCTCCGGTAACCACTTAACACCAGGTGGCTGTGAGCCCGTCCACCCTGCTAAGCAATAAAAAAACCCATGACTCTTAAGAACTTCAATGAGAAATAGCAAAGTTCAATTGCGTGTTCAATATTACGGAAGGAATTAATTATGGTGCGACGCTTGAAAGGCAAACGTGACTAAGCGCCAATGCGTGAACTTTACAGTAGACTAATTTAAAGTTGAAATACCTGAAAACAAAATTTATTTTAACGAATCTAGCTGTAGTAGAATCTAGCTAGTAGCTGTAGGATTGAAATTATTTTAATAGACCTAGAAATATATATTTTTTGCGCATCGAATATGGTTATTGCCTATCATTAATGTACAAAGTAGTTATTGTCGCTTGGTCATGTTTGCCTTTCAAGCGTCGTGGTGTTTTAATACGAATTTGAATTATCCAATACCTTGCGAAATATTAGTCGATGTCTTAAATTATAAGTGAGGGTTAGATTTCTGGCGAAACTATTCGCGAACGCTTGATAAAAGTCCAGGACTTCCAGCAGACGGTCTCGCTTGATAGTGTGCAGGTCGCAGTACGTGAGCGCCCTGACGTTCGCGGCCGACTGACCGACGGCGCTGTCCTTCCAGAACGAATCTCCGAAGACGTCTCCTTTACCTAATTCCATAATTTTATTAATATGTCAATTTGTACACTATATACCTATATATATAAAAGAAAGTCATGTTAGTTACACTATTTATAACTCAAGAACGGCTGAACTGGTTTGAGAGGTAGCTTAGAACCAAGAGAAGGACATAGAATACTTTTTATCACGTTCCCGTGGGACGTGACATAAAACGTGGTATAACAAAACGCAACTGATATGGAATAAGAAAACGCAACTGACAGCTAAACGTAATGTAGTCTATGGTTAATTATAGTAGAATTTTGAAGTTGACCAGTTGATGTGTTCGTTTTTAATTTACATTAATTATCCAAATAAAATTAAAAGTCTGGTCGTTTATTGTCTCTAAGGCGGAACAAAGTTCATCGGGTCAGATAGTAAATAAATAAAAAAAGCCTTTTATTTCATACAAGTGACATAAAAACAAAAATTAACGCAACGTGATCTATGCTATTAATTAATTAATATATATGTTCGTTGAATAATATTAGGTATTATTTCCCACTTGCAAGAACCCTTCTTCGGGTAAAGGCCTCTTTCAAGGATAGCCAATCTTCTCTAGAGTGGGCAATTTTAACTCAGTTTGTAGTTGCTACTTTCTTTATATCGTCTTCCCATCTCGTATAATAATATGGTCTTCCCTTGTTTCTTTTTCTTAGTGGGCCCGTCCATACTTATAGTTCTTTGTAAATTTTTTTGTCCCTTATTAAGCATGGTAGGTGCTACCTCAAGCGACTTACATAGAGCACCACGTTTTTTGGATTGGTAGTCATCTTTAAAAACGAATGAAAGAGATATTACAAGATTATTCAGGCTTCTTCTTCTTCTTTGTCGTTTCCTCATTACTGAGGGTCGTGACCACCTTGGTCCAGTTTTTGCACCAGCTTCCTCCAATGTTGCCTGCATTCAGCCTGCTTAATGGCACCCGGGACGCTGGTGTTTGTGGCCTCCTTGATAATGTCCGTCCACCTGGTTGGTAATCTTCCTCGACTTCTCTTTCCTTCCACGTGACCTACAACTATAAATTTTTCCAAGTTCTCAGGATTTTGTCGGGCCACGTGTCCGAAGTACTTGAGGAGACGCTGCATACAGATTGTAGATAGACGGGTCTTGACGTTTAGCTCCTCGAGAATAGACACATTTGTTCGGCGCTCCGTCCATGATACGCCCAACATTTGGCGCCAACACCACATTTCAAATGCGTCACTTCTCGATCGGGTACGGGCCTTGAGGGTCCACGTCTCAGAAGCGTACAAGAATATGGAGAAGATAAGGGTTCTCATGAGCTTTATCTTAGTTTTTTTTGTTTATGCTGGGATTTCTCCAAATCTTCTCCAATCGCTTCACGGCTGATTTTGACATCTGGGCCCTCCTGACCACCTCCCTGTCACAATCACCGTCACTGGATATTAATGACCCCAAGTACACAAATTCCTGCACCACGTCCAGGTCACGCAGTACGTGAGTGCGTGTCATTGTGCCAGCTCTATCGACAAACATCAATTTCGTTTTGGATCGGTTGATGCAAAGTCCGTAATCTTTGCTAATGACTTCCACTCTCCTCAGAAGCTCATGCAGCTCTCGCTCCGAGGTACCGATTATAGTGGTATCATCAGCGAAACGAAGATTATTAATTCGGTGGCCTCCTACACGAATACCCCCCTCCCAGTTCTCCAGAACGAGCCTCATAATGTGTTCACCGATGAGGTTGAAGAGTTGTGGGGAGAGAATACACCCCTGTCTGACTCCACGTTCGGGCTTAAATGGATGGGAAAACTCATTGTCCATTCTGACTCTCGTAATTCCATCCATATATAGAGTCTGAACAAGGGAGACGAGGTGGTCCGGTATTCCCATCTCTTGCATCACGTCGAACATTTTCTTCCAGTTGATGCAGTCAAAAGCCTCGGCGTAGTCAATGAAGCAGAGAGCTATTGGGACGTTGAACTCCCTTGCCTTTTCGGTCAACTGCCTCATGTTTAAGATCTGCTCTCTGGTTCTTCGACCCTTAACAAAACCCGCTTGCTCTTTTGCGATTTTCCTACTGATAAAATTCTCCAGTCTTTTACTGATAATATGGAGGAGAATTTTACTGGCATGCGAGATTATTGAGATAGTCCTGTAGTTCTCACATTTACGCGTGGAGCCTTTTTTATGGAGAGGAATTAATATTGAATCCGTCCAGTCTTCAGGCCACTGGCCAGTACGCCATACTTTCTGGCAAATGGAGTGTAAAATCTTGGTACCATCCGAGCCTAGGCTCTTTAACAGGCTTAGGATATATTAATTATCCTTTGCAAAATCAATTTAAACTTTAACAGACAATTTTATCTCTATTAGCAATTAATGTTACGCAAATGCTTTATTTTATTTATTAAAAAAATAATAATTAGCGTAATTACTGTTGACATGGCGTCTTGTAAGCTCAATCTGGTAGATACCACAGCCATGCCCATTTCTGGTGCGAAGCAGTTATACTTTCCAGTTTGAAGATATGTCATGTTCACATTAAAGAGTCTATATCCTCACAACATGCTCTATTACCACAAGCATATTGTGTATCATGAATGTATGAATGAAATTCAGATCATATAACTAAAATATTCCTTTTTTTCCCTACCTATGCTGAAAGCCTTGAAAGGTTATTTTAGCTTCACCCTAGCATGTAGGTGAGCTCACGGGGCTCACACCGGAAGTGTTGCTAACACTGGTCCTAGCAAGAGCAGTGTTTCGCAGAATATACCACCAGATCGGAAACGCGACCCACTGAGAAGTTCCGGCGAGAAACTCAGCGGGCTGTGTCTGTGGGTTAATTCGCTCTTCGAGACCTTCGAGACGGTGGACGGTGACCGGAAATATTCCCACATACTCACCCAATATAGCGACAACTTCATCGTCCTGTATTACTTCTAGACTGCCGGTAACGATGAAACACAACGAATCTATGGACTCTCCCGTGTGGTACAGCAGGTCTCCGGGCGCGGAGTGCGACATTTGGAAGTGCATCGCGAGGGCTCGGAGACAGCCGTCGGATGCCAGTCTGAACGCCGGGTGCTCGTTGAAGACTTTCCGGTTCAAGTGGACGCAGATATCGGCCTTCATGTCTTTCGGACAGTAATTTAGCACCTGTTAAAGTTTTGTGTTTTACTTTTTTTTTTGGAACGTAGTTCCTTATGGAACGGTGCGGCGGGGTACCTTAACCGGGAAAAACGTCCGTAACGTAAGATTTTTATTAGTAATGCACACAGTGTACGACTTAACTTTGTATTACAACAAACAACGTACAAAAAATAACATATTGTTTTATCATACTTTGACCACGATCTCAGAGCGTTCGTTTGCGCAATACACTAACTCTTATGCAAGCAACCGTGAATGAAGTGTACCACAATAAGTTCGCACGTTACGGAATGACCGTGGTTTGTTGCGAAACCTCCAGTTTTATTTTCTTTATACCTCGAATAGAACTTAAAATTAATATTTTTATAATAAGGAACTTCGTTCCCATCCGGTGTGCCACGACACCACACATCTTTTTTTTTCTACCTATGCTGATAACCTTGAGAGGCTATATCAGTTTCAACTTGACGTGTAGGTGAACTCACGGGGCTCAAACCCGGTGTGTTGCTAACACCGGCCCTAGCAAGAGCAGTGCCTCGCAGAATCTAACACCGGATCGCAAACGCTACCCACTGAGAAGATCCGGCGAGAAACTCAGTGGGCTTGAGTTTTACGATGACTCCCTTGAGAAGCGATTCTGATTTAGAACGCATTTAAAAAAAAAGTGATTATAAAATTAATAAGAAAAAAAATTATTGCTTCGGTGGGTGGATAAGCTCACGGCCCACCTGATGTTAAGTGGTTGCCGGAGCCCATAGACATCTACAACGTAAATGCCGCCACCCACCTTGAGACATGAGACGTAAGGTCTCACTTTTAACAGTACAACGGCTGCCTCGCCCTTCAAATCGAAACACATTACTGCTTCACCGCAGAAATAGGCAGGGTGGTGGTACCTACCCGTGCGGACTCACAAAACGTCCTGCCAGAAGTAATAGTTTCACTGTAGCTAAAGGTTTTTTTTCGATTGAGCCTTCTGTTGCTTATTTTTACTCAATATTGTTTTGTTTATTAATGCGGGTTTAGAAATCAATACAAACATACACTTTCAAGTGTCTTAATGGACATGCATGATTTTCATCAGGACCTATTCTTATAAATTCGTAAATTTATTTTAACATTTTTTAATATTTGGCAACCATTAAAATAGCCATAAACCCAAGGCCATTGCTTCTCGTACTGACAATTTTTTTTTTACAATTAATACTGCTTTTACGGACTTGCTTTCATCATCTAATTGTGGAGTATTCTAAACATCATAAATAACGTAATGACAATTAAAACTTAGTGATTAAACCGTAAAAATAGTTTTATATCTACGACTCGCGATATTTAATAAAAATACTAATTGTTATTGAACTGCCAACCCTTATTCCGACCGAAACCTTACCTTGTCCGTGTCGATGCCCTTAGTCATGGCCCAAGTGGAAACCACGTAGTCCATGACTCTTTCGCTTAAAGCTTTAGGCACCTCGTGTAGTTTCATGAACTCCCTAACGTTGTTCAGCATGTCGTGATACTTCGCCGTTGCTGACGTCATTTGTTGGATGATTGTCGTGACGTGGCCAAATATAGTCGCGTACAGCAGAGCTGCCAACAGACAAAACCGAACGATACCGCCACAGTTGCGACGATAACAGTAATTTTGGTTAAATTTAGTAATAAACAAAATTTTTATCGAAATTATACGTACAATGAGTATGTTTACTTTTAATCATAATGTTATGTATGGGCACGTTTGAAACCATCAACTGTAAAATTTGGAACTTTTCAAGATAAAAGTTTTTAAGAGCAAATTTTCAATAGCAAATCTGACGATCTCTTGCAACTGACCGATGGTAGTAGTGCAGTATTTGGATATTTTTTTCTGGTGGTAGGACCTCTTGTGAGTCCGCATGGGTAGGTACCACTATCCTGCCTATTTCGACTGTGAAGCAGTAATGCGTTTCGGTTTGAAGGGTGGGGCAGCCGTCGTAACTATACTGAGACCTTAGCACATAATCTCAAGGTGGGTGGCACATTTTCGCTGTAGATGTCTATGGGCTCCGGTAACCACTTAACACTTGGTGGGCTGTGCGCTCGTCCAACTATCTAACGAATAAGAAAAAAAAACTTTTCAACTCCACTCGTCTTGATGGATGTCATGAAAGTGCGTAATGAATTTAATGAATTTTTGACCACATAAGTGACGCGTCAGAACGCTTCGTGGGCCTGCACATATGAAGGTAAGGAATAAGGAATCGGATTGAAGAGTTAAAATATTAAAATACGGATTAAAAAATCAAAAGAGACACGAACAAAATGCGGGTAGGAAGGGGTATGCTGTAGTCGCGCTGTATTTGTGCAAAGCACACGTCACACGGTGCGACACGAGCGAAAATAACTAGCGTAAGTATAGTCCCCGGCACGTAACTTGGCAAGAGTCGCGTTAGATGCGCAGAAGTCGTTTTTTAGATCTCTTTGGTTGTCAAGCGGGACGCGGGGAAAGACGTAGCACCGTTCCGAGCGCGCGATTGGTGAGTCAGTCGACCCTCCCCTCCCGCACCGCGTCCACGTTCCGTTCGCTCCCGATTACAAATGCGTCTACTAAAGTTGTAGGTACCCTTTGTTTATATTGAGTTTTTGTTACGAGTTGTTATTATTGTTTTAAATTTGTTTGCAATGCCAGGACCAAATACCAATGACCATATGGTCGATTCAGTCACTGAGCGTTTTATTATTTACGCCAGTGACGTCAGCGACTCTTCGTTATGTCGAGGATGAGGAGCCAACTCCTTCCACCAGCTCAGGTGCTACCAAAAGGTTAATCCAAGGGGTAGCACTATTAGAAAATTATAGTGACGACGGCGACACAATATAATTTTTAATATTAAGTATATTTTTTTAAATAAACTTCTTAACTTTTAATTGTATTTTATTTATAACACCTAATAGACTTCACGAATTCCTCTCTTTTATTTAACTTTCTTATAAACATACATGCTTAAAAATAAATTATGGCAAATAAAAAATAAAATAAAATTAAATAAAATTATATGCAGGCAATAAAAGTGACCATTTTTTTGTTGCAATGTGCACTATGCGCGACATTACTCCCACTACACCAAAACCTTGCCAACTTACATGCCGGTTACTATACTGGTGAGAACATAACACAACTTGGGAGGGGATGGGCGCGGCTCACCGTGCAGCGTGGCAGTGGGGACTGCCCGGGGAGTCGCGCACGTGCTCCGGCTAATAACAGAAGAGTTCCGGCACCTGCCACGATCATCATGCAGATGGTGAAGATCTTCTCGTTATCGGTCTCGGCGGCGACATTGCCGAAGCCCACGGAGGTCATGCAGGTCATGGTGAAGTACAGCGCCGTCACGTACATGGTCTTGCGCGAGGGCCCGTTAACTAGCTCGGGCCCGTCAGACTCGTTGGACCAGACGTAGGAATACGGGGACTGGGTCACGTTGGCCAGTTTCCATAACCATGAGTATTGGAGGCCGGAGTCGGCGTCCGAGCGGCCGATGCTGTACCAGACGCAGGCCAACCAGTGCGCCACCAGCATGTAGAAGCAGAGCAGAAGGATCAGCATCGCCGCCCCATACTCAAGGTATCGATCTAGCTTACGAACTACNGACTCGTTGGACCAGACGTAGGAATACGGGGACTGGGTCACGTTGGCCAGTTTCCATAACCATGAGTATTGGAGGCCGGAGTCGGCGTCCGAGCGGCCGATGCTGTACCAGACGCAGGCCAACCAGTGCGCCACCAGCATGTAGAAGCAGAGCAGAAGGATCAGCATCGCCGCCCCATACTCAAGGTATCGATCTAGCTTACGAACTACGCGACCAAGCCGGAGTAATCTCACGACTTTGAGCGCACTAAACAGACTTCCGATTCCCTGTTGACATAAAAAAAAACTATGTGAGTATCTTGCTTGACTGGTGGTAGGACCTCTCGTGAGTTACTGGTGGTGGGACCTCTTGTGAGTCCGCACGGGTAGATACCACCACCCTGCCTATTTCTGCCGTGAAGCAGTAATGCGTTTCGGTTTGAAGGGCGCGGCAGCCGTTGTAACTATACTGAGACCTTGGAACGTATATCTCAAGGTGGTTGGCGCATTTACGCTGTAGATGTCTATGGGCTCCGGTAACCATTTAACATCAGGTGGGCTGTGAGCTCGTCCACCCATCTAAGCAATAAAAAATAAAAAGTTCTGTATTAGAAGCGAAAGAAACTAAACGTTAATTCACATGAATGGTACAATTAAAATACTATTACGGCTTAATCTCACGATTGCTAACAAATCTGATCGGAGCACCACTTGCCGCGTACAACAGAAACTAAACCATGCTTATTGTTGCTTCTTGTTGACTATGTGGTATAACTATACGAATGAAAAACCCGCACTTATGAAAAGTTCGTCATTTCTCGTATTGTATCGTGTAACAAAAACCTTTACCAGTAAGTACTTGTTGCACGACTCTGTAAAGTTTCAACTTTCTCACAAAAAGACACGGGTGAGCATGAATGGCGAAAGAAAACAAACAAATTTATTTTACATGAAATTAAAGCAGATGGTAATTCACGCAATATTACAATTACGCGGAATAAAACCTTAGTCATACATTACCAAAAACTGGACAGTACACAAAGCGAAAGGAACGAAATTTTAAAACAAAAAACTAGTAATTCCAGATTAAATCGAAACGCTAATCTAATGGTGTGCTCACGGCTTACGAAAAAACTTACATCTTCGTCGTGATCGAAGGCATTGAACACATCATACGGCAGGCAGGAGAGCAAGTCTATGAGGAACCACGACTTGAAGTAATTCTTCCTTATAACTTTTGGATCACTGACAACTTCTCCGCCGGGACCCACGAAGGTCGTGTGAAAATTCAGCACTATATCGATGAAAAACACCACGTCTACAATGGAGTCTATCACAAGGAGGGACACGTCTTCGCTCGTTTTGTTCTTGAAGGCCACGTTGTAGGGTACCATGATGGCAGTGTAGAAAGTCAAACAGAGGATAATCCAGTCCCAGATGGCTTTAAACGCGCAGTAGTGGAGTAGGATATGGGGCGGCGTCTTCGGTGCTTCTTGTCTGTATTGCGGCAAAACATCTCCCGATAAGGACATCACCTGTTCGAACCAAAGAGCTTTTCAACATGTGTAACATGAAAGGGAGAACAACAAAAACATACATTCTTCTATTTCATTTTATTCGCAGCAAACACATTAAGCGAAACTTCACAACATCGAGGAAATCTCTCATATTAATTTAAGTTCCAGATTGAGTGTTTTATATTATTAATATACCAGGAATTATTCTCTTACCGACCCCGTGGAACTTGACGTGTAATTTTGTATTCAAAAGTTATTATAACGCGGAGTAATGAAGTTACCTTGCGGGGCCCATCCCTTTCAAAATGCATGACATAAGTTTTAGTATTCTGTTTGGTGATGCAAAATTTTCTACAAGAAAACACTCTCGGATGACATAGATGATTATAGTAGTAATAATATTTACAGTGTGGCAGTTCCCCGATGGAGGCTGGTGTGATTTATTTGAAGTGTTATGCTTTCTGAAATTGTGTCAAAATACGGTGAATTTAAAACAGTTTCAGCGTGTAAGTGCATTCCAAGAAGAAGAAACATAGAAGTAACTTATATACAAGAATATAATATAGGTTTGCGAGATTCTCTCCGTTTACAAAGTATTATAATCACCGTGTGACGATTGACAAAATCTCTACGTAAAAATCGACTGTTTGTGATCCAGTTAACTTTATTTGGATTTCGTTGTAAATTACGAAAGAACCTCCTTTGTGTGCATCGTAATCTGAAGTTTTAGATGTCCCTTACCATGTTAATGAACATGCCTACATACTCAAAATATTCATATGGCTCTTCATTTATAAATTACGTGATAACGAAACTCTTCACGTATGATACGACGCGCAATCATGACGTCATCAAGGAATACCTGATTAACAACTTCCTCATGTTAAATTATCTATATAATTACCAACTTTTGATTGGAGGCTTCTCTGACATTGTTTTTGCCGATTTTCTTCATCGCTTATCCAAACAAAACAGTTTACGGTACACACACGACTACAATCTGCATCTCTTTAATGGGAGCACCATTAAATAGATGCAGTTTAAAAGGAGCAAGGCATACGTTTCACACTCGACTAAAAACAATTCTGCTCCAAAGAACTTTCGAGACAGAATGGAATGACGGCCGAGTTTGATCCGTAGTACTTGCATTAGAGTAAAGTGTAATAAAGAAGAGCGTGCGTGTTTACATGTGGTGCGTTGGTACTGACATGCGCCAGGTGACTCTGTCGCTGCGGCTCCTTGAGGGCCGGCAGCGCGGAGACCAGCACCGACCTAGACCTTGTAACACTGCGGGCTAACTTCGCGAATTTCGACAGACCTGCAGAAAATTGCACTGTAAACAGTCAAGATTTAGTTTATCATTCTGTTTTGCTGACAGTGTATCAACTGGTAGAAAAGAATTAAATTGTTTTTGTTTATCATTCTGTTTTGCTGACAGTGTATCAACTGGTAGAAAAGAATTAAATTGTTTTTGTTTATCATTCTGTTTTGCTGACAGTGTATCAACTGGTAGATAAGAATTAAATTGTTTTTGTTTATCATTCTGTTTTGCTGACAGTGTATCAACTGGTAGATACGAATTTTTATACCACAATTTACCACAAATACTTGGCATCAATGTCGTTATTATATATTTGTTTATTGCAATTAGTACCTTCAAAAATGTATGTAAGCATGGGTCAAACTTTTTGGGTGCGTAAAGCCGAGTTTTTCAACAAATATATCCCGCTTCTGAAACGCTTTTATTCTTTTCTTTTATTGCCCTTGTAGACGAGCGCACGACCCACCTGATGGTGAGTGGTTACCGTCGCCCATGGACTTCAGCAATGCCAGGGGCAGAGCCAAGCCGCTGCCTACCGCTATATTCAAGCAAATAAAACTGAACACCAGGATTTTTTGGAAACACTTTGAGTTTCTCTTCTGTTCTATCATCGTCATATTAAAAGTAATGGTGGTAAACTAATTAAATAGTGACAACTATGTCACCATTTGTGACGATAAACAGACAGTTTTTAAATTTCCCCATAGTAATGTTTTCAAATCTCATGACTTTATAGGCACAATGTATTTGTACAAGCTTGGCTTGGCTTCTTAATGAAATTCTAGCATCGGTTTTAGAACCAGACTTGGTGTAATAGAGTAATATGTAATCTCGCCTCCTTTGGGGTCGTCTGCATCGATAGGTTGCTTCAGGGCAGTGATGTCTCTGAAGGTGAGCAGGAAGAGTACGACCAGCTCCCTCTCGTTCCGTATCGGGGCCACGTGAACGAGCAGCCATAGTGGTGTTCCTGGAAACGTTGGCAGATTTCACTGATCTTGGTATAAATAGTACAGACTTTTTACTGGTGGTAGGACCTCTTGTGAGTCCGCGCGGGTAGGTACCACCGCCCGGTCTATTTCTGCCGTGAAGCAGTAATGCGTTTCGGTTTGAAGGGTGGGGCAGTCGTTGTAATTATACTGAGATCTTAGAACTTATATCTCAAGGTGGGTGGCGCATTTAGGTTGTAGATGTCTATGGGCTCCAGTAAGCACTTAACACTAGGTGGGCTGTGAGCTCGTCCAACCATCTAAGCAATAAAAAAAAGAAAAAAAGAAAAGACTTCCGAAATATTATGTGAATCTAAATTGTTCTTAGAGCAAAATAAATGACATTTTCATTCAGTCATACTGACGCCTGATATACTCATAGCTACATACATTCATGCCTTGGTTCAAGCTTATAACAGATACTTGGTAATTTTTCATGTAATTATGGACTTGACGATTGTTAACCTCTTCCACTATGAAAGAACACATCTGGTAACAAAAGTGAAAATAGCATATTTTTTGGGTACTTATGGAATATAATTTCGACCTCGAGTCAAGGCCGTTCGGTGGCTATCGGATTCATGAGGCGAGAGGTTCATCCATCTGTGACGTTTAATATTTCTGAAAATATTTCATCGTCAATAACGCAAAAGTAATTAATTTAACTAGACGTCCCGCAGTAGTCGAAATTCGACTATAATTAATTGGAATTGTAAGTTTGTATACTATTATGATTGTATTTTATACTACTATAATCACAAATTTCGCCTAGACTACACTATAAAAAATATTAACAAAGACAAACAATATTTAATCTATTCTCAATTTGACAACAGACGTCAAGAACAAAAGTTTGACAATAAATAGTATGCATGCGTGTGTGCGTCAAATGTAATGTTTTCTTTATTGATTTAATGTATCTTTTATGCATTATTCTTAAAAAATATTAGCATTGTGCACTTCTTCTCTATATTCTCTATAAGTGTGGAAAATTTCATACTCCTCCGTCCGCGCAATTTTCCCCTTTTGGGATACAAAGTTTTTCCTTCACGTATTAATATATAGATAAATAACTATTAATATTTTTCAGTCTTTGCGAAAATTACTACAAAACTGTAAATCAGATTTCTTTAATCCTAGTTGATTTATAAAATGTTATAAAAATGAATATCAGTTTGATAAGTATTATTTTACTTAAATAAGTAGTGGTATGATGTCAAATAGGTAAAAGTAAACAGTAATTGTGCTTGGAACGCCGACGGACTTCTATGGAAACGTATTTCCATAAAAGTCGAAAGCATATTAACTTCGAGGCCATGGGGCGTTGGGTGGAAACCAAGTTACATAAACATTGAATAGAGATCTGAATTCCGCTATAGTTACGCTTCATTTCCTAACGAAACAAGTGGTTTTAAGTCTTGGTTTAGGCCAAATAGACCTAACTGCATCACACTTAGGAGCCAGAATAAGTAAGTATACCAAAAATCCTTCTATTTCGGAGACAGTATCTGCATTTTTGAAGGCCGTGTCTTGCTTGAAGACTGTTTTTTGACCACTCATCGCATGGTAGGACCTCTTGTGAGTCCGCATGGGTAGGTACCACTGCCCTGCCTATTTCTGCCGTGAAGCAGTAATGCGTTTCGGTTTGAAGGGTGGGGCAGCTGTTTTAATTATACTGAGACCTTAGAACTTATATCTCAAGGTGGGTGGCACATTTACGTTGTAGATGTCTATGGGCTTCAGTAACCACTTAACACCAGGTGGGCTGTGAGCTCGTCCACCCATTTAAGCAATAAAAAAAAACTGTTCTCAACGTGTCTCTTAGGCAGTCTTTAGTGCTTCATTTATAGGCGTGCCCGTGAATAATCAGCTCTGACCAATGTGTAGATGTTCGACCACGCGGTATTTTCCCGTCGACATAACTTATTATCCACTTTATGATCCTAATACTAAAGTCATCTAAATTTGACCAAGAGGGAAAACTTTTTTTTATTGCCCGTACAGGCAGATCAGCATTCGCCCCACCTGATGGTAAGAGGTTATCGTCGCTCATGGACGCCAGCAATACCAGGGGCAGAGCGAATCCGCTGCTTACCAACGCATAGGGAACATCTTCAGTATTTAGGATCATTAACAACCAGATCACTGATGCTATTCAATAAAAATGACTTGACAATGACAATAAAAATGAGTCATTAAGTGTAGTTTTATATATCGACATATGTAGCAAGCGTTGATGTTTTTGAGGTCTAAAAGCATTTGTAAATTTTCAGCGAGTTCGTCCTGGTTCAATTTCGATATTTAGGTTTGGCAGGCAATCCTAAAGCCTCTCTCTCAGCTCTATTTTCTATCTGATCTACTACTACTGAGCTGGCGCTATGACCCCGAAGTGGGTCTTGGCCTCCAACAATAAACTTTGTCATTCATTCCGGCGCTGCGCAACACCTTGCCAGTCCGACCCTTGGAGTTCACGTAAATTTCCTTCCACAGCGTCAGACCAGCGGTACTTGGCCTCCGGTACACCCGCGTACACCCGTTTCACCCGTTTTCTATCTGATCTGCACTTTATAAATTGTATAGTTAAAATGCGTATTACACTTTGAAAGATAGATATCGGTAATGATTCTCCATGAATCTCGGCACGCGGATACCTTCAATCGCAAAAGGACATGACGCACGTTTCCAATCAGCCAAGACACGACCCAGACAGGAAACCTCGCAAGCAAAATCGCAACATTTCCCTAACACGATGTATCCGTAGCCTGGAAGTCTGTGCTAAAAATATCCACATCCGGACGTATGTTCTGGAAATTCACATATTTTCCGGCCTTCACACGGACCTTAACGGTCGTAGCAAATGAAATGTTTTGTTGAAACCGGAAGCGCGGTTCGTCCCGTTTATTTGCGGAAACGAAAATGTTAATGACCCTTTTCCCTGAAAAGTACACGGTTATTTTTGGATGTACTGCGGCGAAAGGCCGGAAGCAAGGAGTTTACGTCATGTTAGATAATGCGATCGTGTAATTTGTAACAATGTGTACGGTTTTTTAGCAAAAGTTAGCAATAATTGATGGAAGTTTGGACTAGATTTTAGTTAGCAACGGTACGAACACAGTAAGGCTGGTGGTTGTAGCTAAATATAGCTAAATGTTAATCTCGGACTTTTTTTAGAGAAGTTTAATTTTATCGATATTTAATTGTACACAAATTTAAAAGGTAATAAAATAAATTGATTCCGCAACAATTCAAAGACCAAAATAGAATTAAGATATAAAATTGGACTTAACAAAATATAATAAAAAAAAGGAGAACAAAAATATCTGTTATAAATAATAAATACATTAAAAGTAGATATATCTATATCTGTTATATCTATATCTATATCTGTTATAAAATATGACACAAACATACTTAAAATGACAATGTTTACAAATACATTTTAATACATGGGTGAACATTTTTCTATACGGAGCGGAGACCTGGACCCTTAAAGCGGCTGATCGCAAACGCGTGGATGCTTTTGAGACGTGGTGCTGGAGAAGAATGCTCCGGATACCTTGGACAGCGAAGAGAAGCAATCTTAGACCAACTGCAGATCAAGACTAGACTATCCACACTCTGCCTTCGCCGCGCATTCGAGTACTTAGAGAGACTAAGTATTCGTGACAGGGAAGATCGAGGGAAAGAGACCACGCGGGCGCAGTCCGACAGTGGTTCGACCAAATCCGCACCACACTAGAGATCCCATTCCACGACGCCCTTCATGCGGCCAATGATCGGAGGCGGTGGCGGGACATTACAAGGAGCAAAATCCTGTCGACATAGAATGGTCACGACCCTCAGCAGTGAGGAAACGACGCGAGGAGGAGGAATAATGTTAAAAAAATTTACTAACAAAATATTTGTATTAAATTAATGTGCTGATTTTTAAATAATAACTAGAAATTATAAAATATATTAAGATATAATAATATATAAATTAATACCACTGCTTTGAAAATATTATTGTAATTATGTACCTATAAGTCTGTGAAAAAAACCTTAGCCTAGTGGTGGAACTAAAACAAGCACAGTTGTTTCAAGGTTTTTGAATCACACCCGGGTTGCTTTTTACAGTAATTGTAGAATAGGAGGGTGGGGGGTTGGGGGTGGGTAATGTCTCTTTTATTGTGGACTGCACGCGCCTCCCTTCCGACCTTTAAGCGACGTCCGTGGCATAGGAAAATTATTTTCGACTAGTATTTCTGTAACATCAGACTGCAATGTTTATGTTAATTAGGAATGTCTGGTACGTTTTTTTCTTCCACAGTAATCGTGGAAGGCATTCATTTGTATTTATTTGAAATAATCGAAGCCTACCTTCAAGATTTGAGCCCTGGAGAGTTCGCATTAATCAAAATGGACTCTTACAGCACACGGGAATTATTATAATACATATTACAATTTTATGATGTTGCCAATATTTTGGTCAACTAATATTGCGCTAATGATCAGAATTAGAATTATTTTCGGTCGTTTATCACATATATATATATATATATATATATATATTTATGAATCCCTATTTCCTTTGGTCACGACATCACGCGCGAACTGCTGGACCGATTGCGCTAATTCTTTTTTTGTTGTGTTTCTTACTTCCAGGAGAAGGCTTTTAAGAAAAAAATAAATAAGAAAGTTGCGCAGAAAATTAGGAAAGTTAAAAAAACTTAATCACCATATGAAATTTTCTAATGTAACCTTATGGCGTTTGACATAAAATTGAGAATGCGTGCTGCAAATATCCTCAAAGAGGATGTAAAAAAACAGAATTTTACAGTTCACGGCAAACCGTTGCTACTGGGCCAATAAACGTGGTGTGCCAATATTGCAGGGCATTTAAGTATAAAAATGAAGCTCCTGGATCTGTGGGAGCGGTCAAGTCAAATTGACTCAATTGCACCGCCACCGGAGCCACTAAATACAAGGGTTTGGAAATGGGATATTCATTGGAAATGAACCAGATTCTAAACATTTTTGACTCATATCCAGCAATACAATAATTCCTTTAAAATTACGTCATTAGCAGATACAAAAGATATTTAAAAAAAAATGCTAACTTTCAAGGTAAGTAAGTATATTGAAAAACAATGAACTTTTACCAACACCTGTCTATTGCAAAATACGTTGGCAGGCTTCAAATGAAATGGTGTATCAAATGAAAGGGCGTAAAGTATTTTTGTAGCTTACGAATTTCCAGAAACAGCCAGAGGTGACTAGGCAATAGATAGGGGATAGGGGAATGGCAGTACTGACAAAGCATTTTGAGAGCCACGTGGTAGAACCTAATGGTAGTACTACAAACATTATAAAATATCCTATATTACATTTTTTATTTTTTATTGCTTAGATGTGTGGACGAGCTCACAGCCCACCTGGTGTTAAGTGGTTACTGGAGCCCATAGACATCTACAACGTAAATGCGCCACCCACCTTGAGTTAGAAGTTCTAAAGTCTCAGTATAGTTACAACGGTTGCCCCACCCTTCAAACCGAAACACATTACTGCTTCACGGCAGATATAGGCGGGGCGGTGGTACCTATCCTTGCGGACTCACAAGAGGTCCTACCACCAGTAATTATGCAAATTATAATTTTGCGGGTTTGATTTTTATTACACGATGTTATTCCTTCGCCGTGGAAGTCAATCGTGAACATTTGTTGAGTACGTATTTCATTAGAAAAATTGGTACCCGCCTGCGGGATTCGAACACCGGTGCATTGCTAGATACGAATGCACCGGACGTCTTATCCTTTAGGCCACGATGACTTGAAGTCCAGATTTGTATAAAATAAACTTTTTATTTTTTATTGCTTAGATGGATGGAAGAGCTCACAGCACACTTTGTGTTAAGTGGTTACTGGAGCCTATAGACATCTACAACTTAAATGCGCCATCCACCTTGAGATATAAGTTCTAAGGTCTCAGTATAGTTACAACGGCTGCCCCACCCTTCAAACCGAAACGCATTACTGCTTTACGGCAGAAATAGGCAGGGTGGTGGTACCTACCCGCGCGGACTCACAAGAGGTCCTACCACCAGTAATTACGCATATTATAATTAAAACTATAAAATCAAGAATAAGTGACAGTCTCCGAAGCGAAGCGAGAGCGGGTCGCTAATTGCTTATATACCGATCTATAATCCAAGAAGATGAATGTAAGAAAAGGCTCAGACTTTTGACTAACTTAAAGTTCGCGAGTTGTTTAAGTTTTAAGCTTAGTAAACATTTTCGTTATGTTCAATTCGATTTTCTCTATAATTGTACGTGCGTTTTTTTAACTTAAAGTATCTTCCTCTTGTGGTCGTGTCCGTGTAATTACTTAATTCAATTATTAAAGTTTGTATTTGATTAGCGCCGTGTTGCCAGCGTTAAAAAAGACCGAGCGCTGGCCGTGTCCTCTCGCGGGAAACAACGCCATTGTAATTGGATTTATTGTGTACGGTACTTGTTCACGGGAATAGTGTTTTTGACAGAATGCGAGAGCTCGAATTAAACGTTTATTTTTATTGAGAGAGAAATAAGGAATAATAGTAATGAATTTATTGTACACAAAAAAAGCAACGCGAAACATTAAATACAAAAAATAAATATTCTCGTCCAGACAACCATCAGGTGGACAAGATATATATAAAAATATAAATATATATATACACATACACACACACATACATATATATGCACATACATATAACTAGTCCGGCTATAAATACTGTTACATAAAAGCTTTTGTTTTTTTCAACTTTTTAATTATTTTGAATTTGGAAGACGTATATTATGTTAAAAACATTTTTCGATTTGCGCCAAGAGCGCCGAGAGCTGAGTTTTACAAGTCTATCTCTTTGGAATGTAGTTATTGAGTAATTAAGTAAACTATAGGAATCTCATTGTTTGCCTTAACTAATAAGAAGTCACATGGCAAGGAGACGCTAAAACATAATAATATTTTTTTAAAACAAAATTTATTTATTTGTATACGGATCGCCAGCGTTATTTACGTTATCAGCAATCTCAGAATATATCAGATGAAGACGGACTATGAAAAATAAAAGCTGAAAACAAGTGACGGAGCTTGAGGTTCAATGACCTATTGCCTGGATGGTTATCTACCGTAATTTTGCCGATTTCTGTTGTTTTGATGTGAAAGGTAGCTCAGTCGTAATACAAATGCGAATTCGAGCCCACGTCTCTGTTATTTATATATATATTTTTATGAAGGAATGATTACTGGTGACCCTTAGGCCATTTCAGTTTCACTAAGAAAAGTGGGCGAGCAAGGGCTCAGCCAAGAGGGGTGGGATTTGCTAACAGCTACCATGACTAGTTGCTTCACGAATGGATTTACTACCGGATCGGAATCGCGACCCGCTGAGAAGAATCGGCGAGAAACTCAGCGGGCTGATGTTTAGGTTAGGTTGCACGTCGAACTCTTTGCCGATTTCGACGAGTACGGTTACCGGGGCCCCTAAGCCTGCTCCTAACGTTAGAGCTGAAGGCGTCTAATGCAAGAGTTATTGGATCTGATGGATCCGTAAGGACGTGTCTAGGGCATCGACAATGACTGGCTCCTGCGTGATCAGGATTCAGGGAGTAGTCAGCGGCGGCAACGATAAGATCTCTGTCATCTCTAATCACTAGGTACATACCAAGCAGGTTATGTAGCGTGATCGTTATTTTATCGAGTAGTTTTCATATTAGGTCCCCTAAATGTATATATACAGTAGAATTAACATAAGTAATTAACAAACGGAAAGAAAAATATGTCTCCTTCAAGCGCGTCTAAGGTTACAAACTGTTTAGTTCCATTAGCCTTGTGTGGGCGGCTCTTAATCCTAACAATCGATAAATTACTATTCCAACTGAACTTAATGATGAATACTGTATGTATTTACATGTATTTTATTTATTTTATGTATTTTACTTCGCTTGCTCAAACAAATCGAAGGTTGTTTTATTTAGGATTTCGTTAAAGACGTGTTAGTTAAGGATAAAAAAACATTATTGTTGGTAGTGGTATTAATGCGTATTGTGAGTCCGCTAGTGTTGGTAGCATCTTGTCAATCTTTGCCGCGAAGAAAATGTGCGTTCTGTTTTGAATAATTTAGTACACCTGCCTATATAATGTCACCTTCAGAACCTATACAAGAGATTGCTTGTAGAATTAGACAATCTCTTGTGGTATTGGACTAAGACGATCCACATGTTGATTAGCTGAGTTTTTATATTGTCTCACGAGCAAAAAAAGTCCTCGAGCAACTTAAAATTAAAACATTTTGAAAAGTATACCGATCAATGATGTCAATGCTCTCATCCACTTTACAAACTCTTCAAGTGGGAAGGTGATAAAGCATCCCCTCTCAATCCCCATCAAAACTTTTTTACCCTTAAGACCTATTCTGGTCTAAATTTTTACAGTACAGCGCCTGCCCTTGCCTTCAGATCGAAACGCATTATTTCTTCACGGCAGACATAGGCAGGGTGGTGGTGCCTATCCGTGCGGACTCACAAGGCGTCCTACCACCAGTAAATTATCGTTCAATTTATCCTTAAATCAGTTAAATTTAATTGGTAAAACAATTAGCTTCGTATTTACTCTTAAAATTTAGGGGAATCTCTTAAGAAAAGGAATCATAGTAGTAAAGTATGTACATGTATTTATAGGTAATTTTAATTTACAGGTAGTACTTACTGTTCTTCTTGTACAGTAGTATCTCAAACTGATCCGCCAGGTGGTGGTCCAGAGCTCGGTCGATTCGCTCTATAGCTTCTTTTTCCGTTAGCTCGCCGTACATCCACGTGCATCTGAACGAAACAAGGTCCAAAGATCAAAGCGTTATATTTATAAATAATAGTTTAAAAAAACAAAAAAAAAACACTTTTATAGAAAATCTAACTAAAAAATAGAAAATAAATTTTAATAAATTTGAATTAAAACTAGTGTAAGAAAAAAAGCGTGGGGTGCATGGTATCAGTAGTTATAAATATTTTATGAACAGATATGAGTAGAAGGGTTATTTTGATAATATCCTGAAAAGCACCTCACGCCTTTTTTTACAATAAAATCATTTTTTCTTACACTATATTAAGAGATGCCACCTACCTTGAGAAATGAGTTGTAAGGTCTCCGTATTGACAGTACGGATAAAGGAGTTTGTTTTGTCTGTATTATTCACTAGTAGTCTTAGGGACTATACCAGCTAAGCATTAGTAGGTGAGCTCATGGGGTTCAATCTGAGAGAGCTTGTCAACATTGACTCTATCAAGAGCAGTGTTTCGCAGAATTTACCAGCGGATCGGAATTGCAATCACTAGTAGTCTTAGGGACTATACCAGTTAAGCATTAGTAGTAGGTGAGCTCATGGGGTTCAATCTGAGAGAGCTTGTCAACATTGACTCTATCAAGAGCAGTGTTTCGCAGAATTTACCAGCGGATCGGAATTGCAATCACTAGTAGTCTTAGGGACTATACCAGTTAAGCATTAGTAGTAGGTGAGCTCATGGGGTTCAATCTGAGAGAGCTTGTCAACATTGACTCTATCAAGAGCAGTGTTTCGCAGAATTTACCAGCGGATCGGAATTGCAATCACTAGTAGTCTTAGGGACTATACCAGTTAAGCATTAGTAGTAGGTGAGCTCATGGGGTTCAATCTGAGAGAGCTTGTCAGCACTGGCCCTATCAAAAGCAGTGTTTCGCAGATTTACCAGCGGATCGCAATTGCAATTGAAGATAATTTGGTAGTCACCTGCAGGACTTTTGCATGACCTCGGCCCGATTGTAGCCGCTCATCTTGCAGAAGGTTTCGTTGCAGTACACGATCGGATAGTCCACGATCTGCGCGTTCGCCAGCAGGAAGCTGCTGTCTGCTGTAAATAAGCAACCGCTTCAAAAGCCACGTCATTTACGAGTATTTTTTATTTATTGCTTATATGGGTGGAGCTCAGAGCCCACCTGGTATTAAGCGATTACTGGAGCCCATAGACATCTACAACGTAAATGCGCCACCCACCTTGAGATATAAGTTCTAAGGTCTCAGTATAGTTACAACGGCTGCCCACCTTTCAAACCGAAACCCATTATTGCTTCACGGCAGAAATAGGCAAGGTGGTGGTACCTGCCCGTGCGGACTCAGAAGAGGTCCTACCACCAGTAATTACGCAAATTATAATTTTACTGGTTGATTTTTATTACACGATGTTATTTCTTGACCGTGGAAGTCAATCGTGAACATTTGTTAAGTACGTATTCCATTAGAAAAATTGGTACTCGCCTGCGGAATTCGAATAGCCTTGCATCGTTCGATACGAATGCACCGGACGTCTTATCCTTTAGGCCACGACGACTACAAAAGTCTGATAATTCGATTTTAAGGGAATTCTTTGCGCGTTTTTGGCAATGAAACTCCTTCGAGCATTATTGCAATGTTGTCCGTTTCCAGCCGCAAACATCTTGATTTACTAAGTTTGTTGTTGAGGGTGTTACCGTGTTCCCGGTTCAGATCCCGTCCTAACCACATACCGTTATTCCTTTATGAGAATGTGTTAATTTTTGTCTCAATGGCGTCCCTGACACGAGAACTTAGCCGGCTACTCGTTACTTTTAACATCGGAATTTTCACGTTCGATCCATCGAAGAGTGTAGGGTTTTTACGTATACTTCTCCGTCAGAGTTACAGTCACCAAGCTGCATGCGGTGTTTGGTAGAGACTAATAGTTCGACATAATGATTGTGATCTTCTAGCGCTGTCGGTATTTTTTTTATTGCCCTTGTGGGCAGACGAGCATACGGCTCACCTAATGGTGAGTGGTTACCGTCGCACATGGACTTCAGCAATGCTAGGGGCAGAGCCAAGCCGCTGCCCACCGCTTAATACTCTCCACAAGCCTCGTTTGAAAAAGGACATGTCATAGCGCTCGGGAAGCACCGTGGAGGGGAGCTCATTCCATAGCCGGATGGTACGTGGCAAAAAAGGCTTCTGGAAACGCAGTGTGGATGATCGCAGTGGCTCCAGGTAGTATGGATGAACTCTACTCCGGTGGCGGGCGGTGCGATGGTAAAAACGAGATGCCGGTATCATCTCGAACAATTCCTCAAAGCACTCCCCATCGAACATACGGTGGCATAGCCGTTTAATTTCGTTTTTAATACTATGCCAACATCAAAGGAGTATTTATATTTTTCGTACTCCAACTCTNAGTGTGGATGATCGCAGTGGCTCCAGGTAGTATGGATGAACTCTACTCCGGTGGCGGGCGGTGCGATGGTAAAAACGAGATGCCGGTATCATCTCGAACAATTCCTCAAAGCACTCCCCATCGAACATACGGTGGCATAGCCGTTTAATTTCGTTTTTAATACTATGCCAACATCAAAGGAGTATTTATATTTTTCGTACTCCAACTCTTGGATGAGTTAAACTTGAATTTTATTAGGATACCGATCCACGCATTCGTAATGCAGTCATAAAAACGAAATATTTAAAGGGCCGACTGCCGGCTCGCCTTAGGAATTCAGGGCGAGAAAAATGTTTGCCCCCGGCTAGGGTCTAATCAATTTATTCATGAAATTACTGTAATTGTATTCTTGAGTTTCAGTTTTCAGGAACGTCCTACAGTTATTTTAGAAGAGTCCAGTTTCTGCTCGTGATACAGGTCTTTGCTAGGCTACGAATGACCAGCGCACTGTAGACCGGTGTTTCCCAACGTGGCATCCACACCCCACAAGGGGCCAATTTCATAATTAAGGTTTGTCAATCGCACAAAATTAATATATAAAATCTGTATTAAAATTATTTAGAAATTGAATTTGAATTTTTTATTATATATTTTGAAATATTACTTACTGTATTTTAGTAACAATTCCATAGTGATTCCTACCTAAAACTTATAATTTATGTTTCTTAAGTGAACAAATCAAATTTTTAATGTTAAAAATTATGTATGGGGTGGGCGCATCAACAGTTTAGAAATGTTACAGTGGGGCATGATACAAAAAAGGTTGGGAAACACTGCTGTGGACGATGCTGACTGTTCCTTTATATTCAAGGGTGTTAATAGATTTAATAAGTAGAGAGAGAGGCCACTTATCGTCTAGTAGGTCTAGTAGCAAAAACGTCTAAAAGCCGACTGTCGCGGGAAACATTTCGAGGGGTGAAAGGTCTTTTCGCTTAAGATTAGATATTTTTGAAACTTTACAAAAGAGCCATTTAAAGCTTAAAAGGGGTTCGTGGAATGGGATGGGATGGGATCCCAGCTGAAGACGTTTTTTTAACATGTTATTTTTGGGGTGGGATCCCATTACATGTTATTTTTTTCCCATCCCATCCTATTCTACGAAGCCCTTCATGCGGCCAATGATCGGAGNTGGCAATGCGGCGCGATTACTACAGGACAAAGAAAAAGCACAACAAAACAGAAATTACGAAAAGAAACAAAACAAATAAATACTTGCAGGAAACCACTTTGTCGGCAGATGTACCACGAACACAGAAACAACAAAAGGAAACAAAACAAATAAAAACTTCCAGAAAGAGCACTTAGTCGGCAGATGTACCACAAACACAGGCCGCGCGAACAATGGCCGGGCTAACAAAAGCCGGGCGAACAAAGACCGGGCGATCGAGTGGACGATGAGCACGTCCGCACGTGACGGGTGCCTCTATCGGAATGAGAATGAGTGATTGTGACGGACAAGGTGGTAGGAAAGAGACCACGCGCCTGATCACCTAGTCGCTGGTGTGACCAAATAACCACCCTAACTGGGCTGCCAGTCGCAACTACCCTACGAGAAACTGAGGAATGGAAGAGGTGGAAACAGATCACGAGACAGGCCATAGTTAAGTTTCAAGGACACGACCTTCAGTAATGAAGAAAGCGATGAAGAAGAAGAATTTAATCTATATACTAATATTATAAAGCTGAAGAGTTTGTTCGTTTGAACGCGCTAATCTCAGGAACTACTGGTCCGATTTGAAAAGTTCTTCCTGTGTTAGATAGCCCATTTATCGAGGAAGGCTATATAACATAACGCCAAAACCAATACGAGCGGGCACTAATAATCTCCTCTTTTGAAGTCGGCTAAAAAGCATGATTTTGGTACCACAAATAGCTAGTTAAGTTTCAAGGACACGACCTTCAGTAATGAAGAAAGCGATGAAGAAGAAGAATTTAATCTATATACTAATATTATAAAGCTGAAGAGTTTGTTCGTTTGAACGCGCTAATCTCAGGAACTACTGGTCCGATTTGAAAAGTTCTTCCTGTGTTAGATAGCCCATTTATCGAGGAAGGCTATATAACATAACGCCAAAACCAATACGAGCGGGCACTAATAATCTCCTCTTTTGAAGTCGGCTAAAAAGCATGATTTTGGTACCACAAATAGCTCCTTAACATTCTATTATTCAAAAATATACTTACTTCTACGTAAATGAAGTCGCGGGTATTTTTTTAATATTTTTTATAGCTTAGATTTGTGGACGAGCTCACAGTCAACCTGGTGTTAAGTGGTTACTGGAGCCCATAGACATCTACAAGGTAAATGCGCCACGCACCTTGATATATAAGTTCTAAGGTCTCAGTATAATTTAGCGTTATACCAAACCTATTTCTGCCGTGAAGCAGTAATGCGTTTCGGTTTGAAGGGTGGGGCAGCCGTTGTAACTATACTGAGACCTTAGAACTGATATCTCAAGGTGGGTGGCGCATTTACGTCGCAGATGTCTATGGGCTCCAGTAACCACTTAACACCAGGTGGGCTCGCCCACTCATCTAAGCTATAAAAAAAAAGTAACTATTCCACGCGGACGAAGTCGCGGACAAAAGCTAGTGTTTTATTAAAGAAATGCTGAGTGTGTACTGACGCTGCGATGAGGAGCGGCGGATGATGTTCTCGAGGAAGGTGTTCTGCGGGGCCACCAGCCCCCGGCGGCCGCCCGGCATGCCGCTGCCTCACCGCCCACCTCACATGCCTCACCGAACACACGCACACCATCTGCGTAAAACATTATCATTATATTAACCTGTAAATATCCCGAATGTATAGAGTAAGACTTTTATAGATACCGAATTTGGTAGCCGGTTTTTTTTAAATTTATTTAACTTAGGTTTTTTTTCCTACCTAAGCTGATAGCCTTGAGAGGCTATTTCAGCGTAACCTTAACTAGTAGGTGAGCTCACGGGGCTCAAACCTGACGACGTTGCTAAGAGCAGTGCTTCGCAGAATCTACCACCGGATCGGAAACGCGACCCACTGAGAAGATCCGGCGAGAAACTCAGTGGGCTGTGTCTGTGGGTTAATTTATTCGTCGAGCCCTTCGTCACAAGCGACGGATTTGACAAAGACGATGATCGGTGCTTGAGGCTACCTATGCCTAAAATTGTCAAACACATATTGATATTAACATGTAAACATCCCGAATGTATCTAAAGTAAGTCTTTTATAGATACCGAATTCGGTACCTGGATATTTTTTTAATTTATGTACCTATGTCTGAAATTGTCAAACACATATTCTGATATTACCATGTAATGTACCACGTAATGTAATCCCGAATGTATATAAAGTAAATCTTTTCTAGATAGCGAATAGTCGAAATTTATTTTTATTGTTGCTGAAAACTGTCAAACACATGTTCTGATATTAACATGTAAGCATCCCGAATGTATGTACCTAAAGTAAGTCTTTTATAGATAGCAAATTTGGCACCCCTTTTTTTTTGTCAGGAGAAAATCGCCGGACTTCCGTCCTCCCCTGGGGATGGAGGGCGGGGCATGTCGGAGTCGAACTAACTAAAACCTCCTGTCGCTCAACAGCCCACGTCCGAACCTCGCATGAGACAGAACTATTTATGCTGAAAATTGTCAAACATATATTCTGGACACATGTTATACCTGTTTATTGCTTAGTTTGCCGAAGCTGAAACGGCTGACCCAATACTGAATAATAATTGATCCGGAATAGAAAACAAATACATTATAATTTGCGTAATTACTGGTAGTAAATGCGTCTTGTGAGCAATACTACCTTGCCTATTTTCGTAGCGAACCAGTAGTGCAATTGAAAGTATCCATTATAGCACGGGGTCCGGTTCCGAAATTCCAAATTGTAGCCACGGTGTGGTTTAATATAATAATTGAGTGACGTTGTTTGTACATTTTAGAAATACAGACCTCAAATATTCGAATCATCGATGAGAAGTATTACTGTAAAATTATCGCGCCTTTAAAATTGAAGTGGCCTAAAAATATCAAGATTTTTTTAAAATTAATTTTAATTAAATTAAAAATGAAATTCAATAAATTTAGTTAGAAAAGAACAAGGTACATTTTCCGTCATTTTTGAATCAAGCGCCATACCTTAAGCTTAAGGTGTGCGCTTTAAGGACTAAAGTAATAAAATCAAAACTGAAAAATTACAATTCTTCAATTACTTTTATGGCGTTTACGAAAAAACAAGTATTTTGGATTAAGTAACTTCAATTCTAAAGGTGCCTTATAATAATTCAACAACCCTATGCATGTAGCAACCCTATAAATGTTCTGTTGATGAAAACAAAAAAAAACAATGAAAAAAATAGCTTTGTCTCATTTTTGTTTTGTTTGGGGTTAGCTCGAGAATGATACCGTTCGATTCACGCTAGTTTAAATCAGTGATATAATTTGACTTAGCTATTTACTTAGCTATTTTCCAGAATTCCTTAAAATAAAATCATTTTCAAATAGCAAAATTTGGTACTTCTCACATAGTTATATCTACGATTTTAAATAATTCGTTGGAAGTAACATATGGTCTGACGTTTATCAAATCAAGTGGCCTTCAAGGAGAAGATTTTTTTTTGTTTCTTTGTGGTAGTCGCAAGACCATGAGCTACCATTTATATAGCTTTTTTTTTTTAATTGAATTGTAGATTAAAAACAAAAATAATCAATCTGTAAAATACTTTATTATCACTATCAATTACTAAATCTACATCATTATCATCATCGTCATCATCAGCCCAGTTATCCACTGCTGATCTAGCTCTCTGTCACATCTTCGTTGTCTTCATATTATTAATATATTTACTGTGAACGTTTGTATGTTTGTCAATTACGAAAAAAGTAGATTAGCGCATTTGGATGAGATTTTGCACAAAGATTGTTCATAACCCGCATTAACAGATAGGATACTGTTATCATGGTACTTGACTTGATCCGGATAGCACCAGATTTTATGTACCAAAGGTTTTAAAAATCGACTAATTTATGGATCAGAGTGACATAAGCCGTCCATAGAGGTAGCCCGCTGAGTTTCTCACCGGATCTTCTCAGAGGGTCGCGATTCCGATCCGGTGGTAGATTCGATGTACTGTTCTTGCTGGAGCAGATGTTAGCAAATTCTTCCATGCTGATCAATCTATACTAATATATAAATCTACAGTGGTTTTTACGGATGTTCCGTTATAACTACTGAACCGTGCATCCGATTGACTTGAAACTTGGTATCCATGTAAAAAATGCATGTACTTAATGGATAGGCTAATATTTATATGAGTGTTGGACTCCCTACACCAGTTGTGGGGGCGTTAATGATGAGAATCTTTGTCAGGGTGAGAAATAATAATGTTAATTTTAAATGGCCAGCGAAGCGGACGGGTACAGCTAGTTATTTATAAAGGGAAAATGAAACCTGATCAAACTGCACTACGCGTCTTAAAACCACGTTTAGCAACTTGCATGATAAATTGTTTACATTTAAAGAAAACATTGTGAATTGAACCTGCAAACAATGTGCCCTTCGAGTAAAAATTATTAGTTTAATTTGCATATTTACGTGAGTAAAGTCTATTATCGTTGGGAAATTACTTTCGCGTGTGCCGTAGAAGATTGACAGATTGTTCCAATTTACGTTTTAATTATTTTGATTTTTTTTCCCAAAGGAGACTCGCCCAAGGAGAGTTGAGACCAAAATTATTGCTTAGATGGGTGGACGAGCTCACAGTCCACCTGGTGTGAAATGGTTACTGGAGCCCATAGACATCTACAACGTAAATGCGCCACCCACCTTGGGATATAAGCTCTAAAGTCTCAAGTATAGTTACAGCGGCTGCCCCACCTTTCAAACCGAAACGCATTACTGCTTCACGGCAGAAGTAGGCAGGGCGGTGGTATCTACCCGCGCGGACTCACAAGAGGTCCTACCACCAGTAATTACGCAAATTATAATTTTGCGGGTTTGATTTTTATCACACAATGTTATTCCTTCACCGTGGAAGTCAATCGTGAACATTTGATGAGTAGGTATTTCATAAGAAAACTTGGTACCCGCCGCCGGGATTCGAACACCGATGTATCGCTTATCCTTACGACGTCTTATCCTTTAGGCCACGACGACTTCAAAATTTCTTAAATGGTCTCGATTTTGAAATATACGCTTTGACCGAGAAATTTTGATGTGTGGCGAGTTATAGTGTCACTTCATTTGAAGATGGATTCATCTATCTTATTACCTTAACCCAGTCTATTCATCACTTAATATGAAGTTACAAGTATGCGACTCAGACAGCATTGAGCTACGAATTCTATTATTGTGATCTCTCACTCATAACTTTTACTTTGGTTTACTAATGTCTATGATCTTCTGCGGGGGAAGAAGTTCGTGAAGCTAAATAGTAAACTTCAACGGTGATGCAGTGAATGGGGATGCATCCATCTGAGTAAGGGAAAATGAACACTAATCAAAAGATATAGTTAAGACGAGTGTTCCTCACGTTATGAAATGTGATTAAAAAAGCTAAGTTTTGTTTGAAAAGTAAAATATACCATGGACCGGACTAGTTGAAGAAGAAGCCATGGCGACCACTCACCATCAGACCGACCTACGCTGCTACTGCTTACGAACGCAATAAAAAAGTAAAATATTTCTATGTATTTATATATTTATTTCATAGTTATAAATAATGGTGTCATTAATAAAATATCAGAACCTACTAGCTTACGTTGCTACACGGGATAGCGTCTCACGTAATATACATATTACACACACACACGCACCCGTACACACACACGTACGTACTATATTCTTACAGATCGCTCTTCCTGGTTAACTTACTTTACCTGGTGACCTAGCACTGAACCACTGACTTTTGTAACACAGGTTTTCCTAGCATAAAAGTCAGGGAATATTGTTATTGTATACCTCATAAAAAGCCATGTCTATTATTATACTAGTTTTAAGAATTCTTGTACGTGTTTGTATTTTAAGAGGCTTGAATAAATATTGTTATAAAAATATTATATTATTATTTACAAACCGAAATAAATTTAAATAACACGCAATGTACTGTGTTACTCATTCGTTAGAATTTTCCCTATCTCTCAGCAGCGCTTTGGTAAATTATCTCAGAGCGGGATCGGATACGCGTTTCATTGCGTAATTCAATGATTAGATGAAAAGTCCCGTTACGAGTTTATTAAAGGTTAGTTCAAATATGTGTCGAAGTGTCAGACTCTCTTTGTAGGCAGAAAACTCACGTATTGAGGTCACGTTGACTCACCTACTTAGATTTTATGCTAGATATCATACGGATCGATAGAAATGGTATTACTCATTATTATCATCATTGAAATATTTACTGAAATGTACAAATATAGAAGGTGTGCTAAATAACACAATTATGTTCATTGAGAGCTTTTTTTTGTTGATAAACGGTAGAGGTAGGGTTGTCCAAAATTATCTTATAATACTATATAATCTATCGTAAGTTTTACTACAAACAATTCAGACTAATCTCGCGAGCTGAAACTCAGTTTCTGATGATGATGCTACCAGTTCAATGGCTTCCCAGCTCATTCTCCACGGTGATAATCATATCAATTCGAAGGCTGCATATTATAAAAACATAACTAAATATTTGCGTAAATACAAATATTCAAGATGTAACGTGTGCATTACAAGATTTGACATTGTTTATTAGAAAATATTTCACTAAACAATAAATCACGGCCCAAGTA